GACTATCCAAAGTAGTCTTATGACAGAGATGACCAATCTCAAAGGTGAGTTCCTCATGAACCAAGCTTCCAATGAGAAATGCCTGAACGATTTCGCAGAAACCTTGCGCAATTACGAGAGAGAGAACGAGACCTTGCCAGACATCTCATCTACCGTTTCTTCGAAGAGATAGACGCCATCTGGAAGGTACTCGGAAAGGACAGAACATGCAACACCGTACTTCGTGAGTACCAAATTGAAGAAGGAATTTTCGAGGAAGAAGAGAAACACGAAGAAGAAGAGGAAGAAGAAGAGAAACACGAAGAAAAGGAAGTTTGGGCAACCCTTGTTGCCGATGACGGTTATGAAATTTCACAACCCTACCCATACAAAATCCGCAACAGGGAGACCGGCAAGGTTCTTACCCCAGTCCTCAACAACTTGGGACACTTGAGCCTTACCCTTCGGAATTACGGTACAATTTCCATGGGAAGGCTTGTCGGTATGCAATGGGTTCCAAATCCAGGTAAGAAGACGAAGGTCAGACACATTGACGGTGACAAGCTCAACAACCGTAAGGAGAACCTCGAGTGGTTCTAAGAGTAAAAAAATTTTATTTTAGGGGGAAACCCCGAGTAAATTTAGGTGTTTATTTAGATAAGTAGGTTAAATTAATGGTAATTTGCAAAATTAGTTCCCGACCTTTGAATTGGACTCTTTCGTTATCCCAGTTGCGTAGGAGGTCGTCCCAGAGGAGTTGGTAGAATTGCCAATCCAAGGACGATTTGTCCTCCCAGGCATTGAGGATGTACTGCTCGTAGAGTTTCATGACCTCTGCCTTGCACCAGACACCCTCTCCCTTGGAACGTAAGGCTTCTTCGAAGTGCTCGAATGCGATTGGCTGCTTGACCATCCGAAATGACACTTTTTGTTCGTTTGGTCAATGTTCGTGTCTCGTGCCATAGTCGACGAAAATACAGACAAACAGGTTATATATGAGTTTGAGACCAAGAATGGTGTAACTCGACCTGTCCGATTCAAAGACTCCGAGGGCGACCATGAAATTAAACGGAAATTAGCTAGGAAGGAATATAAAATGGACTGGTCGCACCACCTCCACCTCCACCACCTTTACCTACTTCCTCAAGTAAATAAGCCTTTCACGTTCCCAAGAATTCTCACATTTAAATTCAAATTCGAATAAAAATTTTTTATTTCATGCAATGTTTTATTTCTGTGCCGTCTTCAAGTATGCCCCAGTACTTACGCTTGGAGAGGACATGAACTTCGGTGAAAATTTTGTCCAATTTGAATTGACCCATCTTTTCACCGACCATACCCATTTCAATGAGTTTGTCATACCCTTCTTCGTTCGTCATGAGTGCGTCAATGTTCTCATAGTAAACCACAACTTTCGATTTGACTTCGGAGAAGAATTTGTTGTAGTTGTCAAGGACTGCCTTTGCGAACTGAGGGTACGACCAATGTTCGACAATAGGTTTTAATGTGGTTACTAAGCCATTTTGACCTTGAGTAAATTCGTACTTCAAAACAAAAGGAGAAAACCTTTCAACAAAGTTGTCGACCTTCTCATAGTGTTTACTCTTCATCGTTTGAGGTTTCTTAATGGAATATCCCCATGTCGAATTCATAAGCAATTTGAGTGTCATTGCAAGTTTGGGGTTTGAAGCTTTCCTAATATCATACAGTTGTTGTATGACTTTTCCAACTGTATAGTTCCTTCCCGGGAACTCACCATCTTCGTTTGGAATTCCAGTCGGAATATATTGGACAAACCTCATGTACGCAGCGTTAAGGTCGACATAGTATATTTTTTCGTTTGAGTCGAACTTGTCGCAATGAATCGGCCCAGTTTGTGGAAATTCAAGTGAGTCTCTTATCTTCTGAGAAACTTCTCCTGTTATCTCATAAACATCGTCGAAGCAACCTGTTTCATATAAAACCTTCTGACCTAACTCAGATGCTCTCCAATACAATTTGACGTCAATTGGATGTCTCAATGGAAGTTTGTTTATAGCATCTTGAAGTTCTTGCAACCTCATTGGAAGTTCTTCTGGTTCAGGTTGGTATCCGAACAATCCAACTCCTTGTGGAACTGTGTACTTCTTTTGTACTATAACTTTGTCTGGAACAACTTTTGGTCTTGCTAACAATGAAAAGTTTGTTTCGTCTTTTGGTACAAAAGTTTCTGTCAGCTTGTCATCTGGAATTGGTTCCAACAAACCTTTCTCGAAAAGAATGTTAACAGCTCTGACAATGTTGCACTTGCCTTTTCCGAACAATGGGTTTGTAAGACTTTCGTTCAACATGAAGTGGTTGTGGACAATTACAATCTTCAACCATGGTAAGTCTTTGTCAACAACATAGTCGTCATGTGAAGAACCTTTCTCAGTCGGTATGTTGACTCGGATATTCACATTTGCCAACGGTGCAACTTTTGCCAATTGACCTCTAAGAATGTACCTTGTCTTCACACATGACTCAAGATACTTCATTTTCTCATCTGTAACAAGACCAGAGTTCCTGAGACATGTAAGAATACAAGGTTCATTGACAATTGTTTCAATTGAATTGTAAATTCCATACCTTGTCAAGTCAATGTTAGACTTATTTCTGAACGGGAAGTATCCAGCATGTTGTCTGACTGCTTGAGGGTTAGGTTGGTACCATTCGAACTTCACACTTGCAATTCCTTCAATTGCATTCAAAATGTCTGAGTCGGAGTCAACCATTTGTTCTCTCTTTGTAGTCTTGAAAGCGTCAAGAAGTTGTGCGGCTGTTGTGACATTGCCATGTGCATAGTAAATGTGGCCGTCCAAATCTGTTATGGTCAATCTGAGGTTATATCCTTTCTTATTTCCGTCTTGAATTGCAGCAAGTACACCCATGAAGCCTTCTTTGTTCTTTCCTTCGTCAAAGTTTACTGTAAAGGTTCGACCAGATGTAATTTGACTTCTAACTTCACGATACTTTTCATATGCATATCTTGTTCTTTCCATGGGAGCATGTGTGTCTTCACCTTTTCCTTTTTTCCTTCTCAAAGGATGCAATTGTTCGTCATGTTTCCAGTAGAATCTGGCAAAGCCGTCGTGTCCTTCAACTTGAGGTTCACTAACATCGAAAGGCATGTCCATAAGACGTTCTTCTTCTAACCTCTCTAGTCTGTTTGGATAATTGGCACGTGCTGTTTCCAAATCCATTTCGTAGCGAAGACCAGACAATTTGTCATAGACTTTTATGGGTCTTCCCTTCCTATATTTAAAATTCTTCGAAACTCTCCAACCATATCTTTGCAACTCTGCTTTTATTCTAGCAGATTTTCTATCCATTCTATATGGGGGCATTTTTATAAAAATAAAAAAATATTTTTTTCCTTTACTTTACATAACCGCCTGCTGCCATAAGTCTTTGACGCCAACCCATACCAGCTAATGAAGGTTGACTTGGTTTAGTTTGGAAACTAAACTTTGGTTTTGGTTTATCTTCAGTTTTTTTTTCTTCTTCTATGGTTTTTCGTCACTTTTTGGTTCCTCTGACTTTACCTCACTTGCAGGAACAGTTGTGTCGTCAACATCTTCATAAATATCATATGCCATTTGTTTTTGTTTTCCTTTCAACTTTTTGTGTTTGTTGTAAAGTTTAGAATATTTCGACTCTAAGTCAATGAGATGTTCTATAATGAACTGTTGGTCAGTGAAGTAAACTTTTCCATCTGTTGTCTCGAAAGCTCCTTCAGACTTCAATATTTTATTTGTGAGAGTCTGTTTCTTTTTTGAGATACTAGCCGTTCCATTTTTATGAAAAGTGACTTTGTAGTTAGGGTTTGTATTTCCAGACCTGGCACTTTCTATTATTGAATTTTTCTCTTCATCTGTAAGTTCTTTGACAGGTTTTGACAATGGTTCTGAACTTTTTGTTTGTGGTGTCAAATCTACCGTTTCAACTTCTTCGGTCATTTCATCTCAGTAAAAAATTTTAGTTTGGTTTGTTTTCAACTGGTTGTTTAGGTTTTTTAAGTCGGTCTAAAACTTCCTGAGGTATAGGAAGAACTTGACAAACACGTGGTGGTGTAACTGCTGGAAGCCGACAAATCCATCTTGAACCCATTTGTCTCAATGCTGCATTGTTCATTTCATCTCAATAAAAAACTTTACATTCCCCACGTTTGAGGCGGTTGAGGTTGGTTATTGTTTACCCACTGTTGTGCATGGTTATATCCTCTGTTAAAGAATCTTTCACCTTGGTCCATATAGTGCCCTGCTTGGTTATAGTAGTCATTTGCTTTGTTATAATAGTTTCCTGCTTGTCTTCCTACATTGTCCATCCATCCTTGAACTTTTCCTCTTGTTTCAGGATTTGGAATAAGATTTGTTGCATCTCGTGCTACCTCCCAACCTTTCTGTACAGTTTGTATAATAGGTTGTGCTTTCTCTTTAAGTATACCTAATGTACTCAAAATCTTCCTTCCAATTCCAAATGCACCTCTGGCTATTGTTCCCACTGCGGGTAAAAATCTAGATGACTCCTGCTAATGCGCCAAATAAACCCATTTCTTATGGGTTAAAAATGACGAATTCAAACAAGGACCCTATGTTTCTAAAGCAACAAAGAAAGCACTCATGATAAAAATCTTTAGTTCAACACCAAATGCTTGGTTTATGGATATCTTGGAAAACATTCCGAGTTAGAGAAGATGGACCACCATACTGGCTAATATTTGTTGGTCAAAACACAAGATACTGTGAAGCCATACCATTAGTCCAAAAATATTTTAGATGTGAAAACTGCTTTGACAATATTCGTTGACAAATACCATCCAACAAAACTGACATCTGACTATGAAAGTTCTTTCAAATCAGATGATATTAAAAACTATCTGCGTTCAAAAAATGTAAACCAATATTTCATTGTCGACCAAAACCATTCTGCTCTTGGTGTCATTGACGGTTGTATAAAAATTAAGAGACTTAAACCAACCACAAGGTGGTGAAGCAAATGAAATGTCATATGACGACAAATATAGACACTTCTCCATGGCAAAGATGAGACAAGTTTTAAATATTTACAATAACCGTAAACAAAAAGGTTTGGGAAACCACTCCCCCGAAGAAATGAAAAACAACCCTGACTTAGAGAAAGACTATATATTTAATAATTTAGTCAAAAGAGACAAACAAGAAAGAATGCCGGGCTTCAAACTTCAGAAAGGTGACAAAGTAAAAATAGAAATACCTAAACGCGACCCATATGAAAATACTATTGACTATGACAACAATGGGAACCCGACAGGTACTCACATTCGTGTTCGTAAAAATAGAAGAAAGTATACAAGAGAATATTATGAAGTTTTAGGCAAACATGGCAAAATGTACACACTGCAAGCAGAAGATAAAACTACTATTGTCAGACCTCGTTTCAAACTTGTCAAAGTTCAAGGTGGTATACTTTCAAAGACAGTTCCTAACAAATATAAGACAACTCCTGACGAATATGCTAAAGAAGTTGAAAATGACGACTAAGCAATTCTATACCATGCGTAAACTGTCATGTAAGGTGGCATGTATTCTTTACTTTGTCCCGTTGTTTGCGTATATCCTGAAACGAAATGTGTATGGTTTCCTTCTCCCTGAGTGTCACTCCAGTAACAATTTATAGCAAACTTAACTCGTCTTTAACATCATATCCTTTACCTTTTGTCATTCCTGACCAATCCCAATATCTATGCTTATGCCAACCTGCTTGAGATGTACTTAAATCTATGTAGTGACTGTGTGCAGGTAAATTTTCACCTGAAATCGTTTTACTTCCACCTGTTTCCTTTGAAGAGTTTGCACAATACAAAAACCTGTCGACTATTTGAGTCCAAGTTCCAAAACCAAGTACTACTTCTGGTCTGGTAGAGTTCATTGACGTATAAATAGAACCTATAGGATATACTGTTTGAAGTATTTCTGTCTTTAATGTTTGAAGCTCTGTTTTGTCAGCTTTTTTATCATATAAATCTTGAGCAGTGAATTTAACATTGTTTTCATCCTCCATGACATAGACATTTCTACATCTAGTGTATTTCATCGTCGTTATGTCATCCTCCGATGTTAAACTTGTGGAAAGTTAGGAGGTTTCCAAGTAGTATATCCCCAGTTTCTTCAACCGTTCCTTCAATATTTTCTATACCAACAGTTGTAAAACTTGTATGTGTATGGTTCTTATCTGCTTTCTTTTCAAGGCTAACGTTTAAGTCTGTTATTTCAGAAGATGTATGTGTATGTCCAACGTCACTTTTCCTGTTTAAGGTTTCTTGTAAGTTTTGTAATATTTGCAATGGTATGTGTATGAGTCTTTTTAGAATATTCGTTTTCAGCTCTTGTCACTTCACTTGACATTTTATTGTCAACATATGTTTTGTCTGCTAGTTCAGGATGATGAGTATGTTCTTTCGTTGCATATGTTGCATCTGCTCTGTCATTTCCTTGAACTTTTTCAATGACATACTCTTTGTCAGCTTTGTTGTCAACATCTGCTTTCAAAAGAAGTTCATCTATAGGTTTCTCGTTTAAATTCCTTTTGTTGGATTTATACAGACAGTATGGTTCCTATTGTCTTGAAACAGAAACTCATCTGTCATTGGGTTCATTGTCAGTTTTAAGTTTCCTTCTTTCAATGACTCATATCTTAGAATAGTTTTGAAAAGTTTGTTGTGTTCTTATTTAGAGCTTGCACAATGAGTTGTCGGTTGTGTTGTATCTCTCATAGACGCTGTTTCATTTGACATTTTTATTCTAGATAAAATATGCTTTCAATAGAAAAAGAAAATTCTAGAGTTGCTAACAACTAAACCATTAGATGAACTTTTTACTAACGTCGGTCAAAAGTTTGAGACAGAGACCGTAAAGCATGAAGGCTATCGTTTTGAACTACCATTGAGATGGCTAAGAGACCCATCCGTCACAAAAGCTGTTGGCTTTCGTAGAATGAAGTTCATTTCAGAAGCCATACATGGTTTCCCATTTACGGTCGGTTTTGAAGTTCGATACATAACAAAGAAAAACGTGCGTATGAGAAATTTGAACAGGGAAAACTTTTACAAGTTAGTTTGCTTGTAAACTAGAAAACAACTCTTCAAGCTTTTCAAGAAAAAAAAACGATATCTATCTCGAATATGCAAAAACAGTACAACATTGACGAAGGAGAGTACCATCTCGATATTATATATGACAGGAAAAATGCAACTGTTAAAATCGATAGAATAGAAGACCTTGGAGAAAACGTTTATATTTCTACAAAATATAACAACTTGGCATGGTATAGATTTTTGAGGATGTTAAATCAGCCTGCAGAATATCCAGTACACCCGAACTTTTATGAAGTCGAAAACCCTAATGGAACATATGAAAATGTTTTCGACCAAGATGCTATTATAGTTCATGCTTCATTTTCTGGCGCCCAAAACTCTTTTTTATGCTTGGCAAATGACTTTTACGAAAAAACCTACAAAGCTATATGAACCGCCGAGTGGAAGTATTTCAGACTTTCAAGTATGGTTTACTACAGATGGAAGAAAGAGAATAATTCCATTATACCACGCGTTTTACTTAGAACTTAGTTTCATATACAACTACTATCGAACGGTAAAAATATATATTTTTAATACGGTTGAGGTGTTGGATTTGGTTGCCAACTTGACTGTGGTGCAGGTTCAGGCTGTTGTATAACAGGAGCTTGTTCTTCTGGTTCAGGGTCTTTAGGTATAATACCAACGAACTGACCTACTCTTTTACCAATATTTTTGACACCGTTCCAAATTCCTCTTCCGACAGATTTATATTCCATTCCATATACCTCTTCCAACATTTCGAAAGAAGTTTCCTATTCTTCCAAAGAAACCCATTTTACTATATGTAAAAATCTAATGTCCGCCTAGTCTCTTACGTTTCCTGTTGTTCCATAGCATTCTTTAACTGGAGCTCATACATTCTATTTCTCTCTGGTAGAAAAACATATTCTGGGTCAACTCCTGTGTTCGCGTCATCTGCATAGAGTTGTTTATATTCCACTTCAGGGTTTGTATAAAACTCTTTCCATCTCATATTTGCATACCATGGTGGCAAACCTAACGCAGCGTCATTTGACATGGCAGTTTGCATTTGTACATCTGTTGGCACTTGACCATAGTTTGCCATTGCAGTTTGTATTCTAACTTCATTTGGAATATTCTCTGGTTTGGTTGTCCAGGTTGCTGTGCATTCGCTAAGTTCTGTGCGTCCATTTAATATTAGATAAAAATATCTCTTACGAGTACATATGCTGAACATTTGCTGGCATTGGTTCATCTTCATATTCTCTATATCTTTCTGCCACGTCAAATAAGTAAATGAACACAATGGAAAAAAACCTAAAACAAGTAGTCCTATTTCAAACCAACATTTACTTACCAATAAAATTTCTTTGTTATGACACTTTCTCCGGTTTATAGGACCTCTCTCATATTCTATCTTGTCATATCTAAACTCATAGTCATGTATGTCCCCTAACCATCTCATAACGGTTTCCAAACCACTTTTATCGGATGTAAAGTAAAAGCATGGATGGTTATGTAAAACGTCTAAAGTTTCTAAAGAGTCTCTCAAAGTCCAGTCTACTTGGTATTGAAAATCCCATGTGTTATAGAACGGCGGGTCCACTATAAAGAAAACATTTTCCTTGTCTTTGTATTTTTCATACAACTCTGTCCAATGACATCTCACAAACTCTATACCCTCAGTATATTTTTCTATGTTCTCTTTGAAAACATTTTTATAGTTAAGATATAAAACTTTTGACATAAGTGTTTCAATGTCATGAACTCTTATAGAACCACTATATAATAGTCTAGCAGATATACTATCCCAGTCAATATATTCTGCTTTTTTCAAAACCTCTCTCACAATATTTTTCTTATCTAATGGTATACTTTCCATCTTACCTATAGGTATCTTTTCTTTTAACTCTTTCAATATTTTGTTAGTGTCTGGTATATGTTTGAGACGGTCCATATAGTTGTCGAAGTCATTGCATATAATCTTTGAGTCTGGGAATACGGTATGGCACAAATGGGACATATAGAAACTTCCACCGAACAAATCTACAAATGTTAGACCATTCGGTAGTTTCTTAAGTTCTCTCAATAGAATATCTTTACATCTACTCTTATTTCCAAAGAAGGGTAACGGTGGTTTTGTAAAATTCATTTTATATATATAATAAAAATGTTTTTTCCTGAAAAGTGACAGAAAAGTGACAGATGGAACACATACTTTTGCAGTAAGGACATATGGGGTAGAAATGAGGTTAGAAATGAGGTTAGATCTAACCATCTACCCTAAAATATATTTTTGCCGAATTCTGTATAAAATTCTGAGTAAAATGACAGATGTTTATATGACACTTTCTCCGGTTTATAGGACCTCTCTCATATTCTATCTTGTCATATCTAAACTCATAGTCATGTATGTCCTCTAAACTTCACTTATACTAAACATCTTCGGGGCTAGAGGGCACGAAGTGCCTGGAAGCCCCACTACCTTTTTTTTTTTTAAATATTGCTGTTTTCTAAATATAATATCTGGTTAGTGAAAGATAGAGTAGAATTTTAGACTTTATAAACAAATTAAAATAAAATTAATGTAAATATTAAATTATTCCTTGAACAAGTTCATCTTATCAAGTACGAAATTCCATAAGATCATGAATGGAACGAATAAGATTGTTGACCAAAGGACCATTGTTGATGCAACACCAACTTTTATACCTGTACCTTGAGTAATAGGATAAACAGCTGTAGAAGATGTAACAAGACACATTAAGAGGCATTGTCTGATCTGTTGGTTTGTTAACTTAATTGCATAAGAGTAAACACAAGAAAAGAAAGGCATAACAATGAATCTGAAGCCAATAGCAGTGAAGAACTCCAGCCATGTACATGATATGAGAGAAGTCTTGGCTAAAAACCCTCCAGCAGAGAAAAGAGCCAATCCAACACAAGATGCTTGGATAGTATAGAGGAAACGATCAAGATATATAGGAAGTTTCAATGTAGAAAGTGAGTAGATCATGACAACAATAATGCCTTGAATAATTGGACTCTTAAAGACATTTAATAAAATTTTTCCAAAGTCTTTAATCGTAAATTTCTTTCCTTCTGTAACATCTTCGCCATCTACTTGATTTTCTGCAGCTTTTTTGGCAGCTTCTTCTTTAGATTTGCGTACAGAGAATAATGATGCGCAAGTTTGATAAATAGGAATGATAACGATATCGTTACTCATAATAATAACTGATGTAATTGCATTATTGGCTTCTCCCCATATTGAATTGAATAATGGAACGCCAATAATAACGTAATTTAAGTAGACAACAGGTAAAACTAAACCTATAAACGTTTCGAATTTATTTTGTACTGGAATAACAGCTACATAGATCGCTAACAGTATTTGTGTTGTTAAACTCATGCAAACACAGCCTAATAATGGTTTAAAACTCATAGAATACAAGTCTTTAAGCGCAAATGCTCGACACATTTGCGCTCTGAGGGTTAATTGAATTACATATTTATTTACTGCGGCAATATGCCTTGATCTTGTGACTTTTAGCTTTTTGGCAATGAAACCTGCCGCCATAATAAGTAGGAATGCTACACCTACATTGATGACGGAGGTATAGTTCACCATGTTTTATGAAAAGATTTTAGTGACCATCGTCAAAGAAGCGATTTTATGAACTTTTGTTGCAAAACAAATAATTATTATTACATACTTATTACGTTGAATTTAACCATTCATAACTTTAACACGATTATTTCATAAAGGGAAATCTCTGTAAAGGGTGTCCAACAAAAAAATGAAAATTTTGGGTGACACTATTTAAGCATTTTCTCGATGAATATAATGTTCTGTAAGAACTTTCTACGAGAGATATATGGGGAGTATAATATGCCATTGATTCATATGAAGCATCTGAATGAACGTCTTTGATTATTGAATATATCTTTGATTTACAAAATTTTCAAACTAATCCGAAAAAAATAAATGACAATAATAGTGGATTGTTTTATTAATATTTATAACGAGAAATTTTTGGAACTAATTTTTTAACATTGGTTTTTTGAAACCAATAGTATTACAAGAACATAGTGTAATAGGATAATTGGTTGGTGATAGTAAGAAGTAAATCCTAACTTAGGATTTTGGGATACGAATTTGATTTTGATACTCATAGGATGGAAACAGGTATTCATATATGCATAATGCATTAATGGTTTTGTATGGTTGGTTGAATGGATTAGAATAATAGAATAAAATACAGAAATGATCATTTTGCAAATTATGGGAATGTGATAAGAATAACTCTTTAAATTTTGCAACATATAATAATCGAACATAAACAAGCATATTTATTGAAATAAATTCAAAATTTCGATTCGAACGTCATCAAATTTCAGGTACCTTCGAATTAATTAAATAGTAACAATAAAATCGAATTTGAAAGTTATAATGCTGTCTCAATCGTTATAATTAATTTTGTGTATCTTCTTTCAATTTTCTCTCATCATTTACATTTTTTGCTTTTTTATTTTTTCATTTATATTCTATTACTAATATTTCTTCTATTTTACGATTTAGATTTTACATAAATACTTTTCTAATTCCAAATTTCTAATTTTATAAAAAATTCATAAAATTTTCCGATCTTTTCCTCAGTGATTTTATATTTCATTTTCCTAAGTTACGTTTCCTTAGTTCTCATAACCGATATAATTCCCAATGGCCCCCTTACGCACACACAGAGTTTCAAGCCAAAATCAATGTTAGATTTTTGTTGGACACCCTTTATCTCTGAAAACAGATGATCGCAGTAAGGTTTACAATCCCTGAAAGGAATAAGTGAAATTGATAGTAATGTGATTAATATCAAATCTAATATTTAACAAATAACAAAAAATATAATTAATAAAACCTTCGAATATATTGAAGAGCATTATCAAATACTGGCTTGAATGATTTGAAGTCAACAATAGTTGGCTGATCTCTTAACATTTCATGACATTTATCTTTCAGACATGAATTTTCTTCTTCTTTGCATTTATCATAGTTTTTCATATCCAATCTTCCTTGAAATGAATTCTCCGGTATCTTATTGATCCAAAAAAAATATTTAATTCCCATTCCTTTCGCAACATGTTCATACCAGTCTCTACAGTCATAATTATATGGGAATATTTCTATTATTGCTGATCTATTCCTTCTCATCCATAGCATATGAGACAAAGCACTGCCATGAATCGAAATTATTAAAGATGCGTTGCAAAACTGAGCGATTTGCTCACCAATTGTTTGATTCGTATATACAACATAGTCAATATCAACATCCGGGGCCCATTCTTTCATTTTGTTGATCAAATCTTGACTATTTATGATATATCTTTTATTTGTATCGCGATTAATGAAAATAACTCTTGGTTTTGTTGTTTTCCCGCATAAAGAATTATTTACATTATATGTGGATATAGAATGTTCTCTAAATTGGTGAAATGCGATGTCAGCAAATTCATAAGGTAATTGATATCCATTTGGCCATTTACTTGGTGTTACTTCTAATTCTGTTTTAGGAACACCTAATATTATACTAGAAAAACATGTCTTGTTATGGTATTTTTCATCTAATTTTATGTTAATTACATTTTTATGGGTCAGAATATCAATAAACTGATATCCTTTTTCTGTATTCTTGTTCTCATCAATAACCATAACTCTGTCTTCATCATTATGTCCCCAAAACATTTGTTTCGACCACCAAATTGGTAATGTAAAGTCAAACAAAGAATGCCAAATGTGTTGCATGCCATACCATCTGCATGTAATGATGCATCTTTCTGTAAATTTATTTTTATATTCAAAACTATCGAAACTTTTGTTTTGATATAAAAATCGAATTACTCTTCTACAACATGGATAATCACGTGGAATAGGTCGTGAACCTGGATAAAGGATCTGCGGAACTAAACTGATACGTAAATTCGAAAAGAACATGAATTTATTGTTATCATAACAAGAATTATTCACTTGGCAATATCTGTCATTAAAATCTTTGCCGTAACAAAACATTGTGGTATAATTCTTGCTTGTAAGTGAGAGATCGTTGTTCGAATATAAAAATTGACTAACAATAAAATTCGATATAATTATTTTTACGAACCATGGTCCATTAATTGGTATTATGAATTCTGAAGTAAAAATATTGTTCTTGTAATGATTTAATTTGTAATCTGAAGGTAAAAATGTAATGTTACCAAAATTCGATGAAAAAAGGAATGTTGGCAAGAGTTTTTTAACTGTGTCTATATTCGATGATGTTTCGAAGTAAATAATAAGTCTGTTATGGATTGTTGAATCGTATTTAATTGTTTTAATTGGATATCTGGAAAAAATCGGTCTTGTCCATGCTGTTTTAATGACGCCTGCAGAATTAGTCGTGAATAATATGTAAATAAGAATTATTGTGCAAATGATTGCCCAGTAAATTAAAGATTTTATAATGAAATCTCGATTTGAGTTATCTTTCTTGGAAAGAGCGGCCGGCCTTCTAGTCTTATAAGCACTACCTAGCAACAATGTATTGGTTTGATTCATTCAACTCAGTAATCCATTCGATTTTGTCACTTTTTATCTCAACATTCATTACTCTCCTGAGTTCACAGGCATTTGTGAAGTAAAATGGCATTAGTAACAAACAAAAAAGCAATTGTTTGGGTTATATTTGAGTTTTCATTCTCCAGAATAAAAAGTCAAGTAATATTTTAGTCTTTACAAGTAATATTCTAACTAATTAAATGCAATAAACACAAAATAAGTTATGTATGACGGTTTCTAATCGCATCAAGGACGATTTGGATAGAATCATCAGATAATTCTGGTATAAGAGCTAAAACTGCTGCAAGCATCGCGTCATCCGCAGATCCAGGAGCCATCATAGCTCTAGGTTGCATTTGACGAGGTGGCGGCTGATTTTGATGATGATTATGTATTTCTCTTGGAGGAATCTGCGGATCTTGCCAAGTTTCTTGCCTTTCTTCATTATGCATGCGCGATGAGTTGATTCTGCGGCCAGAATTTGGTGGATTCATCTGTAAATTTCTTTGTTGTTGTGGTGGTTGCTGTTGTTGTTGGAATGCGTTCTGTGGAATATTTAGCATAGGTCCTGGATTGTATGATGCATCTGATGAAGAAATATCAATATCATCGAGTTTTTCTAATCTTGGAAGTGTTTTAGCGACATATTGACGATAATTTGGCAATTCCGAAACCGGATTATCACGAAGCATTAAAGCTCTGAGATTTGGAAGTCTTGCTAAGTAATTGATTTCAGAAAGATCTGAAATTTGGTTTTGTCTAAGATATAAATTCTTTAAACTATAGCAATTTCCGAATGGTTTTAATGTTGTGATCTGGTTTAATGAAAGAGAAATAGTCTCTACGTTGGGCATTTTCTCAACAATTGAAACATCTGTAAGTTCAAATCCCCACATATTGAGAGTTCTGACATCTGCGAGACTAGTAGTATGAGTTTTCTGGAAAATCATGTGCTCTTTCAAAATACCGCGCGTGTTCTTCTCTTCCATAGATTTTCTGTTGATTACGTTTTTAATTTCCAAAAAAATCTACAGACAAATTTTTGAAATTTTCCATCCACTCCGCTACGAGAAGAAAAAGAATTTCATTAATTCGTTGATAAAATTTTTGAAATAATTTTGTCACTTTTCGCGAATATTCTCATTACATTTTCAAAATTTTACTTGTTTCGTTGATATTCTCGAAAGCTGGTAAGAATAACAAGCATTGCATATCTATTTCCTTACTGATTTTTATATGAAAAAGTCTCAGATTCATGTTATCATAATACACGAATAAAAATAAAGAAAAAATCTCCCGAATATTGCATTTATGCTTCTCAGATTGCTTGTTATTAAATTTCATGGCTAATCTTATTAGGTTGCGGCTTTTATAAGCTGAAATTGATCGATATACAAACAAAAAAAATCTCTTTCCTCCACTTGGAATGCAATAAATTATCGATGCTTTGAGAATATAATATATATTCTAAAAATGAATTGATTCTAATATTTTTTCGAATTAGATAAATTGAAAATTCTGAAATGGAATTATATCTCGGCACACAATAAGTCAATTTAAACTATAATACCTTTGGATCTTAATAGAATAAATAATATATTAATTATCAAATGAAAATACTGACTTGAATGGAAGTTTGATATAACAGTTATGAATTGTCATCAATAGATATGAGAAATATCGTGGAAACAAGTCTGCCCAAACTGTAACAGATTTCATGCAAAAAAATGAATCTTTCTGAGCAGTTTATTAAGTCATTACCCAGCAGATTTATTTAGCTACCATGTTCGTTTTATTCACTATATACGGTTACGTTTAGAACAGTAGGTTGCGTGCGTTACATAAATAGACAGCAACTCATATAATAAAAAATTCGATGTATTATACGCCATCGAATAAAGTTAGCTACTGTAAGCTTAACATTACATTGTGCTTATTTAAATCCTCGATTACTAATCTTTTCAAATTATTCAATTTCCCAGTAAGTTCGTGTTTTCAAAATATAAAATTGTACCTGAAAAAAATTATGATAAAAATGATGTGCACATCAAGTAGCGAGAATTATAGTATCAAGGAAGTCCACTTTTTGAAAGCCCACCAAAAAATTTGTCAAAAAATTCAATGGGTAGGAAATGGGATGATGCTGAAGACAATTTATTAAGGAAACTCGTAGCTCAGCATGGTAAGCAATGGAGTTTGATTGCTTCTAAAATTCCCAATAGAACAGCATCTCAGGTTTCTTCCCGTTGGGAAAAATGTATTGATCCTGCTTTAACCAAAGGACCATTCAGTCCAGAAGAGGATGCAGCGATCATAGAATATGTTAATAAAAACGGTCCCACAAGCTGGCCTAGATTGGCAGAAATATTGCATCAACGTTCTCCAAAACAGTGCAGAGAGAGATGGTTTAATCATCTTGATCCCAGCCTTTCCAAAGAATCATGGACGAATGATGAAGATATCATAATTTTTGAGCACTATCAAGTTTTGGGACCGAAATGGTCTGCAATTGCAAAATATCTACGCCATCGATCTGACAACTCAATCAAGAATCGTTGGAACTCATCCATTTCAAAGCGAATAAAGGTGGATGCAAACGGAAGAAAAATACTTGTTGGAGAGCCATCGAAGAAAAATCATAAAGTAAAGAATCGCCACAAACCAGCTCTCCAGCCCCTCCCCATCCCTCCCGGCCCTACCGCTAACAGATTAAACATCGAAGTTACCCAAAACGGCGCTCGTCAGCAAGATCAATATTTACAGATGCCACCGATGATTAATTATCCTGGATATCCGCCTGGCCTCCAGCCAATGCCAATTCCACAGCAGGCTCAGTCAATGCTTCAAATTCCACAGTTTATCAGCCAGCCTCAAATTCCAAAGCAACTCGGAACACCATTGCAAGCACAGATGCCTCAACCAATACAACAATTACAACAGATACAAATGCAGCAGCAACAGATGAGTAAAACTCTTGGACAACTTACCCCTCAGATTCCAGTACAGAATCAATTGGCTTCACAAATAGGCCAACCAACACCTACAATACCAGCCCAAATTGCTCAAACTCCAGTTGGAGAAGCTACAATCCCATATCCGTTATTCGCCACCACTGGAACACCAATTCCCGATCTTTTCTCTCCAACATCTCCATTCGGTATTGGTGGGCCATTCGCGATGCAGTCCCCTGCTGTTACAAAACCAAGCGAGGCAAATGTTTTCAAATAAATTGTTAATTTTGTGTTTATTTTACTTCAAATTCTTAAAATATTTTTATAAAACTTGATTTAGAAATGGTTTATTTATTATTATAATTATAAATTTTATTTATATATATTTTGAGTTTGACAATAAAAATATAAAGAAATAGATTTGTATTTAGTTGTTCTTCTTGTTTTTGGCCTGCTGTTGCAGCTGAGCTTGCTCTTTTTGAAGTCTTTCCATTTCTGCTTTCTGTTTTTCAGCGAAAGCTTTCATTTTCTCGCCTAAATTCTTTGGACAAATGAATTTCTTAAGGATGATGAATGCTGGTATGATTAAATACATAAAATTGCTGAAATCTTGGGCTTTGGTGAGTGGATCACTAGCGGAAGCTAACTTTGGATGTCTAATTGGAATTGGGTATTTCTTATAAGTTACTCCGTCAGAACTTGCTTGAACAAGTCCATTTTCATTGACTTCAAATTCGACTTTATGAAAATCGCACCATGGATGTAAAAGTACAGCTAAATGCTTACCTGGTTCTACTAATACATGTGTTTGGTTCTTGTTAAGTGTTGGAATTAATTCTTTTTCGTTGTTGTCTATCATTAAAAAGGCCAATCTCGGATCATAGGTGCATGAAGATGTGTACTTGACTTGAAATGCTACATCAACTTTTGCAGCAAGACTTAAATGTGATAATAAATAAAACATTTGGAATCAGAAAAGTGACAGATCATTCAAGCCAAATTATCGAAAGTTAGGACGAATTCAGCTATTTCTCATGTTTTTCATATAAACAAAACTACAGATTTGATTTTCAGCTTTTAAAATACTTTAAAAATGCAAGTGCTGGTGATGATTATTTGAATGCATTAAATCAGCTTATATTGCAGATTATTAACATAGAGGATGGACAACAAGGTAACACATATTTTACAGATATATTCCTTGATCAATTTGAAAAATTGCAAGAAATCGCAGAAGATTCGGAAAAAGATCTACTAGATCTGGCACTTGCAAAGTTAGGAGAAATCTTTAATAGTAGAGAAGAAGCTAATTCTAATAATTAAAATCTCATTTGTTATTTTACTTTTGTTTTATAATAAACTAGCATGTTATCTGTTTATTTAGTTGCATTTTAAAACTGAAGACAAAATATTAATAGAATGATTTCTCAAATCTCTCAATTTTGAAAATATTCGACCACAAAAACACATTTTAATTTGTCTAAAATCTGAATTAATTGATTGTAAAAGTAAGTTGACAAACTGTTATCCATATTTTTAATGTTTTACAATTTTGACTAAATAGTGAAAAATGAGGAAATATTTCAATTTGAAAATATCACATATTCGATAGTAGATGTATTCCGGAGAGAGATTCGTGTTGGAACTGGAATATTCAACGAATCCATTCCGAACGCAGTCAATGCAAGTTATAGTGGTCAACTTCTTATTCCTAATTTTATCACATATTCTAATAAGCTTTGGCGTGTTACCGAAATAGGTACATGTGCATTTGTTTATTGTCAATCTATCACATCAGTTCGAGTAGGCTATAACGTTGAAGTAGTAAGACAACAAGCTTTCTTCCGATGCAGAAATATCGTTAACATCACATTTGAGAAGAATAGTCTACTCAAAACTCTTGAAAATGCATGCTTTTATGATTTATATGCTGTGGAAAGTATAGAATTCGGTTGTGACAAACTCCAAACTATTGGCGATTGGGTATTTGTATATACTTTTGTGCTCAAAAATATAAGATTTCCGGCTTCTGTCAAATTTATGGATCAAAGATCATTAAGAGGAATGTTTACCTTAGAAAGGATTGATTATTGTAGTAAATCAGCAGTTACAAAAGATGTATTTTATAGAGGTGAACCAGATGAACATATAACCCCAACAAATCTGATTATTAAAGTAACTACAGGCTATGGTTCAAGTACATTCGGAATAAATGATAATATTGATATTGATGATTCAATAAATTGCTATTTCCCTCCTGCAATTTCGGATAACGATCTAAATTGCAGAACTATATATGGGAAAAACGACTATCGCATTGCTTATTCGTTGGTCTGTGTTTTTATTTTAATGTATGACTCTTAAACAAATGAAATTTAAATTTTTCTAATTTCATCAGTAAATCTGTTATATATTAGAAAGTATATATGAGTTGTGAATTTCTTTTAGAATATATATGAATATATAAGTAATGGCAAATTTCTATGCAAAAATCACAAATATTTCAATCTAAAATTGATTTCTAAGCTTAAAACTGCTTTCAACGAAGTGAGATATTTATGAATCAATTGTCGATGCGAATTCAAAATAAAATTCCTATAAAAGAACTGAATATTCAAAAAACATTATCTTGATTAGAAAAGAATTATGGTATGACATGTTAACAACACGAAAGGACATGTATTAAACATTACTATCGCAATCATTAAAGATATGTCAGTAGAAATCTTCAGGCCAATTGATCCAAACAACTCAAATTTTTGTCACTTTTGATAAAAAAATAACGAGGAAAAAATGAATTCAGGGCGCTCAATGCTTCCTGTTCTTCCTCCTTTAAATAATGCTAATCCATCAACTATAGACTATAAAACTGTCTCTGAGAACCCCGATAAGGTTGTAGATTTAGTTGATCAATTATTTGATCAAATTATGGAGTTAGCGCAAGTTAATACTGTTGTCTATGCAATCCAAACTCTTCTCGCACCACTTTACAATACAAAAAAGATAACATTGTGGCATTATATTGAATCTCATAATACATTCTTTTCGCAGACTTACAAAATACATGAAGCAGTTGAAGGATCAATACTTCAAGAAGCATTTACAGAGAAAAAAGTTGTATATATTCCATACGAAAAAAGAAATCAAAAGAAATATACTCAAAATGAAAACATTTCGTGTGAACAAGATAATGTATTAGTAATTCCTATGGTTCCTCGTACAGGTACTGTTGGAGCTGTCATTGAAATTGCGATTGATCATCATAAAGTTTTTAATACTGATCATTATCAAATTGCTCAACTTCTTATGTCTAAGTTTAAGAGTTATTACAGCTATCTTATTGATGAAGATCCATTAGATAACGAAGCAATTCAATTATTAGTTTCTACATCTTTACCAGAAACATATAAACGAATTTCAGGTCTTTTATCGAAGTTTTATGCTGCCAGAGTTGTTGAATTTTGGATGTTGCGAACACGAGATAATTCCATCTTAAAAGTCTTTGATGAATCAGAGAATCCGACAAATGTTGAGCAAGATATGGCTGGTATTGCAGGGTATGCACTTGAGCACTTTGTTGTTATCAACGAACGCTACATGAAGAATAATAAAAATTATAATTCCCAAGTTGATGGCAATGGTGACTATTCCATGCTCTGTGTTCCATGCCAATTAGATGATGCTCGCCGCTGGGCCATTGTTTTACGTGGCAGAGTCTCTCCACCTCATTACAGCAGATGTGATGAACATACATTACTATCTCTCACTCCATTTGCATGCAAATCCATCTCCGCAGCGATTCTTCCTCCAAGCGAACTTCCACAGTTTGATGATTTCGAAACAAGATTTCAAGCCTTGTTAGAGATCGCCATGACACTATCAGGTCAATTAGACATAGATAACTTGATTCCTATGATCATGTCTCGAGCATGTTCTCTTCTTAATGCGCAACGTTGTTCATTGTTTTTGATTGACCGAGCAACAAATATGTTAACAACACGATTTGCTAATGGTGTTGACAAAGGTCTTCAAATTCCAATCACACAAGGTATTGTTGGCCAGACAGCAACAACAGGTGCCATTCTAAACATTCCTGATGCATACTCAGATCCACGGTTTAACAAGCAGATTGATATCGAAACAGGATTTCGAACTAACACTATCTTAAGTGTTCCCATTGTTAACAATCGAGGTGAAATCATCGGTGTCACAGAGATGATCAACAAAAAGTCCGGATTATTATTTGATGACGAAGATATTCGTATGATGACAGCATTCAATGTTTTCTGTGGTATTTCATTAGATAACGCTAAACTTTATCAAGCTTCGCTTGATCTCTCCAAACAATTAACAATCTTCACAGAGATGTCCAGTGCAATTAAAGAAGATTCCAGTGACCAAACACTTAAATCCATCATCATGAATGCTAAGAACACATTGGGAGCATCAGGAGCTGTTCTTTATATATATAATTCAGATGATAAATCCTTCCAAGTTAAAGACCAAGTCGGAAAAGGTGCAACATATGGTACAACATTTGCCGAGAAAGCAGTTCAAGATCGCGAAGACAAAATCTTCCAACCAGATGATATCGACAACCTTCTTTTCCCTGCACAATCAAATAACAACTCCAAACTTGGAAAAGACGATTCTTATGACAGTTTCGACTCTATTTCAAGTCGACCAATCACACCTACTAAACCAGGAAAGACAGGAAGTGCAAGAGTATCAATGCTCCTTTCTACAGCAACAACAGCACAACTTCCAGATGTCAACATTCGAGAAACAATTGTTTGTATTCCTTTGGTTAATAACGAAAACACCATTTTAGGTGTTATTCAGTTGACATGTCCATGGACAGTTATTCCCGAAGATGTGAAGATGCTTAAGAGTTACGCTGTTTTTGCATCATTGATTATCGAGCGCCAGAACTTGAAAGGAATTGCCGAATTCGGACAAGATGAAGTCGAAATGAACACATGGATGACGAAAGAAGAAAAACATAGTATGACAGAAATTCCTTCTAAACTGATTATCCCAGAAGATGTCCTTAAAAACAACGTCTTCACCATCAAATTCAATTCATTGGAATGGGATGGCATTGGTCATTTCAAAGTTTTGTTTGCTATTTTCCATTATTTCGATTTCTTCCAAATTTATAAGATCACGAATGAAAAGTTTTTCCGATTCTTATATGCTATCAGAAGTATGTACAAGAAAGTTCCATACCATAACTGGCGTCATGCAGTTGATGTCACACAATTTGTTACTTATCAGATCATGATTTCTGGTCTTGAAAAAGTTTTCACTAAATTTGAATTATTCAGTTTAGTTGTTGCTGCAATTTGTCATGATGCAAATCATGATGGTTTCACTAATATCTACAACGTCAAAGCTGAAACTCCACTTGGTATTCTTTACAAGAACCAGTCCGTCATGGAAACACACCATTGTTCAATTGCAATCCAAATTATGTCACACGAAGAAACAAATTTGTTGGCCGCATTGAACCAAGACGAATACATCGAAATTTGGTCATTGATCATCCAATACATCCTTGCAACAGACATGGCACGTCATTTCGAGATTCTGAAGAGATTCAATGATATCTATGATGGTGGTGATTTCACAATGCAACGCCATGATCACCGCGTTATGTTGTTGTATATGATTCTTAAATGTGGTGATATTTCAAACGTTTCTCGTCCATTCGAACTTGCAGATCGATGGTGTGATGTTTTGTGTGAAGAATTCTTTCGACAAGGCGATTTAGAACAAGCGCAAGGCATGGCTTACACATCCGATTTGAATGATCGAAGCCATTTAGATAAAGCTAAATCACAAATTGGTTTCTACACATATGTTACACTTCCTATGTTCCAAGCTGCAGGAAAAGCAGTTCCTGCATTAGATGTAAACATGCGACAGTTTTGTCTAATCTTTCAGTTTGGAAGAGAAAACACGCAGAAGAACTTGAACTTCAGAAAGCTGCCCTTGCTGCTGCGTCAGATAAACCTAAGACTGATCAAACACAACAGCAACAACAAACTAATAATACTAATCAACCTGCTACAAATAATAATAACAATAATAATAACAACAAATCAGAAAACAATTCAACATCAGGTGGCGGAACTAAACTTGGTCAAGGTCCAGCACCAAAAGACAACAACAAAGATAATAAAGAAAACAAGGATGAAGATACAATTGGCGAAGAATTACTTCTTGATGAAAACGGAGATCCTATTGTTGATGTTAAGATGAGTATTTCTACATTACTTCGAGAAAGTTCAGAACATATTAAATGTTATCCAGGTGATGACAAAAGAAATGATTTTGATATTTATTTTTATTGAATTTGTTTATTTATTAAATATTTATTTAAAATAATTTTTCAAATGTTTTGTCAATAAAATATCATTACACTGACTAGACATCAATAACATAATAATGAGATTAATAGAATTCTTAGATTTAAGCTCAAAAAATGTATGTTGAACATGAGGATAAATTTTTCATTATACACAGATAAAAGTTTACTACTCATAGTGATGTTTTGGATTCCTAAAAAAATATATTCAATACTTTAACTGTAAATCATTGATGTGAGAATCAAATTAGAATTATCATTTTTCTTGATTTACTACAGATATCTCTCAATAAATTAGAATTTTTAATGTTCAAATAATAACCATAATACGCTCTATAATTTTGATTTCAATATTTAAAAAATTTGAGGAAACTTGCACGAGTTTTTTAAGGGTGTGCTTTCCACTTTCTGATATGTTCTCATAAAAATAATTCATCTTTATTATAATAGCAAAAAAAGTATAACATCTGTATTGGGTGTTATTCGGTGATTTATAATAATAAATTATTTGGCTCCAATAGATTTTAGATAATCTCTGACATTATCTTTTGCATATGAGAGTGCAGTTTTTCCAGAATTGGTCTTTGCTTCTTTGTTGGCTCCAACTGAGATAAGATATTTAACAACTTCAAGATGACCTTTCCATGATGCCCAAATGAGTGGAGTATATCCATCTTTATTCTTTGCTTCTTTATTAGCTCCAACTGAGATAAGATATTGAACAACTTCAAGATGACCATAATATGATGCAAGAATGAGCGGAGTATATCCATCATTATTCTTTGCTTCTTTATCAGCTCCAACTGAGATAAGATATTTAACAACTTCAAGATGACCATTTAATGATGCAATAATGAGTGGAGTATATCCATCTTTATTCTTTGCTTCTTTATTAGCTCCAACTGAGATAAGATATTTAACAACTTCAAGATGACCATAATATGATGCAAGAATGAGTGGAGTATATCCATCATTATTCTTTCCATCTTTATCAGCTCCAACTGAGATAAGATATTGAACAACTTCAAGATGACCATAATATGATGCAAGAATGAGTGAAGTCCATCCATCTTTATTCTTTGCTTCTTTATTAGCTCCAACTGAGATAAGATATTTAACAACTTCAAGATGACCATTCCATGATGCATATACAAGTGGTGTATTTCCAAAAGAACTCTTTAAATCTTTGTCGATGCCATATTCAATAAGAGATTTAACAAGAGAAAGATTTCCCTTTTCACTTGCTACATGAAGTACATGTTCTATATCATCTGGAGATTTTTGGTATTTCTTTTCTAAAAGTCCTTCGTCACATGATTTTGAAATCATTTTGCGATTGCCTTGGGATGAAAGCTGATCAAGGAAGTTGTAAACTCGTTCAAAATCATTAGATTTCTTAAGTTCTGAAATTTCTGCAAGAATTTCTCGCTCTTTACTGTTCTTTTCATTAATTTGATTGAGTTGGGAATTAAGTAATTCAAATTTTTTGTCACTTTTTGGTGGTTGATTTTGAAATGTTTCTTCTGATTGAGGAGTCTGGATTTTCTCTGAGGAAGAAGATATTTCTTTATGCGTTTGTATTTAAAAAAATTAATAACGCCATCAAGTATTCGAAGTTTCATGTATTTCTGGAGTGATTTCAAAATTGAAACGATATCTTCAAAATTTTGGACAGAAATATTTGCATTTCGAGTACACATATATAATTCTTTTGCTTTGGTAGAAGAACGAGATTGATCCATAACAGTAATGAAGTCATTTGTTGTCAGGGTTGTTAATTTCATGATTTTTTTTGATGTCGTTTGTTTCGAAAGTAGAAAACAACTTGTCCTCATCGATGTAATCTTTAATGTGTGCAGCAATATATTCGAAATTATGAATAAGGTCTTGGCTCATTAAATTTGCCGATAGCTTAAAAATGTTGGCAAAAAATTATTTCACTCATTTATAGTTCTACATATAGTATAAATATGATGATTCACATAAGGAATCTAAATATTATGATATTTCTCTGATTACATCGTAAATTGCTAAAATTTTTCTTGAATTTCATTATTTTCCTCGTTTTTAACGCAACAATATATATAGCTTTTTCTAATGATGGGGCCATATGAGATGAAAATTGTGTGTGATAAAGAACATTCCTTCATTTTTTAGAATCAAAGTTCAATTGTATATACTCATTATCAGTTTAAAAACTTCATCGTATTATTAAGAAAAGTAAAAGCATGTTTTGTTTTTTAAAAAGTCTTCAATTTTTTTAAATCTAAGATCAATGTTTTGGTTAACATTTCCACTTAGTTAAAGAGTTAAGGGATAAGTGGAGGTAAGATCTTATTATAATAAAAGTTGCTTCAGAATCATAAAATGCAAATGTTTTATTTGTATATTGAAACAAATTCCTACAAACTTTGAAACATAATTTACATTCTTTTTTCAATTATTTTTGGAGAATGTTTCGATGGAATGGTGATTCTGATATCTCAAACATCACACCAAGATCGATTCACAATCCTGCATATGGATTCTTTTATGATAAGAAATCTACAAATAGAAATCTTTCAGTCGCAGATTCAGAAGGAATTTCTCAATTCCAAATTTCTCTTGTAGATCATAAAAATGAAACTATGAACGTCGAGTATAATCCTTTAGATGTATTTCTAAACGCAAAACGGCTTAATACTTCAAAAATTCCTCCACCACCAATTCCACCAAAGCGGCAAAACTTGAGATCGGGATATACATTATACATGAGAGAAGTTAGGCCGATAGTTCATGAAAGAAATCCTGACATTCCTTTTGGTACAACAACAAAAATGGTTGCAAAAAGTTGGAATGAGTTAACACCAGCAGAACAAGAGGAATACAACATAAGAGCACAAAACATGCCAGATTTACAAGAAGATTATCACAATGAAATGGAACAACAAAACGAATTTTATGGAATCAGACAACAGATACCTCCGCTTAATCAGGATAACCAAGGACACTCTCTTTACGATATTAATCATTTTCAAAATTAGTTCGCAAAAAAATTATTATTCAATTCGAATTTTATTTAATTAATTCTATATCACTCCGTCCTCTCAACAAATGCATGCATCCCTTCTATTCTTATTTAGATATTTTCAGAACAAAATTTAATTTTTCACATATTTTGCATTCCAAGCCAACTGTCCTGTTCCTACTTAATGAACAAGATGTTTATTATTTGAATAGTTTCAAATTTGTTTGACTTTTTCGATATTTATTTGTTTGATATTATTTTTACCTAAAAATAAAAATTTATAGTTTTTAACAAATAGAATGTACCTATGATAAGACATTGGGAAGGGCAGGCTCTTCCATATTCATCATCATTTTTATTCCGGAATTTCAACTTGAATTTTTCATTTAAAATAGGCTTCGATATGAAAGGCCTGTCTTATAGTTGGCCTTCAGGCAAAATAATTGCTTTGAATAGATTCTGAAATCTGGAAAATAGTCATAAAAATGACTGTAAAGAATAAAATTATATGTATCATCTTATTCTGAGATAAGAATTTCATAAAATAAAATGATGTAAACTGTATCTCACAAATATCTGAAATTGACTAAAGACGTTTAAAATCAGAAATCAAATAAATAAAACCAAATAACCGAGTTTTGTTTTGAGAACAAATTAATCCTCTAAAATGAATCTTATTTCCGATGAAATTTGCATTTTCCAAAAATTTCGCATAAATTTCATTGGAATTGAACAATAACCCATTCGGCATTAAAAATCTTGAGGTAGGTTCTATCAGAAAGCAAAAGTAAACTGTGAAATCCCAACAACAAAACTATATGTTTATTGACAATAATTTAGTGAAATAGTATAATTCATAGATGACATACGAAATATATACAACTAATCGAGCTCACTCTGAAAACATTGACTCGAGTCCAAAACCCTTTACATCTTTTTCAGTCCATAATTGCTCGATCAAGTCTTCAGCCATATCCTTTGCCGGCTCGTGCTCTATTTTAGGTGGATCTGGCAGTTTTTTAGGTTTCTCCATGGATATTTTCTTTTTCCGCATGATGTGAACGTTATATCTATTCTTGAGTGAATTGGGAGATCTTCCTTTAAAGAATGAAGAAATTTCTACCCATTTAGGTCCGAATTGCTGGACTTTTAATATGATTTCTCGGTCTTCATCTGGTGAAAAATCATCGTGGCGAATACCGGGTGCCAAATATGTAGAATATCTTTCGCGGCACTGCCTACTTGTTTTAGATAAGCAGTACTTTGATATTACTTTCCAGTTTTCTGTTCCGAAAACATCAACTAAAAATCTCAAAAGATTATCTTCTTGAGTGGTGAAACGTTTTTTATTTGTGATTGATTCTTCCAATGTTAGCTTGTTACACTGCCCAAGCAGATTGTTATATTCATTGATTCTATCATGAGGAATCATGGAATATTATTGAATTTCTTATTTCTTGATGTTTACGTAATTCAATTTTTGAGAATAGTTTTGAATTTTGTTCGAGATAATCGTTTTGATGTGGGTTTCCATTTTCAATGAATCATAAACAGCCACGAGAAAGAGATTATTGCATAGTGGTTGAAAGTATTTCAAAAATAAATTGGATTTGAGAGGATGACCTCACACATTCATTATAAAATTTGCAAGCCAAATTATCGTTGAAAATAGTTTACGATGCCTTCCTATAAGTTTTCGTATTTTCATACAAGAATTTTGAAAGGAAAAGTAATTTTCTCTTAATTTATCCATGATATGTATGTTCTATAATGATTGCCTTTCAATAATATTTCATAAATTAATTAATGATGAAATCATAAAAGTGACAACGATACATCAACTATACCTGGATTAGTGATAGTATTTCTATTTATCGATTATCTTTAATTTTTGAGAACTTATTCAATTCATAAGACCAAAAAATGTTGTATAAAAATTAATATATTAAAAATTAATAGATCAAATTAAATTTCAATTAAAATCTGAATTATTTCAAAATTCAAAATCGAAATTTATCAAATGGTCAATGAAATTGAATTTGAATTTCGAATACCACCACAAATAATCGAGAATCTCCTGATTGGATATCTTAAAATCGCAATTTTCAAAATAATCTTTATTAAGGGTTCACTATTTTCCCGAATAAATCATCAAATTGTATTAGCTGTCGCCTATAATAGACCGCTCGGGTTATTAAATCCCAAAAATGCATATTGAGATTTTTCAGATTCAAAAATCTAGCTTCTGTTTCAATTTCATGATTTCAAATAATTAAGGCAGATATGTCTGTATTATAATCATATCATTTGATTGAAAAAATTAGCAAATTTGCATTTCTAAAAATTTCTTCGTAATTTGCATCAAAATTGAGAAAAATATATCCTTCGTGTACATCAATTTTGGACATGTAATTCATTTCAAATAAGATCAAAAATCAATCTGAAACTTCTTCTTTCTCAGTTCGAACGATCTGTTTTTAATTTATTAGGAACGAACAATAATTTTAATACTCTCAAACCCAAAACTGTGAAGAATGGCATAGCGTGGCAGTTTTTTTTCAACTCTACAAGAAAATGAACTATCCTCAAAAGAATCAGCAAATTCAAGGAAATATGCAATACGATCCTAAAAATAGGATGTATGCTTCTCAACAAATGTATTTAGATATGCATACTGCGCAAATTCCATATCAAAATTCATATAAAAGCCCTCACAGCAGTAAAGTAGCAATTTTGCAAACACCTCAGATGATGATGACTCCACAACAACAATTAAATCAAAACCTCGTCAATCAAATTCCATTTCAAACTTTAAATGCTCAGCAGCAAGCCTATATATCACAAGCTATCCTCAGCCAACAGTCTATGATGCAAGCAAATCCATTAACTTCTCAAACACCCCCACAATTAATTCCTCAACAAAATTTGGCCGCACAGCAATCAACATTATTAGCAATTCAACCACAATATCAAACGACAAGAGGATATGATCATACAAAACGACTTACCGATTCAGCAAAGCAAAAAATTGATAAAACAGAAATCCCACAACAAGTAATAAACATCCAGACACCGATGACACCTAAAAGTACTCCACTAGATTCTTCACCGAAAAATTCCGATGAACCAAAAACAAGTGCAAAACAAAATTTAATGTTTTTCACTCCTTCACCTCCTACTGGCTGCTTTACAATAGTTCGTCGTGGAAATCTACCAGAGATTCGTTTTGAATACCAAGGCCTCTGATTTCCATATGTTATTCCAAAATTTTTATTCATAAATTGTCTTAATTTGTTTTTTAAAATTTAAAAAGATTATGTTTTTACTCAATTCTATTTTTATGTATTGGTTTTACATCTTACTTTGGAATTCAACAATTCTTTTAACGGCATCTTCGATCTTTTCATCAAATTTAATGTTCTGAAGAGCGAATTTCATTGATTTGGCGAAATATTCAGCTTCACGTGCTGGGAAGTGCGATGGCATGAAGTTGTATCTGTATTTAAGGAATCTTCCGGCTTCGCTCTCAACTGTATGAGAAAAGATCGTAGCTTGTGGGGAATAAGGATTTTCAAACATTTCTGTATGGATTGTAACGTTTGAAATTGGTCTCTTGAATTTCAATTTTCCGATATGAGACAAAGCGAGGAAAGAATAGTTTCCTTGCTTAGCCCATCCCTTGAATCCCTTTATCTCCTCCTGATTTGTTGTTTGTGTGAGTCTAAGACCAGGAGTATGGAACTTTCTTTCGAAATTCTCGCGCATTCTTGCAGCGAGGTCTCCAACCTTCTCTGATGGCTTCGCATCGGCTACAACATCGATATTTGACATCTGAAGTGGGTGTGATGGATCAAATTTGTCGGATTTGCGGAGATTAACGCAAGTCATGAGTCCCAATTTATCGTATTCGCCATTCATTGCAACAGCAGCAAGCATTTCGGATGTCCAAAGGGATTCTGTTAATTTGGAAACTTTTTGGGTTCTTTTATTGTAGCAGGAAAGTTTTTCGAAAGGAATCATCTTCTGGATGAATTGGTTTGGTCTGTGATGTGGTTCATCTTCCTTGAAATGATGGTTAAGATGAGATAAATCTGTAACATTTGTTTCTGGGAGTGGACGGTTCTTTATTTCTTCTTCAAAGAGGCTTTCTTGGCTGTAGAACTTTGTAACAGGTTCTTTTGGAATGCTGCCGTTCTGTAATGCCTCAACTAATTGAATAATAAACATTCCATCGGTGACTGAATGTGATGCGTCGACAACAATCTTGTTATCGCTTACAAACATTGTCGCAAGAGCTTCTGTATACGGTGTTCTGTTCTTAGAAGCATATGTTGTTGCTAATTCAAGTGAATTATCAGCGAACTTTGGGATTCTTTTGATTGTAATAGGATCTTTGTTTTCAGCAATCTCATCCTTTCCAACTAATTTTGTGTGAAGGCCAGCAAAGGAACGATCGACCATTCTAATATAGTCTTTTACAACAGATTTATCAGAGAATTCAAGACCAAACTGTACATGACAGTCAAATGGAATCAAACATCCTTCTAAGAATCTTAATTTTCTGTAGGGTTGAATCATTTTTGAAAAATGATGTCAAAAAATGTTGATAAGCAATTCATCAAACTCATCGGATGGATAAATCGCATATTTTGGAATAATCCCAATGCACTAAATGACTCTCAGTAATTCTATATAAATTGACTGCGGATATCGAATCCAAAATTTATGTTCTCAGAATTCAAAACCTACTTAGTGTACTAATATTATAAAAATATTGTGTATAATTCATATACTTCATAACAAACAATAAATGACACTTTATAATTACAAACACATAAAAATCTATATAAAATAGCATGATTAACGAGGTTTTCTTCCACGCGCACGTGAAAATGTTTCTTCTGGATAGTTCTGTTTGGCGATCTCTCTTAGATCTATCCATGTATTGATAGGAATTTTCTTTGGCGGCAAAGGCTCTGCTGGAGGAAGGAGAGGAAGAAGTTTCTGGGCTTCTTCCTGCACAATATCACACCAGTGTTCTTCTGCAGCTGCTTCAACTAGGTATCTTATTTCCTGAATATTATTGTTTCCTATAAAAGGTATTGTCTTTTTAATAAACTTAAGGCTCTCTATCGCAACTGGCATGTAAATAGAACTTGCTCTACTTGAATATTTCTGCCAGACATCAAAATCTACTGGTGGACCGATTTTGCATATCTTCTTAGCTTCTTTCATGAATAAAGCACATTTAGGAGGGTCTTCAACAGGCCAATGATTCAATAAAAACGGTCTCATTTCGATCGCGTAATTTTCATTTCTTTTGAATAAAGATTTAAGGACATTTATAAGTGGATCAAAGAATGTTGCATAGTGTGATGCAAAATGTATGAGTTTTATTGCTGTGAACAATGGGTTTGTCGGTAATTTTGGATCATTTTGCGGAAATCCATCTAAAATCTTTGTGATCGTTTCAAGTATGACAATCATCCCATGAACTGGAGGTGGGACTAACATGGATGTTATGTTAGATAAAATTATTGGAAAATATAAATTTGAATCGAGAGAAATAAGCATATCTCGTGCAGTTTCTCTGTCGCTAACAGATGCCGATGATAGCCGTCGTACTAACGCTTTAATTAGTCGTGGCGGAATTATTTTTGGAAAAACCGGTATTAACTTCTGAAGTATTCCATAAGCATATGATATATCAGTTGTATGTCTTTTTGCTGGAAAAACGATGATTTTGTAATAAACAGATGGTTCAGCGTAAGGAGGTGGTGCTTCCATAACGAATGCTAATCCTTGATAGAAAAGATCAATAGAAGCAGTACTAAATCTCAATAAGCTCTGTGTAACGAATGGATATAATGCATTTAGAACGAGCGCTCTCTTTTCATGATCTTGGTTGTCTGTTAACATCAGCCTTTTTAGTAAAAGGACTAAATTCTCGCTTGTTGGTGATATAGCTCGCTTAGATCCCTGAGATTTTGGTAACGTTGGAAGATTATCTGTACTTTTTTTGGAAACGTCTGTTTGCTTTGTTATATAATCTGCCTTTATCTGAATCGGCATATTAGAGTAGCTATGCGATGCAGTGAGGGTGTGTGGACCATGCCGTGGCCCTCTAGGAGTACCAACGGTATTCACACTCATCGTAAAAATTTCAAAAACTTTATTTAGAATTTCTAAACATCCTTGAGCAATTTTCAATATTTGGGTGTTTAATTATATGTCAAGTTTAGAGCCTATATTACTCAAGATATATCAATTTTTCTCTCCATTTGGAATATAAGGAAGAAAAAAATTAAAACCTTTAGCCGAAATAGGGTAGATTATGTTTTTCAGTAGGTTTCATCATTGATACTTCATTCTCCAGTAAGTCAAATAGAAAAGTATTACATGAATTGCTCAATAAGCATAAAAGAATATATATTTCGTTTTCAAATCCGTGTAAATACACTGTAATTCACTATGTAAATAGTTGTGCGCTGTTAATTTACTCCTATTTATTGTTTACACATTTTTCATATATTTGCCAATTCAAATTTTAGAGATATGTCATTCTAATTTTTGGTAAAGGTACATTCACTAGGCGATAACAGTAAAATGGGATGAAAATAGGATAAATAGCATCCCTATATAGTGCCTAACAATATTTATACGGGCCAAAAAAAATTTGGCTAGAGATTTGGCGAGTTATAAAACTTAGAAAATTGAGAGGGATTTTTATTTTTGAATTTTTTTTGGAAAGTTAAAATTGCGATTAAAAATCGATTTCCGGGAGAACTAAGCATCTCATCATATATTTAAATCGATAAAAATATTAAATAATAGTTGAATAGTATAATTACATGAAATTATGGCTGAATATACAGAAAAAATGAACATATTTGACATTTTTGAAAATTCATACGTTAGATGGTGACAAACTCATAAACTATACTTTAGCTAAGATTGATATATGGTTTCAACAACACATGGTTAAAATCGTAAAAATATTTTAGATTTCAAAAAGATATATATGGTAATATAATGGAACAGAGTCAACAAATAGCATGTAAAATATGTTATAATTAACTTTTTATTAGATCTAATAGTATATATCGAATGGTTTCCAGCTTTATGGTTAATTATTTTCTTTTCGAGCTTCTCTTTAACTGTTGTATTAAGGTTGTAAATTTTTGATGCTAGAAACTATGGAATCTTCTTTGCTGCTGCATTTTTCTTGAGAGTTCTTGCAATTTCGAATATATCTGCGCATTGTATGAAATGGGGGCTTTAAAATATCTTGAATCATAATAGGACTGCTTTTCCAAAGGAATGCTTATTTGTAAATCAGAGAGTTTCAAAATTGAGTGCAAGATTATCATCATAACTTAATAATTTTGTAGCATTTTTCTAAATATGCTACAAAATTATCATTCTCAATTGAATGATGAATCGAAAGAATTTTGTAGCGTACGATTATTTTCCCTTGAAAAATAAATTAAAAATTTTTGTATATTTAATCATACTGTTTAATGAGCATCCTAATTTACTAAAAATAAAAAGACGATAGAAAATATTCAAAAAACTTGATGGCTTTAGATAGTCTTTTCGAGGAGTAACTTTTTCAGTGAATCGTCGAACGCTATCCACTCTCATAACATGTCCTCTTAATGTCCAAGGATATGCAACTTTTATCCCCATATTCATTGATCTTCCAAAATTTCAATATCAAATTAGGCTTCAAAGTTCCTAAAACTTTAGCCATGAATAGGATGTCAATCTTAAAGTCATTTCCTACCTCCTTCATACATGAAATTAAGAATAAAAGTTAATTTTTTAAAGTTTTTTAGTGATAATTTTTCAATGGAAAATAATCGTATGCTACAAAATTTTCGATTACTGATCGGGTGAGAATTTTGATTTTGGTGCAAAAAAGGAAGACAAGCTATTAACAAATCATTTACTGTTGTTCATCAAAAGAAGAAAACTTTGATAACAACTAATGATGATAAAATCAAGCTATCTTTTAATATTTTAAATTGATAAGACATTCAAAATATTTGAATGGTTTAAAATATTTTCTTTTAATTTCTATAAGATATTATCATGATTATATAATAAAATTTAAATTTTTATTCAAAAAGGCAATATTTCAAACTTTTAATTTCAAAAATCTTAATTCTGCAATAAATGTATTTAATTGTAGCAAATTTAATGATCCTTCGTCATGCTTAGCAATTTGGAACTCATAAATTAATGATTTCTTCAAGTAAAATTCTGCATTATTTCAAAAGTCAATAATTCTCTAGTAACTTTTCTTCAAACCCTAACCATTATATTATAGGTATAATGGAGAATAATTGCAAAGAAAGATAGCCGAATTTACTGGGTAGTTCTTGTGATGCGAAATAATTGCAAATTAACACCTAGTTTTAACAGCATCAATCTCTTTTTGCTCTCATTTAAATGCATTCGCACACTTTAATTTTGAAATATAAGAGTTTTGGAAATTATCAAATTTATCTGCTCAAATACTATAGATCTTCATAAGTGTTAATAGAATCATTAGCCTTACATATAGTGTTTAATATAATGATGCACATTATACTGGGATTCATTCCTTATTCATCTAGTTATTATAAGATTTACAACCCCATGAAAATTTAAAATTTTGTCAAAAATAGTGAATGTACCTTTTTTTGGTTTTGATGTTACCACATGTTTATGGTTCTACGAACATGAGCCTCTAATTCTTACATATTCTATCGTCTTATGACGCAAATTTACATCATCAAATATGGACGCTCCTGAAATTGCTTTCTTTAGCAGGAAACGCCCTACGAGTTCAAGTCAAAACTCGACAGAAACTGATGGTGTTAGTTCAGATAATGCTCCAAATGAAATGCAATTTGGCTCTCAATTAACAGCATTCCAATCAATGGAAAACACTGACGACGAAGTACTAGAAATTATAAAGTCTGTAGGTCCTTCTTCACGAGATATTTCACAGCTTAATTCAATGAACTCAGCAGAATCATGGGCATCTTTTGCATCTTTTGGCCGCGCTGCCAGAGATGCGGCAACCCTTGTGGAAGTGATGTAATCTATTTCGAAAATCTTGCTTTTCATAAAAGACACTTTACTTGCAAGAAATGCAATCAGCCTCTGATCGAACCTGTATTAATTGGCAAAGAAGTTTACTGCTTAACTTGCTCTCATGGAGATAAACAACCTGATATGCCAGAAGATTACGGTTGCTGCATTTGTAGCAAACCTTTCTGCGAAACTTCAATTATTATTGCTGGAAAATGCTATTGCCAGGAACATTTCAGATGTGCTACATGCCACAAACAGTTAACAGTTGATAATTATCGTCAAAGAAAGGGTCATATTTACTGTATCGAACACGCACCTCAACGACCAATTACAAGTTGCGCAGAATGCGGTGGAGAAATTACTGATAAGGCTATTACCGCGATTGGACAGCATTTTCATCCAGGATGCTTCTGCTGTGTTATATGTAAGACAAACTTAGCTAATCAAGCTTTTGCGGCTTGGAAGAACAAACCTATTTGCCAAAACTGTTTCAAGAGACTTCCAAAACATATTCGTGCGATTATATCAAAACAGGTACACACTGGATTTTAAATTACAATAATATCTTGTTCGAATCTTATAAACACATGTTACTTTATCTCTATTTTTTATTTTTGTTTAATTTTTTGAAAATATTTTTTTTTTAATCGATAATGAGCATAGGGGAATACGCATAAATAATTGCTTATTTGTTTTGCTTTCAATGGAAAATAATACCTTCTTCACAGCTGCATTTTGATATCATCATATTTTGATACGCACCAAGATTTGGTTAGTTTTCAGTAATTCTCTAAATGGAAAATTCTACATTAAATTTGGAAAAGGAATAATACCATATTCACATAGAAAATAGCTAGACATCGTATAAAATTTTCGGTCGTTTTTTATAATGATAACAGACAGAAACGAGGCTTTCAAGCACAACTCATGTAAAAAAGTTGCACAGTTGTCGAAAGTCATCGTTTCTATGCGCAATATATCAATGGATCATGCAGCCATGTTGTTATCAGTTGCAAACAGATATGAAAACACGATAACGCAAATTTTCATAGATCATCGTCAACAACTTGAAGATATAAACACTAGACTCTTCAACTTTCGAAAAGCAACAATAGATAACGAGTGCAGAAAGTTTGCGCAAAAATATAAAGCTGCGAAAACAGAATACAACGAATTGGTTACGTCCAGAGTGGAAACAGTCAACAATATATCAAAAGAAGCAAAGGATCTTACAGAAATAATTGCTCAATTACGAAAACAGAATTTCCAATCTGCAGACCCCGTTATCAATTCTGCAGACAAGTTCAAGGCAGAGTTCATGTCTACGAAGAAAAAACAAAAGCCGAAATCAAAAGCAGAGGTAAATTCAGCAGTTAATCCTCTCAAAGAAAAAATGAAGCAATTACAGGCCGAGCACGATGAGGAAATGACTAAAATGGCGAATGAACACAAGTCATTGGTTAAATCTTTGATGAGAGAAAAAAACGTACAATTATTCAACGAAATTATTAAACGTAGACCAGTCTTAGTTTCATTACTAACAAAGATAAAACGCGCTAAAGATGCAAATAATCAACTTTTTAGCGATCTAAGTAATTACAGAAACACAGAATCTCAATTAATCAGACAATACAGACAAAATTTTTCGGATTTTTTACAACAGTATACATCTAGCATTGCCAAAAATAATGCTCAGATACAAGCTATTCGTGGCAAAGCAGCAGCTTTAGTAAACACGTTTCAAGAAGAGTTAGTGAACGAAGGAAAAGTTCGTGCTCAAAAACAAGCCCACATGAAGAATGAGATTGCATCCCTGATTTCACAAATCAACCAAATTAAATATAATAACGAACATCTTGTTGAAACGAAAATGGGCGATATAAGCAACCAGCAGATGCAGATAGCCGCCTCTCAAGCTGAATATAAGCAAGTTCTTGAAAAAGAACAATATTTTGAATCATTAATTCAAGAATCGCAATCTAACATTGATAGCTTAGGAACATCAATACAAGTTGTTAAGGATAACTTTTCTGAATCATTAAAATCGATGTTTGCTTCAATTTATCAATCAAAAACATATCTTCAGAATCAAATTGGCTCTGAACTTCAAAATTTTGAGAAAAGACTCAAAGAACTCACAGTTAAATTTGATAAATACGAGACAGATCAGTTTTCCAATATCACAGGTGTCATTAATACTTCAAATGAAATTGGAAAGAACAAAACTCGATCAATTCAAACAGAAATAGAGAAATCCCAAGGTGACATCAGGCGTCTCAATCAAGCCAATCAAACAGAAATCAACCAAATTGAACAGAAAAACAAAACGAAAATTTCGGATTACGAAAAAGCAAATAATTGTAGATTGGATGGTCAAAAGTCCGAAATAAAGCAAGCAGAAACAAGAAAAGAGACAGAAAACAAGAAGAAAGCCGAACAAGTTTTATCCGGATTTAGAAAAGATTTGCAAGACAAAAAAACTAAATCAAAAGAAACATTTGATAAGCAATCAAGCGATAACCTCGCAAACCTAGCCAAAAGTACCGAGAAAAGTGGCGCTTTAATCGAACATGAAAAAGAAGTTGAAGAATTACAAAGAAAATTACAGGTCGCGGAAGAATTAATAAACAAGGCAAATATTGAGTCTCAGAACAAGTCATCGGCATTGAATGCTATGATATCAAACACTGAGAAACTCATCCGCCAGCACCAGAGATCAATTAAATCAGAAACAGAAGAAATTGGAAAAGAATATGATATTAAAATCCAATTTGAACAAGTTGAGCTCCAAAATAAGATCGAACAACTCTCAAAACTATTCGATGCTGAAGAAAACAAAAGAGCTTTCATGGTCATTGATCAAATTCGAAAAATTAGGAACGTACAGAACAGAACTCAAGATATGATTAACCAAAGAAAGAGATCATTAGAACAGATGAAGAACCAGAACGAACAGAAAGTCAAAAAAATGCAACAACAATTGGAATCTGCTAAAAACGGAGATAAGTTAACAAAATTACAAGAAGACTTTAAACAGAAACAAACTGAAATGGAAAAGAAAATTGCTGACGCAAATAAACAGTTAGAAGATGATAAAACCAAAATTTCGAATAATTTGACGAAAACAAAGAAAGAATTTGAAGATGAAAAGGTAAAAATAGAAAAGAAATACCAAGACGATGAAGCATCCTTCAAACGAGAGATAGAAGTTAATAAAAAGAATAATGATGATTTACAAGCCGATATCCAAAAGAAGAAACAAGAGATTATACAAAAGATTGAACAGCAGAAACAAAATCTTCTAGAAGAACACAAGAAATCCCTTTCTGCTATTCAAAGAAGAATTGAATCGGTGAAATCTTCTCTGACAGAACTTCAAAACTTTGCAATGATGAATATGATAAGAAGAAGAATGTTTTAGACGACAATCTTTCTAAAAGATTAGTTAAAGATGACCAATATATCCAACAAATGCTCAACACATCAAATGAACGTAGCCAGCAATTGGATAATGATATAAAGAGACTCTGGGAATACAGGGGATCTTTGGTTGCTCAATTCCAAGACCCAGAAATGGCAAATGACGAAAAACAAAGAATTGCTGCTAAAAAGAAAGAATGTGAAGCAGCATTGCAAAAAGTGAATGAGGCACAAAGCCAGTTTATTGATGTAATAACTGGACTTGAAATGCATTCACAGTCATTAAATTCAATGTTGATTTCTCCTCGCACATCAATGAGATCACGCGGAAAAGCAAGAATTATGTCACCGCATATCTAACCATGTTATTTTTATTATTCTCATTATATATAAACTTTTTGTTTTTATTTTGATTATTAAATTACAAATAACCTTTATTGTTTACATCGACCTTGATTCAAAATATCAAGCAGGCTCACAATATTCATTTCCATCAATTCTGATTCCAAAGGTTATTTCATTGTCTTTTCGTAAGCAATGTCAAATCGATAAATGTCTAATGATTTTATGCATTGCATTGATCATAAGCATAAATATTAATTGCAAAAACGTTTTATTGCAAGACTATATTGAAAAAAATTATTATTTAATAGCTTTAATACACCCTGATTAATGATTTATAAGCGTCATATCCTTAAATTAAATAATCCACTTCAAATTGAGTTATCTGACATTTGACCTTATTCGATCAAATCTATCAATCTGAATCTGATTAATAATATGTGTCTTTTCAGATTGTATGCATTATGTAGCGTTCCGAAACAAAATTGTAATTCGAATTAATCAAACTAGATCTTAATTTTCAAAAGACAATAGAGTTCCGTTATTCAGCAATATGCAGTAGCATTGTACACTCTGCGTATTAATTAAATCTTGCAGTATTTAATTGAACACCTCCATAACAAATCGCGCAAATTTATTATGAATTAGCATAAAACACGTTATCACTAATTAATTTACCATTCTCCATATATGAGAATGATTTATCACTATTAAAACTTCGATGTTATTTATTTCAAAAGTTTACGAATAATCTCAAATCGCCCACTTGTCAATTCAATTTCGAATCGACTACCCGTCCCAGATTTTTTCCACAGCCCATGAACTGTATATATTAATATTTTTATAAAAAATAGTTGAGCCAATTATCTTCTCACATTCAATTTTTTCAATGATTGTTATTAAATTTTCAAAATGCTTAGCCCTCAGCAATACAATCGGTATACCGAAATATTAAAGATCGTTCCCGATGATCCAGGAGAAGAAGTTAAGTTCTATACTAAGTTGATGAAGAACAATGAGCAATTTAAGAAAACAGATCGAGATTTTGAAACATGGAAGAACGATTATGTAGTTCCATGGAGCCCTCTATTCGATATTGCGATAGTTCTACTGTATGTGTTCTTTGCGCTAACGTTCCAGACTACAAAAATGGCCATGTTCCATAATTTTAATACGATATTCGATAATTACTTTATGGGAGATGCAGACGAAGATGACGATGGACTTACATATATCTATTTCAAGAGCGAATTTGTCGAAATCGTTAAAAATGTCTCTGAATTATTTTTCACATTTACTGACTCATTCCCAGCGCAATCAAATTTCACTCGTAGTTCTAATTTGACAGCAACCTTAATTGAAAAAGGTAAACAAAATTCAGTTTCATATTTCTGTCAGGAAAATGCATCTGAAGCTAGTGAGATTGCAAGTGCTGCAGTCCAAACTCTTAACTTTAAAGAACTATTACTTGAAGTTGATTACTTGATAGAAGAGTTTACAGAAAAAACAGAATCATTGATCACTGTCAAGTACTCAATGTCATTCAAAGATGTCGATAACTTAGGCATCATTGAGTGGAGATCGAAGTTTAAGAAGACAGAAGTTCAATATATTGGTACAACAATGTTCATTGATGCATTACACAACGAAGTATTCCCAATTGCAATACTTTTTGTCGATGCTTTTGCATTATTGATTACGATTTCAAGGTTTATGACCTTTATTAAATTTGCCCAAAAATATTCCAAAGAAAATTACGTCAGTTTCGCAAAATCCTTTTATGGAATGTTAACGGATGGGAATTTTTCAACCTCTTTTACCAATCTTTGACTCTTGTCACTATTATTATCTATATTTTGATTGTTGATCCTAATTTTGGTGGAGAAAGATGGCTGCTCTTCCTTCTTGGATGTTCTGCTTTCATTCATTCACTTGGTTTGTTCAGATATCTTAAGATGAAACCAGAATTGTGGATGGTCGCAAGAATCACAGGTAGATCATTAAGCAAATCATGCATATTTGCTGCTGGTTTTATTCCAACATATATTGGTTTCGTATTCATGGGAATCTCCTTCTTTGGATACTTCTGTAACGTATTTAAAGGATTCTTGAGAACAATTAAGGTTTTGTTCTCAATTTTCCACTCCGACATTGTCATGGATACTGAGGAATTGGTCAAAGAAGCAGCTGTTTGTCCAGATTGGCTTATTTATACTTATATCTTCGCATGGACTAATTTAACAAACGGAATTATCATTAACTCAACAATTTCATTTGTTGAATGTACAATTGATTTCCTCATTGGTGCCAAATGGAAGAAATATGGTCGTCCAAACGTTACTTAACAAATTTACTATAGAAAATCAATTGTTCTGCGATAAAATGATTATTGTTGTTTATTAGAGCCTTAATAGAGATTATTGAATAAAATTGTTGCTATCTATTCGTTATAAAAATATTTTTTTTCTAAAATTGCACTGAAACTATTCATCCGTACAGTTGTGCATATGGAAGATATGTGGGGTAGTTCTGATTTGAAGGAATTATATATTTAATAAATTCATTAAATATCAAGTTAATTTCAAGCATCAGAATGTTGTAAACAGAAATTCATCAAAAGTGACACCTCAGAAAAGCTAAAATATTGAATTTTTGGAACTTTTGATAGAGCACGTTTTTAAATATTAATTTAAGTAAATGTATATTTTGTAAAGATTCTTTTTAATAAAAAAATAAAATTTTGAAGAAGAACACAAAATCTTCTGAAAAATAATATCACATAAACTCATATTATTTTCTAATATATAACTATTTTATATAAAAATCAAATTCAATGATCTTAAAAGCGAAGGATAAACCTCAAAATTTACGAATATAATGAGTGGGAATATAATGCTTATCTATCATAAAACCATATGAAATATTCCCACTCATTATATTCGTAAATTTTGAGGTTTATTCTTCGCTTTTAAGATCATTGAATTTGATTTTTATATAAAATAGTTATATATTAGAAAATAATATGAGTTTATGTGATATTCTTTTTCAGAAGATTTCATTCTATATGCCTATGAAAAGTACTCTCAAAACTAACTTTTCCTAATTATAATTAAATCTAGAATATTGTATTATGCTTAGTATTATTTCATTTTTCTCATTCAATTTAGAATTTACAAATGTCAAAAAATTGAGAGCTGTCACTTTTGATGAATTTCTGTTTATTACAAGAAATGTCGGACCATGTAGCAAATCATTAATTACTGAATTTAAATGATTGATGCTTATCATTCCTTTCATTCAAGCAAAATTTATTTCTAATCTTGATGATTTGTTTGGTTTTGGTCTTCTTCTCAACTACTTTCAAATAAAATAATTCTGAATGAGCAGTCAGACCATCAAAAAATTAAAATCGAAATGTAAAATAAACGGAAAATTTCAATATGCGCACGTTTAAAAAATAATGCTTGGGCGAAGTTCTGACGTATTTGCTGGAAATTCTATGGGAAAATCCAAGCTAGAGAAGATACATAAGGAAGCAAAAGAAATTATAGCTCAGAAAAACAAAGAAATCATGAAGTATTCGAAATTAATAGAAGATGCAGAAAATCAATTATCCGAATTGAAAGCAGAATTACAAGAGAAAACAAACAGAATCAATAATATGAAAAATGAAGATATAAGTTACAACGTAAATTCAATCGAAGATGAAATAACTGCATTAAGCACTCAGCATATTGAAGAAATGAAAGCACTCGAAGAAAAACATCAAGAAGATATGCAAACATATAAAATGAAATACGCAAAATCACTTAAAGAAGCAGAACAATGGACCGAGCAGCATATAGATACATTAGCTGTTGAGAAGCAGGCCAAATTACAGATGGCACAGCAAGAACTGAAGACAGCTAAAGAAAAAGCACAAGCTTCTAAACTTGCTGCAACCGCAGTCAAATCTAATTTCTATCAGAACAATAAAACAGCCCAATTAATGAATACCCAACGTATTGAATATCTTGAATCTCAGTTATCAGAAATCACATCACTATCTAGAGAAGAAATCAGAGATATCCGCGGAAAAGTCGAAGAATGCCTTGCAACAATAACTGTTCGTCAAAAAGAATACGAAGCACAGATTGCAAAGTGTAAGAAGGAATTAAAAGAAAGAGAAACCAAATATAATGATCATATAGAAGCTTTAACAAACCAATATAATACAGAAAAAGCAAGATACCAGAATCAAATAAACGCAGTGAATGAAAACATCCAAAACTTAACACGCGTAATTAAACAAATGGAAACGCATCATGAACAACAACTAAGATCAACAATGAAAGATCTAGAAAGAATGAAAACAACTATATATGCTTCTAGATCAATGAGAACAACTTCTCGTGATGAAACAATAACTAATGCTAGAGAAACAATGTCAATCCAAAATCAATGTATGCAAATGAAACAAGAAATTGCTGTCATCAAAGAAGAAATAGATGAACTCAATGCCGAAAACGATGAACTCAGATCTCAATTGCAAGTCCTTGATCGAAGTGTCTATGGTGGATACTAATTTCTATCTTGTATTTTTTAAAAATATTTGTTATTTTCTTATATTTATATACTTTAATCCTTATCTTCATATAAATTCACTATCAAATTCATAATTGCGAATATTGGGTTAGGATATGTATCAAAAGTAATCATATGTTCACTTTGAAATTAATCAAAGTCCGGGATAATATATAAATAAGAATCAAACAAAGGTAAGCCGAACAAACCCATAACTCAATGTATCGTAAAAACTCTCTTTTTATATAGTTCTGTAAAGTAATTGAATAATTGTCGATAATTTCCTGAAAAATTCAAAAACTTTCCCTGTGTTATGATTGAGTGTTTTTAAAGAAGTCTTTTAAATTCTTAAGGACAGAAACAAAGAAAAAATAAATAATTTAAAATTATTTTTCTTTAAAAATGATGATATTGATGTAACAAATAAAATTCTATATTTATTAATCTAATGTAGGTATTTCATCGGAAACATCTGAGTCTGGATTCTCATCAGGTTCGTCAAATTGGAAGTGATGTTTCTTTTCTTTATTTTGAACGCGCTGAAGCCGAGCCTGTCTTCTTTTCTCTTGTTTTACGCGTCTTTGGTTTGTAGCAAATGAACTTGTAACAGCAAATTCGACAATTAATCTAACTCCTGGGAAATATTCTGGATTATTATTAACCTGGCGCAATGCACACAATGTGTGCTCATGTTGGGAGAATTCTACGAAGAAAAGACCCTTCTGGTCTTCGATCTTACGTACTTCTGTAATTCTAACTGGAGATTTCATTGCTTTTCTACACATTGGGTCATCTTTGTGATTTCTGGAGTAGCGCTGTGAGGCAACAGCGAAGATCTTGCGTACACGACCAGCATTGATGCCATCTGGAACGTTCATTACGCATAATCTTGTAGGAACAATGGAATAGTTTGTATCTGCGAGTTTCTTTTGCTTTGTTTCGAAGAGACGCTTTCTCTTAGCCATATCAGCGTCGGAAACGCCTTCAGCTGCTGCGTCTCCTGGTTTAATATGTCCTTCCCACATTAAGTGAAGATTACGCTTGTCTTTCTTTTCCATACGGTCGAGAATTTCTTGGCGCTCTTTAAATGGTAAAATAAGAATTGGTTCGTCGCAAATTCTGACAATTTTATCACTAAGCATTTGTTCTGAAACGAGTTTACCATGATGATCTGAATTACCGTATTCAAGTACTTTGGCAGCATCTTCTTCAGTGTAATACTCGAGAAAAGCAGATTGTGTTTGTTTATCTCCTTTTTCTGGATCTTCTTTCTTCTTAATTAATGTGATATGTTTGATCTTGGCTAATGGTTCAAGTGCTCTGATGATATCAATAAAAGATGCTTCTAGAGGGATTTTAGTCGCAAATACTTCGAAAGACATTTTAAAGATTGTGTTGAAAATAATCGTATCCTAAATCTTTGTGAGAACACAATCTAAAATCTAAGCTTCTAAACAGTGAATTTTAGAAATGCATTAACTAAGATTATTAATTATTAATTCATATAGATTGTGCTAACATAATAGATTATATTTCAGGAGTAATTATGAAGTAAAGATAAAAAATGATTAGCACATTGATAATTTGTCATATGAATTTTCATTTGATTATGGAAATTTTAATATAAATATAGATTTGGCTCGAAAATGTTTGAGATTAGTGTGTATTAGAGGAATCTAATGGCACAAATTGTAAAAAAAATGTCACGTGAGTATAAAATAATGGAAAATTTATATATTTACAATATGAAAGAAACTTTATAAAAAATATAATAATAAAAATCTATCTGCATGATTGCCAAATCAATTCTCTCCATTCGAAAATGTTCATAGCTTGGTGTACAATTGCAGGGTACCAGCTGGTGTTGATCTGTTTAATGTAACCAAGCTTTGAATGCGTATATTTTTCTTTACTCCATAAAATCGAAGCGAGTTCTTTATTTCTAAACAACTTGATTCCGTGTGCTTCAATCATTCCTTCTTCAATGAGGAATTCATAAAATGTTTGGTCTTCGCATATATTATCTCCATTTCTATAGAACAGTGCATTCTCCATATACGAAATCTTCCACATTGTTTCCAAATCCGCTAAAATAAGTCCATTACATTTTACTTCCCTATCCATCCAATGTGGAACATTGAAATTCGGAGCTCTTTCTCGCCAATTACTAAGCACGTAGTTGATCCTGTATGTGTGGTTTTCGCCACTGTAATGCAATGTGTTCTTCGTCGAAAACGCTGGGAATGGATCACTTTGGAAAACAGTGTCAAAACCGTCCATGTAAAGTATTCTGTCAAATTTATCTTTGACGAGTGGCAAAAAGTCTTGCATGAATGGGAATCTGATACCTCTTTTCACATTTAAGTTGGCCTCCTTGTCAACTTTAGTTGTAACGACTGTTACACCACATCTTTGTATTTCCCATGGAATTGAAGTAGTTTCATCTGTAATTAAAAGAATCTTTGCTTGACAACCAGCCGTTCTGATGGTTCTAATGGGAACAACTGCTCTGTGTGCTTCGAATGTCGCAAATATAATGATAAGATCACGCTTTGACGAGTGAGTTTCAACAGGAAGTGGATTATGACATAATGGACAGTCAGAAAAGTCATAATCGGCACTAATTAGACGTGCAGCTGATCTGGCTACCATTATATTGTTGGGTCTGATAGATGAATACGGTGTAACTAAAGGAATAAATGTATCAAAAATATTTGTTTGGATTTTTGTGTCTGTATTCATAAGAGAAATGATGAGAAATACGGAATAAGCAACAGTAAGTACAATGGAACATACATTTCTTAATAATGGATAAAATTTCGTATCATCAGATTTATCTGAACTTTGTGTAGCAAAAAATACATCGTAACTGAAAGATATAGTATAAAACAATAAGCTGATTACCAAACCAATTTCTGAATATGCTAATGGAATTACCAAACCGAGATAAAATGTTATCAATGTTACAACCTCTTTGACGCGGCTATAATTGAATGCTACGAAGCATATTACAGGCAAAACACCTAATATTGGGTAAATCATGTATAATGAATATACCAAAAGGAAAGTAATCGATTTTTCTAAATTTTCGAGGTGAAAATCTGAAATTCTTGTAATGTAAATTAATAAAATAAACAATTTGGAATTTTCGGGTTGTATAAAACATAAGAAAAAGAGTAAGCAATTCAAAAATAAAACTTTGAAACTGGAATAACTTATGATTGAACAGATGATAACGACAAACAATGTAATAATAGAAGCATTCTTTTGTAAGAGAGGTGGTAATGATGTGACTTTTATTGGATTTGATTCATTTTCTGTTTCATAACTAATATTTATTTTAACTTTGTCATTTGAAGAGAAACCTCCATTGATTTTAAACCAACAATTTACTAGTTTGCCTTTATTTCGATATAACGAATAATTAAATATTGTCTTTCACGAGGCATTTTTAGTTCTTCTTTAATCTGAGGACCATCGATTTGTTCACTAAAGAATAATCTCTGAGATTGATTATTTATATTCAATTCTATCGAGAAGATGTCTATATTTGGAAATTTGATGAAGTTAATTTGTTGCGCATGCAACGAAGTAATCGAGTTTTTGGTGTCTATAGGAAGATTAATATCAAACTCCATATTCTTTTTTAGGTATAGCAAACAAAGAAACATCCTATGAACCTTAAAAAAGAATTAAAAAAAACTCAAAAAAAAAATTTTTTATGAACATTATCTCCACCCATAATGTACCTATATTCAGGACTTCAAAACAGTAAATTAAGCATAATTAGGAACTATTATACTACCTAATGCATATGAAGCTTATACGATCTCTTATATTTGATAATTTCCTATTAATTTCGGCGAAAAAAAAAACTATTTTCAATGTAAACTATTCGAAAATTGATAGGTATTCCTTTTGACATTCTCTCAATTTATATGTAAGGATTCCTTACTATGAGGGAACAAGAACAGTTATGAAGTATTCTTTCAAGAGGTAGTAGCAATATGATCTGGTGTAAAAAGAGAAATGAATAGTGTAAGAAAAGATACAAATTTACTTTATATTAATAAAAATTTGTAATGTCATTTAAATTTAGTTAGAGCATTGAGGTAATTTTAGTTCTTTTGTCAAAGATACTGAACCATATTCTCTAATTTATGGAAGAAAGCTTTAATAATTTTATCGAAATTATTTTTTGTAGCTTGTGTGAGGATATATACCGTAGTTCAATAATATTTCATGAGTGTGTGTCGAAGATTATGAATTTATAAACTTTAGATAAGTTAAGCAAAATATAATTGGAAAATAATAGAAATATGTTATAATTGAGTATATACATAATGCTATTTTTGAAATTCCTTAATGGGGAAGAAAGTAAATGAGATATTTTAATGCTTAATAGGTATTTTGGAATCACAAAATTGCAAGTAAATGTTAATGATAAATTTTGAATGCAGTGTTCGTAACATCTGATGATTTTTGGGATATGTAATGGCCATTGGGCCTCTTATTCGATAGAATTATGAAAATCATTTTATGAGAGGGATATGAGCCTGGGAATGACAAAAACTACCCCACGAGAAGCTCCCCTTACGATATTGCCATTTGTTAAATTTCCAAAAAAAATTTAAAATATAGAAAATTAGTTGAATTCTAACATTTTTGAAATATAAAAATTGATTTTTGAATTTTTTTTGGAAATTTTGTTATTGAAATCAATCTTTTACGATAATTGAGTTAAAATATATAGAAACAAGATAATTACTATGATAATATTTTATATAAATATATTAATTCACTCATTAAATTATTAATCAAACATGTTAAATCATTCTGAAATATGAAATCCACATCATTTATTCTTGAAAGCATAAAATTTCGTCATTACTTTAAAATGATGACTTTTGCCCTTATATTGATCATCAAAATCGGAATAACAATTTCAACAAATTAAAAAGGTGTATTTCCCCAAAACAATCATAGGGTTCGATTCGGATCTAAAATTTTGAAGTATTGAAATGAAATCTTGTTTTGGTTGGCATATATTGGATAATAATTTTTTAAATCATAAAGCAAGTTGTCATCAGATAGTAATATTTTCTTTTTCTCTTTAAAATAGCTATAAACAAAACATTTATTCAACAAGACAATGAGTTTCCTTGAAGAATTTCAAGGATTTGTTTTTCATCTGATACCAAAGAAGCCAGTGTAATAAATACTGCTATGTTTAATGGACCTAAGGTCATGCAAAGCTAGTTTGGTTCCAAAAATCCGATTATATAATATTTTTGAAAAAAAATTATTAAAAAAACAGAAAATCATAGTATAAACTCTTATTCGAAAAACACAAAATCGGAAGCGATCGAGTATCCATGGAATCTTGTAAGTTTTGGACAACATGCTTCACATAAAGTTTCTTTGATACTTTTCTGATGATGTAGCAATGCATTTGCATCTAAAATAAGCTTATCAACATCCCATTTCTGGTTGTGAAGTATAGATTCTAAGACATTCGGGCAATCATCTTCAATTTTTGCCTGATGAACATGAGCAAGGGTAAATGCGTTTATCATGTATTCATAACTTTCTAATCTACCGAAGATTTGATCCCATATTCGTAGAGTTTCTTCAAAAGAGTGTTCATCTGCAAATAATAACATTTCGAAACGAACTCCAAAGAAGAGGATCGAAGCATTGAAATCTGTAAGTAATTTGTATTTCTGATAGTCATAATTCATTAAAACCTTATCAAGCCTGTCAAAATGTTCCATTAATTTTTGTTGATCATCAAGGAGTTTTGTCATTGGAAGCAAGCTTATTGTATTACAAACGAGATGATATGTAATTGCTTCGCCGAATTCGATTGGCAAAGAGCCTTTTTGGCAAAAACTTAAAGCCATTGCAAAAAAGCTGTATGCGTACCGATCGAAACCTTGAGTATATTGAAGTTCAGGGTGTTCTCGCTCTAAAATAGCAAATATTCTTGATATTATTTCTAAAACGTCTATTTCTTTCGAAATTTCAGCTCCAATTGTAGGAGCCATCTCATTAAACCAACCGAGAGTCCTTGGAAAATCAACACTCATGATAGATTCGCTCTTTGTCGAAACAATTCGTAAAGCATTTTTGTAATCATCTTTGAAATAATATTTGAGAGAACTATAGTACATATCAACTGCAATTAATAGGCTTTCTGACCATTTTGGTCTTAATGGTGATATGATCTTTAAACAAATTAAGTAAGAAATTAATCTATCAACCATATTTTTGCCGTGATTATCAGTTAATAGGAACTTTCTCGCATCGTCATATGAAAATATCATTCCTTCACCTAAACGAAAAGCATCTGTAAGGATCACTTCAGATGGAAGTTGAAAATTCATTTTTTTGAATACTTTTGACACTTTTACGATCTCATTTATATCTTTTCTTACAAAATCTGAATTACCTTACCTTGGTTGAGGCTATCTGCTAAGAAATTATTCGCTGATGGCTGTGATAAAGATGTTTTACACGATCTAAAATTGAAAATTTCAAACCAAAAAGTCATTAACTTCAAAATTATGATAATAAAATATCCTTGCGAAGCTCAGCTTACATCAAAAGTGTTGTTACATAATACTGTTACAATTCAACTCAAATGAAAGTGTTTGCTACAAAAAATTTCAATATTCTATACTAATTTTTTATTAGAAATGATCTCTTGATACGAAAGTGCACTTCTCACATTAATTTAAAAAAAGATTTTGATCAATTTTGAATGAAAATTAAATAAATAGTGAAATTTTTAATAATATAACTTATTTCTTGACGCAAATTCTAAGTTTTTCTTCGCGTCTCTGAGCATCTTCAATAGTCTTCTTCATTAAGTCCGCATCATCCATTGGCTTTTTATCAATCAAATAAGCTCGATCGAATCTGAATCTCGAATCTGCTGGAAGGAGGTATTCATCAGCGATATCCTGGTGTGGCCTCTTTGCTCTGTCATTGTTAATATCCCAAATGACTTGGCCATCCAACGTGAGCTGCTTGCAGTAGTCTCCACGATAGACTTTTGTAAAATCGGTCTTTTTCTCCTTCTTTCCGCGAATCTTTTTAATTCCGCCGTAAATGTATGAGTAAGCAAATTCCGAAATTCCGAGCTTCTTGTCCTTCTTTGGTGCTAGACGAATGACAGACTTGAGTCCTTTTTCGAGGTTCTTAACAACAATCTTGCCAACAACGCGAATAAATCTGTCGCCATGTTGAAGGCCATGTACGTAAGTATTGGGGAATTCCCATTGATATTTGTCTTCATCAGGGAACACGCATTCGAAAATTCCATTTTGCTTAACTTCAAAATGATTCATTGAAGAGTCAACGACGAAATTGCACTGACCATGAACCTTCCAGGAACCATTCTTGCCAAAAAGCTCAAAGTTAGAGATAGGTGGGTGATGAGAGACTTGTTCTCCATATAAAATAGCACCAGATCCATAATTGCAAACATATGTCTCGCCTAAAACTGGATTCCATGGCTTCTTTGTCTGATGATAGAGATGAAGTGATGATACAATACTGATGGTGATGAGTTTGAGGCGCTCTTCTGGATCAGTTGCAGCGGCAGCTTTGTCAAGGTATTCGCCTGCAAGGAATGAAAAGAAATCTGCCATACGTTCAAGGAAGGAGCGTGGCTCAGAGTAGGAACATGGAACACTCATGTTGGAATAATCACATTTAAGTATATTCTTGGTAAATTGTTTCATAAGCTTCTTGTTTTCTACTCTTTCAGCTTCGATTTCTTCTTTTGTAAGAGGAATGACACCATCAACACACCAATTATTCAAGGCAATGTTTCTTTCTTGGGCATAATCATCATTATTGTAGGAAATAAGGTGTTTTTCAACGCCAGTGTATGATGTACTGAAAATATTCTTATCATTGATGGTTCCTAGGGGCTTGGCTTCGGAATTAACTGGTGGCTCGGCACGACTAATTAAGGGTCCACTGTAAAAATTGAAAGTCTCTCAAAATTGAGAGGCGATTTGCAAATAATCGTTATCGTCTTTTTTCGAAAATCCACTTTTCCTAGTGTTCTGATTAATATTTTGTGAATGTAACAATGAAGTATATGTTTTAATAAGATGATAATATATTCTATCACTTCAAATCACATAAAAATTGCAAAATCAGCGAGTTTTATAAGAACAGGATTTTTTCCTATTTTTTTTGCTTCTGGATGCGTGTTTTGAAAAATAGATATTTTCGAATTTTGATTTTATTATAAGTATGAATTTTATATTAGGAATTTTTTGACCTATTTCCAATCATTAATTCCTAAGTTTTTCTAGGAATTAAATTGAGAAGAAATTAGGAAATTCGCTTTAATGCCATTACATACTAATATTGTGATGCATGTAGTTTATATTTAAAGAGGCTAATGTCGGAATATCGTGCATTTTATAAAAAATTCAAAGAATTGACAATTGGATAGCACAAATTTAATTCTCCAGACAAAGTATTATTGCTTATATATTCAAAACATTATCCTTAGTTTTGAAATGTTGGCAAAAAATTTTCGTGTTATTTTTTGTGTTTCAGCATAAATTATGTATTTACTTATGAAAGATAAGCATTTTATTCATTATCATAAAGATATACCATAACAAATTGATAACATTTAAAAAAAAGTGTATTTTAGTGGGTATTATTCTGGCCAATGCCCATTTTTAAACGATTTAATATTGACCATATCAATAGCCGACTCAATGTAAAAATTTAGATATTATTTTTTTCATTATTCAAACTTTGATAAATTTTAGTATAATAAATGATTTTGTTTCGTGTATGATACAGAAATGAAAAGCTTAATTAATATCATTTTGCATTTTTTCAAGAATGTTAGAGTACATCTACATTAAAAAATCGGATTCGAATTGCGATACTGCATCAAATTGTTGCACATCTGATAAGGATCTCAAAAGAGTAAAGTTAATTTTTTTGTGTTTTTTTAAGTTTTGGGTCTTAGTAAAACACCATCTTGAGCAATATTTTTGGGATGACGATAGGCCTTATTTGGCCTTACAGTGGACCCTTAAGCTTGCCATTGATATGAATCATGAAATTTGTAAAGCATTCAATTTAAGATGCTTGAGAGGATTTCACAATGATTTTTTCACTTTTTCATACGCTATCCAAATTCAACTTACCAATGTTGTCTAATTAACTATAGTAATATTAATTTCATGTTTTGTCAATTGATCGATGGCATCATGAAAAAATCAGTTTTTAATGAAATCATTTGTAATACAATCCTGGAACTATATCAAATCTTTATCTTTGGATCCAACTTTTTATTTGTATTCAAAAACTTTTTATTTTTCGAGCACATGATGTTTATTTAAGGGTGCACCCGTATGTACGTTTATTTGAGAGGAGGAGGATTACCCTCTCAATTTTGAGGGATTCGTTAGTTTATTTTCTCGATGAATATGCAATAAAATTTGATTTTTACCTTATCAATATACTTCATATAATATACACATGTTCATGTAAAAACTTTTTTCCAAAATCCTCAGGAATTAAGGGATTTTTGAATTTTAAGAATTTTTTTCGAATTTTTTCGAAAAAAAATATTTTCAGAACAGCCTTAACGGCTAAGATTTAGGAACAATGTTAAGTATCAAAAAGAAAGGAGGTCTGATATAGACAACATATATCGTTGAAGGTTGAAAAATCTCTAATATTTGAGCCCAAAATTTCAAATTTTAATTTTTTGAAAAAAGAGGCCACCCGTATGTACGTTTATTTGAGAGGAGGGGATTATATTTTTGAAAGGGTGAAACATTATGAATATGTTAATTATATAATAATATGTATTATTATAAAAAAGAAAAAATAAAGCACGTTAAAATTTTTCTTTCTTGATTTTTTACAAAATCTACTTAGAATTATGCAAAATATGACTAAATAATTATAAATTTCAAGTTAAATTTTAATTTTGATAAATAATTTAAATTTCAAAATATCAAGTTCAGTTCGACTATGTATGTAGTAATTCCTCAATAAAGTGCCAAAACCCTATTAAAATATATGAACATTTTCAACATTTTAATGTTTTTATTTAAAAATTTGATGGAATATGAGCTTCAAACAATTATTATGTAAATAAAAATAATTAAAGATATGTGTTTATTCGTATTACAACCGTAGTAAGTCGATTCTTCCTTTCTTCTACTGAGGTTTGAATTTGATTTCGAATTGTAAAGAGATTCAAAGAGAAAATACTAGCGGATAAAAACTACCTCCATGAAAGGGTCATAATGGAATCAAGTTGGATTTTTTGATATTTTTTGCTTTTCGAGCCTAAATAGGTAGCCAAGATAATGCCTAAAAATAAGGTTCTAAATTCTGAAGTTTACATGATCCTCTCGTGTGCACCCTTAAGAATACATTATGAAAAATAATTTTATCTAAAAATGATTTTGGATTTTGGATGAGGAAATACGTTAGTAATACAAATTTTTGAGTGAATAAATTTTCAAAAATTTGCATTCATAATTGTTCCATTTTACGCTTGAGTACTTAAGAATCATATATTTTGAACGAGTTCAATTTAAACAGTATAACTTATGCGTATTACTTTTATTATACACAATTTTTATTTTGAAGATCAAATTATCTGAATTTGAATGGTAGAATTTCATTAAAAATACGAAAATCGTCATAAATGATAATTTTTTACTTCAAATTTCCTGGCCACATGGTTTGGATTTATGATTTGCATTCTATATCAAATCAATCTTAAATTTTTCAGCGACATTAAGTTATATGAGCCTTTGAGTTATATTATTTAATAAGTTTTCTAACTATTTTCTTTTTTGTATTCTATCCATTTGAGAATTTGTTTTCTAATTTCAAGATAAATAGAAAAATTAGTCAAGAAAGAGGAGGTTGTTAGGTAAGACTTGCCATTGATTTCGTTCTACAGTGAATCATAATAAAAATGATAATCAGTGAAATAACACTATAAATAATGGCTTAAAACAAGAAGGTAATAATGTATAATCTATTAGCAATATTTTTTCATATATGTAAATTAATTATTTCTGCCCAGAAGTCCTTACCGTGCAAAGAATCTGATGTAAACTTCTGAAAATTTTCTCTTATGAATTGTAAATTCTTTACAAATTTGGCGAATAAAATTGCTAGCCTTAACTAAAAGAATGATCGCTTTGATTGCTAACCTTTAATTTAGTAGAAGACATGAATACAGCACATTATTCTTGTAATCGTAAAATATAAAATGAAAGTCAAAATTGAGATATTTACATAACCTCAAGACTGACCTAATAGCTTTGAATTTTTTTCAATTCAAAAATGTATTGATGTCCTGACATTACTTATATTAAATGTACCCAAAGAAATAATACTAGGAAAAGAAATCAATTGTAATTAAACTTTTTTCATTATTCAAATAATTTTGGAATAAAAAATATTATTATGCTCATGAAATCATAATCGAAATATTCGTAAAATTTAATAGAGCCGATAAAAATCAATCTTATTTGAGAGGAATGTATGGTTTTTCATTTTATAATAAAATCAATAAGTACATAGGGAGACACTATATGTAATCAACTTAAAAGCTAAGTTTAATGATAAACTCTCAATTCCGAAAAAGATGAAAATATGCTTAAAATTATTCAGTAGTGAATATTTAAATCAACACAACGAATATTGTCAAATTCATTTCAATTGATAAAAACTTAATAAAACTGTTTAAGAGATTGTAATGAATTTTAATAACGATAATCAATAAAAAAATTGAATCGCATTTCAAAGTACCTTTCAAAACATCTTAATTTAAATTTGAAATAATTTATAAAACCTATAAAAATAATCCTTAAGATCAATTTGACGCTTCATCATAAAATTGGGGATCGATAAATTCAAATTTAACTTATAGAGTTTCAATTTTTTTATTTACATTTATGATTTACTTATTAACCCAATGAAATATAATTTATCTATTTTTTTTCTTTCTCAAAATCAAAAACATAACCAAAATATTTATTTTTATTATAAATCCGTTTTCCATTATTTATCATCTTAAAATCATGTGTTTACATTTTACATAAAATTCAATATATTCTCTCTCAATAAATTCACAATTTTCAAAATCATAATTTCAATTTTAATTCTGACTTTTAGATTATTTTCAATTTATAATTTATTTTATGCATTTTAAATATTTGACATTTGCTCACAAAATTCAAGAATTATTCAAATATTAATAGCTTATAAGTCCATTATTTTTAAGACAGCCTAATGCTTTCGTACTTCATTATCAGTGCAATTTCCAAATCACAATTATCATTAAGACCTGACAATGAGTTTGATTCTAAAGCTCCAGGCCTTTTTGATATCAAATATGTTTTTAATGATCAAGAAGTTCCATTTTCTTACAACAAAGAAGGAACACAGGTACAATTAAATGTGACAGGAGGCAAATCTTATCAACTTAAAAGAAACGATAATGGTCCTCATGAAGATATCGTTGTTACAACCAAGTTAGATAAACTCAATGATGATGTCGCTTCAATCAAATTTGTTGTTAAGAACACAGGTACTCAAAGTAAGACAATCAGCCTTGGAACATATACCAGATTTCAAATAAGAAATGAAGGAAATGTTAATGTCAAAAAATTAAACGGTAATCCAAGGTCTTTCTACATCTATTATCCTAATGCAAATACAGATTCCTGGAAGAAACTTATTTTTAGACTTTCAGATCCTCAAAAACTTGAATATCTTAGTCTTACACCAATTTATATTCCACCTCATAACTTTTTCTTTGGATCAATTGAATCGAGTGATGATAAATTTTTCCAGAAATTTGGTAATCCAGACAATTTCGACTCTTATGATGGATCAACTTCCATGGTTTCTCTTTCTTATTCTTGGGAAAATGTCACAATTGAACAAGGCGGCCTTGTTGTTTTAGGTATTCATTTCCTTTATCAATGGGAAAGTGAAGTTCAATTATTACCAGATAAATTAGTTTATTCATTTTCTTCTGAGGAAGATATATATGTTGGAAGTCAAATTGTTCTTCCAAAACAAGGTCAGACATATTCTCCTCAATATAGAACAGATAATGGTAATTCGATTGGTGATCAAAATAGCAATTCTTTTACCACATACAATGATGATATTCAAAGACGGGGATTTAAATCAATTCGAGCAAATCCAGGAAGACACAATTACCAACGTAGATTCTTTAATATTAATTCGTCAAGTATAGGAACTGGTGAAACTAATCATTCAGAAAAATCCAAATTAATTGTTCTGTCTAACATTAACAAAAACATTAAATATGATTCAACAAAGGATAGTATCACTTTCGAAGTTCAAGTTCACAGTAATTCAACAACATATGTATATTATATGATATTCAAAAATGAATTTAATATCATTAACTTCACTAGTAGATGCGATCTATCTACTAATTCTACTTCAGCTTCATTCAACAAAATTATTCCATTAACAAGCTTAGAAAGAGGAGAATACTACATTGTTGTTAAGGCTTTTAATGAATTTGGCTTGATTGCAGACAAACCATATAAATTTTCGACATTTAAGATTGGTGACAATACTAAAATTGAGTCATGGAATTTTGATAAACCAGTTTATGCAAACGGCGACGACATAATAATTACAGGCAAATTCGCAGATAAAGATCCAGACGAGATCCTCACATTTTTAGTTAGATTTGGAAATTCTGGAAAAGAATATAAATCTAACCAAGTTAATAGCTCAGAGACACACAATTTCACAATCACGGTTAGAGGTGGTCCAGAAATCACAGGAGATGATGTCCTTTGCACTTTAATTGCAAGAGATATTAATAATCGTGATGTCGCTACAGACACAAAGACTGTTCATATTTCTAACCCCCCAATATTAATAGCTACACCTAGAAACACCGGTTTAGTATTCGATTTTAATACGACATTAGTTTTTGATCTCACCATTTCTGACGATGATTCTAGAGGAGATATCAAGTGGTATTTTGATAATGATAACGATACTATATATTCAAAGCAGTACAGTGTTGATAATCGTCTTTTCACAGATCCTCTCACAGTTAAATTATCAGACTATAATATTGTATATAAAAGCCAGAAATACAAACTTATAATTTACGCCGTAGATTATAACAACATCACATCTAATAAAGTCCCATTCTCCTTCAATATTCTTAGCAAGCCAGTAATCAAAAACATCGAATTGAACCAACGTGGTGTACCTAATGAACAAAAAATTCTCAAAGTTCTTTTTGATGATTATGATACTGATAAGACCTTACATCTTTATGCTGGTTATGGCTCACAAACCGATCACCTCTATGCTACGCCTTCAAACGGCCAAGTGAATCAGACATTTAAGACAATATTTAAATTCCCACCTCAGTTCAAGGGCAATGTTAACTTCTTCTTATCAAGCAGAAGTGATCTCCAAACAGTAGCATCTTCTTCAAATACTGATTCAGACCCATGGGTTCTTGAAATCATTAGTACAGATATTCCTGAAGTTTCAGCACAATGGCCAGAATTGGACATTTATGAAACAGGAGAATCTATTAATTTCAACCTCACAGTTACAGACGATAACTCTGGCAGTATCAAATATACAATCACAGGTAATGGTTATAATCGTAATATTGAAGCAAATCCAAATAGATATGAATTTTCCAGTTTCGGTTCAAATTCAAAAACATTTCCAGTTACCATCCCTATTCCAACTGATTGCAAATATCATACAGTTTCTAGTGGTTATTATCTTTATGTTCAGTGCACAGATGATTACAATGCTTCATCAAGTCGTTTATCATATCAATTCCATATTAAGAACAAAATTGTTCTCAATAAAGCGACAGTTGTTCCTAATTTAATTCGTCCAGATGTAAATAAGCAAGTTAATATCACAGCTTATTTCAAGAATGTTGATGAAAAAAGAAATATCTTTTTGTGGACAAAATTTGGAGATAATGCTCCATCTCTATTAACATCAGTTTCAAAAGTTGGTGAAAATGAAATGATTTCATCTGTTACAAACGTTCCTGTTGATTCAGGACTTAATTATCCAGTTTCTGTTTGGCTTGCAGATGATTACGATCAATCCAGAGCTACAAGGAATGGAAAAACAACTGTAATTACCGTTGATATCAATATTACAAAAGCCCCATCTATGACATCCCCATGCATTCCTAGAATTGCTTACGGAAAAGATGATAGAATCAAGATTTCATTAGAAGTTATAGACGACACAAATGGTATGATTGAATTCAAGATTGATAACGAAGTTATCGATCAGCAATTATATTACAACACCACAAATGGAGTTGCTAAACTTTCAACAGAAATTGATATTCCAGCCAAGTATAAGGTATTTGGAAATCATTCAATTTCATACTATCCTGTTGATGAATTTGGACTTAGACCAACAACAAACGATAGTATTACGAAGTGCCCATTCATCTATAAGAACAAGCCATTATTACAGAAACTCAAATTGAACAAGACTGTTGCAGATGATGACGATCCAATTACTGTATCTGGCAATCTTGTCGATTATGATTCAGGCAAAAAACTCTTCATATATCAAAAGCTTGGCTCATATGATCCAATTGTTCTTGGAGAGATTGTATCCCAAGGAGGATCTTCTCAAAATTTCACATATACAATCCAAAAATTGAAAGGAGTTCCATCAGGCCAGACATCAATTGAAATTTATGCATCTGATTCTAATGTAACGATTGATGCATCAAAACTTGACAGACAAGCAGTTTCTGATCCTTTCCCTCTTTCAATTTATATGGCAAATGATCCAGAATTAGTCGTTCTTTTCCCTGAAGAAACAGTATATGGTACATCAGATAAAATCGAAATCAAAGTTAATATCACAGCAGATATCCAGGGAACAGTTTATCTCTATGATAACTTTGATGATGCAGACTTCGATAACACTTATAATGCTGTCGATCATATATCATATAATCATTCATGTATTGTCACATTAACATATCAAACTAGCACTGATTCATATGAAAATCAGACACTGTATATTAAGGCAATTGGAAATAACGATACAAAATCCGAACTCTATTCTAAGAGTTTTACAATTAGAGAGGCACCTCAATTAAATAAGATTCAACTTACAAAGGATGCATTTTCACCAGGAGATACCATTACAGCTACATATTATTTTCAGATTAAACAAGGTGGTTATTTCTATATATGTGAAACGATCTATCTATGTGCAAAGATTGGAAATAACATTCTAGTCAGTGATGCAATTAATTTATATTCATATGGTGTTTACTTATCGAACTCTTTTGATATCAAACTCAACCTCTCCCAGAAAACAGGGCCTACAACCCTTACTTTTTGGGTTCAAAATACACCAAATGTTGTCTATCCACCTGAGAAAAATTCTAAGTCAGCAACAATTACAAAGAATATCATTATCACAAAGGTCCCTAATGTCGATTTCAACTATCCTCAAGAGCAATATTACGGATACGATGATACATTCCAATGCAACGCAGTGATTAAAGATGATACAAGAGGTTACATTTTACTTAAAGTCGATGATAATGTCATTAAGAATGAAACATATACAAGCAATGAGCTGCTAACGACAAAATCTTTCACTTTCAATATTCCTAAAACAGTGAAATACAGAAATAAGCGAACTCATGTCCAGCCTTATGGTTACACATACTCTAATGAATTCACTGTTACAATGTCGGTTGTTGATGAATATGGAATGACTAAGCAAAAATCACAAACATTCAAGTTTGTTAACAAGCCAAAGGTCACTGCAATTTCTGTAACTAAGGACCTAATATTACAAGATAAATATTCCATTTCTGTTAGAATCAATTACACAGATGTAGACAATGGAAAATATTTGTATTTCTGGTTATACTTTGATGATGTTAAATACTCAACATCTGGCTCTGTCACCAGCTCTGGAAAATCCGCTTCCGATGAATTCACATTTGATATTCCAAGTAACAAGAAAGTTGGACTTCACACAATTAGCGTTAAAGCTGCTGATATAAGTAGTACATACTATACATCGAATAGGAATTCATTTTCAAATATTGAAAGTATCCCAATTCGTGTTACTTTCAGACCATCAATCAAATTAGATCGAATATCTAACAATTTCATATCTAAAGGTCAGAATCTTAGACTTACAGGTTCTCTCAGTTTTGATACAACAACATACTGCAATATTGTCGTTTCATTCGGATCAGTCCAAGCTCCGTCAACAATGCTCGATAAGTCATCTCTCATTAATGGCAAATATGACATCACAGTTACAGTTCCTGATGGTTTGAAATTCGGAATAACAACAATGAAAGTCAGTGCTATTGACGGAAACTCAATTAAATCTTTGAATTCTGGTTCTAGGTCATTTACATACAAGAACAAGCCAAAGATCCATGACTTCTCCATGTCAGCAGATTATTTGACAACAGGGGGAAAGGCTTCTTTCAAACTCTTGCTTGATGACATCGATGATGGAAAGAATATCTTCGTTTGGATGCAAATTGGGGATGGGTATCCATTATGTGGTTATATGGATGTGTCTAATGGTAAAGATAATCAATTACTTAAGTTCTCTGAAACAATTTATACAGCATATTCCGGGCCCACCAATGTTCTATTTTATGTTACAGATACATCTGATCCATATTATGAAAATCCCGATGGATTAAGTTTTTCCAATGTACTTTCTCAGAAGATCGTATTCTCATATTCTCCATTCTTCCAAGTTACATATCCATCTGATTTATATTACCATACAAATGAACTTATCCCAATTTCGTATACATGCGAAGATGAAGGGGATGTCACAATTTACGTTACCATCAACGGTTTATCTATCGACTCAATGAAAGAAATAATCTCTCCAAATAATAGAAAGATATCTGGAACAAAGAACATCAATTTGACAGCTGATATCTTCAAATACGGAAACAATACATTCAATATGTATGTCGTTAATAAGTATGGATTCAAATCTCATGATCAATCAATCAATATCAGAATAATCAACCCACCAGTTTTAGATTCTATTCACATTTCAAAGAATTACGCATTACAAGGCGATATCATCGAATTTGATGGTACATTCACAGATCTTGATCAGACAAAAGACCTTTACTTCTATGTACAACTTGGAGAAAAGGCTGTAGAACAAAGTTCATGGAATGTTTTATCAACAGGTGAAAAGGGACAAAAATTCAGTTTTGGTCTCAAGATTAATAATACAGAACCAATTGGCAAGAAGAAGATCAAAGTTTGGATCAGTTCCAACAATGATCCAAAAATTGTTTACAATGCAGTTCATTTAAACTCTAAGGTACACGAGTTCGATTTCGAGGTTACTTATACACCAATCATTTCACTACAACCATTAGTTAAGTCAGCCTACAATGATGGAGAAAATATCTCACTAAGAGGTTCTGTAACAGCTAACTCCAACATTTTCATGAAATTCAAGATAGATAATATCGAACTTAACGTTACAAAAGAGATCCAAGTTACAGAAAATCCACAAGAATTCGAAGTCAAGTTACAGATCCCAGAGAATTTCAGGTATGGAAAGCATAATCTCAACGCTTACGCTGTTGATGCAAACGGATTATCAACTGGATTGACACACATCGAGTTCAACATCCAGAATCCACCAAGAATCCTCAGTATCTCTCTTGAGAGCGACTCCGTAACAGCAGGCGGAAAAGCCAAAGTTGTTGGAACTATCCGAGATCCAGATCACGGAAACAGGATCACATTCTTAGCAGGCATCGATCTTGAAACAAAGACTAAAGTTTATGAAATCCTTTCAGATTCTTCTGTCCAAGCATTTGCATTCGAGATTAATATCACATCAAATATTGAACTTGGCGATCATGATCTCGAGGTCATCGCAAGAGATCCAGACAACCTCGAATCAACTCCAGCACAATTAACATTCACTGTTGTTAAAGGAAATAGTGGCAATGGTGGTGATGGCGATTCAAGCAATGCCAATTCTAAAAGCGCAAATAAAAAGAAGAAAGCTACAAATGCGGGCTTAATCGCAGGCATTGTTATTGTTGGCCTTGTATTGGTTGTTCTACTCGTTCTTCTTGTTGTTCTTTTAATTAAGAAGAGTGGCGGCAACAATGCTCATGATTCAGATTCAGAAACAGAAAATGAGGATCTTGAAGAAAGTGAGACTCAAATTGCAACCTCAATTCCAATGGAAGAGGCAACACGCGACAACCCATTATTCTCCGCCTCTGAAGTAGCTAATGATAATAACCCATTCTCAGATGAGTTTGAGGAACAAGATCATGTTGATTAAGATGCAAAATTTTTATCAATAAATTTCGGAATTTTAATCAAATATTTCTTTTTTATATAAAACATTTTTATGTCCATAAAAGATATAGTAATTCATAAATATTCGACTATTAAACATTGATGTTGATATTTGTGAAATTTTATTTTTAAATTCTAGAAATTTTTAATGATTGTTCTAATTATTATAATAAATTGATGAAAAGCAGTTCAATTTCCTTCTTAATTTCCAGAAACAGAATTAGAGGTTCCCCATTATCATAAAACGGTTATATCGATCATAGCTTTGAATTTTTGAATAGTTTACATCAAATCATTTGAGGCATGTTACTTCTTCAACCATTCTACATAATTATAAAAATTTTGCTATTTCCACTGATTTCAATACTCTTATAAAAAACGATCATTTTTTAGAAATTGAAAGGAGAAATTTTTATGCCAAAATTTTTATTTTATAAATGAAATTTGGAAAGCAAATACGCTTTGTTGCCGTTAAATCTTGGTATGATAAGTATGTAGAATATAAGTTTAAAGTTGCCGTAACAAATGGTAGAGAAAGAATGCTAGAAGCCCATGAAAATGGCGCATTAGACTCAGAACTCGATACCATGAAAGAAGAATTTCTTGAGAACATCTTTAAACTCATCTATAAGAGTCTTAATTCAGTAACCAGTTTTTACACAACCGAATATGTAAAATTTCAAGAATTAATTAACGAAATCGAAGACGACATTGATGTACACCTCCAATTCTCGCAAAGAGATGAAGAATCAAAGAAATCTTTCATTAAAAGGGTTTTCGGTATTACAATTGAAGCTTATGAGCTCAGAACATTTCTCGAGATCAACAGAACAGCAGGACAGAAGATTGTTAAGAAAATCAACAAGAATTTCGGAACCTCACACTTATCTCAAGAATTCATTATCGATGAAGCAGATATTTTCGTAAATTTACCTGATATGCAAAACATCGTCGAACAACTCGAAAATTTATACTCAAAGATCTTGAGGGAGATCTCTGTTAATGGAGATGAACGTCCAAGATCCGAAATTGTCATTGAATTGCATAACAAAGTTGATTCTACAATTGCATGGAAACAATCAACAGTTTTATCTGATTTCAATGCGATTGATTTCAGGAAATCACAATTATCTCATATTACACAACCAGTCAAATTCCCTCCATTGATTATAGCTCTTATCTTCTTAATTGTTTTCTCTGTCAAACAGTTTACAAAAGGATTAGAATTTGCAGCACAAAAGACAATCGGGATCATTGGTTTCTGTGCAATATTATGGGCAACAGGAGCTATTCCTTTATGGGTTACATCCATTTCTATTCCATTTATTTCTTGTGTTCTTAAAGTTGTTACCGAATATTCTGCAACAGACATCGGAAAGTTCCTTGAACAATCAACAATGGGTCCAATTGTTTTCTTGATTATTGGTGGATTTACAATCGCTACAGCATTGCAAGCAACAGAAATGGATAAAAGAATTGCATCTATTATCCTTAAAAAAGCTTCTATAAATGCAAGGATATTCTTGTTAGTTACATCATTGTTGAATGTCTTCATTGCAATGTGGATTGGAAATATCACTTCAACAATGATTGTTATAACATTAATTACTCCGACATTAAGACAAATTCCAAGAAATTCAAACTTCGCTAAGGCAGTTATTTTATCAATTGCTGTTGGAGGAAATCTTGGTGGCATGACAACACCTTTAGCTTCATTGCAAAATGCTGTTACAATCGAATCTGTTGCTGAAGCTGCTGCAAAATATGGAATGCACGATAAAGTTTCTTTCACAACTTTCTTCGCTACTGCTTTACCTTTTGCTATAATTTGTGCAATTATTGCTTGGGCTATTATTATGTTGAAATTCCCAATTGATGTTTCGAGTGTTCCTGCAATTCCAGAAACACAATCTGATTTTGGTTGGAGACAAATTTTTGTTTGTGTGGTTTCTTTTGCAACTATTGTCGTATGGATTGTTCTTCCTTTCGGAGCAGATAGAGTGTTTTCTGATTATGGCATTGTTGGATTCGTTCCTCTTCTAATTTTCTATGGAAGTGGAATCCTTCCGTCAAGAAAAATTGCTGACTTACCGTGGAACGTAATTTTCACTTTATTTGGTGGAAGTGTTTTATCTAAAATCGTTCAAATGAGTGGATTAATGGATGCCATTTCAAACACAATGGCAAAGGTATTAGGAAAGCAAACTTTGTGGGTAACTATTCTTATTGTTAATATTTGCGTAATAGTCATTGATTTCTTTATTACTCATAGCGTTTCTTGCCAAATTACAATGCCTTTGGTTGCAAATTTTGCTGCAAAAAGAGGTGGCCATATTGCATTGTTCTGTATGTGCGGATGTATGGCAACAACAGCAAGCCAAATCATGCCAGTATCTTCATTTCCAAATATGTGCTCGTTTTCCATAACTGATGATACGAAAAAAGAATATTTCAAATCCCAAGAATTCATAAAATGGGGAATTACCATCACTGGCGTTTTAATTGCTTGTGTAATGACAATTTTCTATTTTATTGGTTATGAATTTGGATTATAATTTTTTTTTTGAATAAAAAATTATTGAATAATATATATGTTTCAATGATTTTTTACCTTTGCGATCAAATGGTAGTATAATTTGAACTCGATTTATTAAATTAATAAAAGAAAATCCGATTTTTTTTTTGAAAATACCATAGATGTAACATTCTAAACGTACATATGTTGTGAACAATCGGTGATGTTGATATTTTGCATGTTGATGGAAAAGAGAAAGGTACAATATCCTAGATTTCTTTTCATTTTTTGACAAATGTATTGAAATTCAAAATTATGATAAATCAAACCAATACAAATAAACACTTATATTATTTAAGGCAGTTTGGCTTGAGGTTCTTTCAAAGTGATGATAATACAACGGCGCTTTACAATTATCGTCGACCAATATCCTCTTTTAAGACGTTGCACAACACTGCAACGTCGGAGTGATGTTAATAATGAGAGGCCATTTGCTTTATATAATTCATCTTTGTTCATGATATATCATTTCTTTTCGATTTTTATTTAATGAAATAAACGATCATGATAAATAAATATAACTTTCCACAATAAGTGCTATATACTAATTTTTAAAATAGCTTAAGATGTAAGAAAATCGAAAAAAAATATATTGAATTTGAATTTTTATTACAAAATAATTCAACGATATAAACAAAATAGATACAATATACTCTAACACATTATGATGCGCATAATATCATGTCCGATATGATGTGGATCGTTATTAAATTAATTGATTAATTTCTGTAGTGAAATTGTCCACGAATTCATTTGTAAATTGTAACTGGTCATCAATTGGTAATTCAAGACATGCAAATTCAGATAAATCATTTCCAGGTAGAATTAAGGAATCATCAGTGGACGAAGATGACTTTCCACGCCGATTTCGATCAATTGGATTTATATGAACATTATATCTATTTTTAAGCGAATTTGCTGTACGTCCAGGAAAATATTTGGTAAGTGCAGACCATTTCGGCCCATGTTGACTGATATAGTAAATTAGTTTATCATCATCTTCTTTAGTCCATTCTTCACGATTAATTCCAGGAGCCAAATAAATTTTATATCTTTCTCTGCATTGTCTGTTTGTTTTTCCAGGTATAAATGAAGCGATTTCATTCCAACGTTTATCTCCAAATATGTTTACGAGAATTTTTAATACTTGATCTTCCGTAGAAGTGAATAACCTTTTCTTTCCTTGTTTCAGATTTTTCTCCCTTTTTGTTTCTTCTTCTTTTAACTTCTTCTGCAACAAAACTATGTAGCTCATCACAGATAAGGGACGGGTAGAACTCATGAAAACTAGTGAAAGATATTTGAGAGAGTTTTTAAATGTGTCAGTTTTGTAAAAATAATTATATGCATTTAGAGAGTATATTTTAAACGTTAAATGTTGACCATAGATAACTCAAATATCTCAAAAATTGAAAAGTGTTTTTATACAAATTAAATAATATTCAGACATATAAGTGGAAAGCAAATATCAACAAAATCCGATAATTTGCAACGTCTCAATTCATTGTCAAAAATTGAATGATTGTGAAAGGAGAGTTTATAGCGAAGCACAAAATTACATCCGAATCATTATGGATAAAATAAATCCTGCAAGGTTTTTCGGATCTCCGAAAAATATTTTAATTCTATGATATTAGTAAACAATATCAAGAAATAGCATTTGATTGAAATATATTTCTGAGAAAAGTGACATATTTTGAATTATGTTCAAATTTACATTCTTCAGTTTTATTTTTGATTTTTAACTCCAACATCTACTAGTAAACAAACCATATTTTATTCCTTTCAAAGGATAATTGTGTCAAAATTTCATTGTCAAATATTTTTATTGAATATTTCATATCAATAATTGCTTTTCAAATTTCTTTTTTCTAATTCTTATCAAACAACCAAACACACTATTTACCGTTGCATGTCTAAACAATCGTAACGATTATTTCTGATTCAAAAAGTTGGCTGCTTGGACGATGAATAATTTATTTTCCTACGGTGATATATTATTTTTATTATCTATTATTTTATATCTTTAACTACTGTTATAATATTTTAATAAATGAAACTGTAATTGCGTAGTTGAGCAAATAATTATTATTTTATATGATAATTCATGGCTATAAATTTAATATAAAAAACATATATTAAATACGCAAAATAGACATTTGAATATCAAATTAATAAAAAAAAATTTCATATTTTTTCATAAGGATACCCTTACGTGTCAGATTTTTTGCGCATACGAAGAAGTCATGCTAGACATGAGCTATAAACCTGAAATTTTAGCAACATATTTAAAACTTTTTAAACTACAATACACTTTAATATTCAAGAACAAAAATATTCTTTTTAGAAATTACATAAATTTTTATGTGAAATCTATATAAAAACATATTTTGCGAGCGTAACTTTTTTCTTTATAAGCACCTTATATGACTGATAAACTGTGAAGGCACATAATTGTTAATTCATAGAGTTGATATGTTTCCAAAATTGAGAGGAAATTTGAAAATTGAATACCCTTTCAATTCAATTTTCAAAAGATATCAGCTCCTTCAATAATTGAAGGACGATTTTGATCATTTGCTCTTAAAACAAGTATGCCATGGAGAAAAAAGTTACGCTCGCAAATCTGAAATATAACTATCATATAAAAAAATTAAATTTCTAATTTTTTACTCTATAGATATTATTGGCCACTTGTGTAATGCATAAAAGTTTATGTCATATGCATACATTTGGAAGTATGGGAGACGAGGGAAATTACTCTATGAGGCACTAGGATTTTTAAAAATTTCTCTATCGGACTCACCATTCAATTTCTCGAAAATTAAAAAAAATCAATAATAGCTAAAATGTATTATGCATAACAAATTTTAATGTTACACGGTATTTTTTGAACTTCATGACATGAATTTTCTTTATATTATTTTTTTTTTTGGATTTTCTATGATTTATGCGATAGGCTGGAACAACATTGTAAGTGCAATGATATCATTTATAGAGAAATCTAAAACTTCAGCATTCAGAACTCGCAACCACAAAAATATTCATTTGCTAAGTAAGTAAAGTTGATTAAGTTCGACACTTAGCTTTTATACGTAAAACCAAGTGTGTATTGTTATTTCTTGTTAAATTATGAGAAAAAAATAAAATTGTAAGAGAAACGATACTGATTATTGAAATAATATTGAGGGTAGCTGCAGATTTCTTCATTAACATGCCGGAAATTTGTTAATCTTGGTTTTCTTCATAAAATCTGTCGAAGAATCTAAAAACGGAGATATGAAATAGAGATCATGTAAATCTAGAGTATCCTGTCAGAAAAATAGACTAAGCATGTAACCCTTTTTTGGTCATAAACACTTTTTTACCACTTAGTCATACAGATGATCATTAAATTTAAACGAGCACTTTTTGTCAGAATTTATTCTTTTACAAAGACAGAAGATTTTAGTATTATTTAATATTCGTGCTGTAGCAAAATTCAAAAAACGGTGAAAAATTCAGTGAATTTTTGAATTCACATTTTTTTTCGACATTTTTCTTGATATATCCATGCACATTAAGAACACAGCTTTGATACGCTTAAAAAAGCATATTTCATATGAAATTGTTAAAGAAATAAACAATTTATATAAAAATTGCACTTATGGGCAGTTTAGATATATAATTTATATATAAATATATACAAATCCATAGACAAAGTGCAATAACTACAATGTTGTAGAAAATTACAGCAGAAATACTGACTTTTTGAAGGATAATAAGAATTCTTCTAAATGTTGTATTTTTATAATTTGATTGATTTTTTTACTATTTCATTAATCTTTTATGAATAATAATTATTTTTAATATATGTGCTATTAAAATTTCAAATTTTGACTAATATATCTAAGTTATCTGAACGAAACATTTAGAAAATATCATACTTACATTGAAATAGCAAGTAGAGCATATTAATAGCAAGTTTCTTGGCTTTATATCTATCATCTATTGTTGTTTGATCAAACAAAATTCACTCTATTATTGGTGTCAATTAATTAAAACAATTTTTAATAGTTATTTATTTAGTGCGAATAAGTGCAAACTCATAAATGAATAACTTAATAGTAGAAATGAATTATCTGATATAAATCTCGCATTTTGTCCATCAGAAATACTTTAATTGCATACGCATAACTATTAGTAATACGTCTGGAGTGTCAATTAATAACAATCCCACAACAAGTAAAATTCAGATTTTTATTAAACTTATTTTTTCCTAAAAGTTTTCTCAAATTACTATATATACATATGTGGATAAAATAATAGTAATATTGTAAAAAATTAGATAATTTTTTTTATTTGAGAACCTCTCAAAAGTTCATTCAATTTATCAATTGTTTCAGTTTGATGTATATTCATTTCTGGAGCCTAAAACTTTAGCAATCATGACAATATCATATTCTCTTTCTAACTACGCAATGTAAGGGTATCCATAACAAAAAAAATTAATGTTTGAATATTAAATAAATGATACATATTAAACTATAATAAATTAACAATTTTTATTATTTCGGAGGAACAAATTTATCCAAGATTGATTTTCTCAAATCATCTAATTTTGGAACATCTTGCATCAACGAATAAAATTTTTGTTGCATTTCGGAGAGCATTTTATTCTCATCCAAGTACTGCATGATATAGTAAGCATCAACATTGGCTCCCATGCAAATCATCGTAAATAAACATGGATGAAATTCACCGCTCGAAGCGAAACACAACGTTGCAGATTCCAATTCACCGGCGACGTAATAAGATACGCCGAGTTTAAATATCGCCTCGGACTTTTCAACACCGCTGAGCATTGATCTGCAGAACTTCTTTGCAAGTTCGATCTGGCGACTCTCTAAAAGCAAATTGAAAGCAAGTTCGTCAAAACCACCCGCTCTCAATAAAACGGCCGCTTCAATGAATCTTTGGGAGTCCAACATCGAAGTTGCACACGCCTTGATTCTGGCAGCTGATTTGTCGCTGAGCTTCACGTCGCCGAAGAGTGTTAAGACAGCCGCGGCTAACGAAGCAATCAGGAAGTTTCTTGCTGGTGTTAGTTTTAAGGATATAATCGGCCGCTTCATCGTATTCGCCGACAAAAAAGATAAGAAGCGAGTTTTTGCATGCCAAACTCAGGAAGATCGCATTCTAATGAGGCAAGAATCTTGTGGCAGATTAATTCGATCCTGCAATTGCCAAAACAACATAAACTTTGCAAGCGAAGGATGTCACTTTTTGCCAAAATGTTCCAAACATCTCTTCCGACGCAAGTTAATGCTCTTTTTGTTTCTGGAGATGGTTTGCCGGGAATGATGTGAATCTTTCAATAATATCCGGTTCAGATGGCATTTTAAGCATTTTTGTAACAGAGATGAAAGCGGTGCTAAATCTAATGAGCGATAGAACCTTACTACGCCATCGGGACACTTAGCAAGTATAAGCTTACCATTCACAAACTTGTAATCAAGCACTCTAATGGCAAAAGTAACTACTTTTTCGTTACGTAATTCGAAAAATGTCGAATTGTCGCCAATTCCCGAATAGACTTTCGCCAACAAACGTCAGATTCCTGATGGAAACAAAGTTTGTCTGTATGTTTGTGCATGTTTTCGCTTCTTTTCTGAAGAAAAGTAATGTTCCATTATCAAATGCAGTTACGTAGCCAATATCTGAGACTGCAAATGCAGTAGGTATTGAGTTGACACCATGAGGTCTTAATCCGCTTGTACGTTCGACGCCTTTCGTTGGAGAATATTCATGGAAATATATTTCTCCAGTTTTAGTAAAGTTACGAAGGTTCCCGATGTCCATCTGATGATTCTTTATCAACGATTACGTCGCAAATGTCTGTTTTGAATAAAACCGTTGATTCTTTGCCATTTATGAAAACTCCAATGGAACTTGGTCCTCTCTGGACGACAAAAGCACCATTGTGGTTACTGATGCATCTTGTCGGAAGGAATCCGCGAGAAGGAAGTGGTAAAACTTGATGTCTCGCGATATCTATGATTCCAATGGATTCTTCTGAGTGATAGTATATGCGAGACTTCGTAATGTCCAATGCTACGAAGTTTATTTTGTTCTGTGATACTTTGTAGCGTTTGAAATCGTTACTTTCTCTGATACTTCCGAAAATAATGAATCCGGCTGAAGTTCCTAGCGCGTACATCTCTCCATCGCTATCAAATGTCGTAATGTCGCTTGGATATATCGGAAAAACAACTGTTGTTCTGAATTTGTCTGCATCAAAAATTTCAAGGCCAACATCTTGAACGTAAAGCACAATAAGACTTCCATTCAACGGAGAAGACAACGCGGAAACAATAGAATTCTTTCCTTCTCGTGATTGTCGCTCATGAGATACGTAATAATCGTAATCATTGTCAGAATGGAGAATATCGATGCTGCCACTTTTGTGGAATGCGATAAGTACTCTCGAGTTATCGTTTAGCTGGCAAATATATGAATAAGGTGAAGTTACGTGGCGATGAGAGGCAATTGGAACGACTGACTGGCTTTCGAGATGGAACATGTAAATCTGAGTGTTAGTTACGACGAATGCAATGCCATTGATGTGGAGTGACCACTCAACAAAATTAATAATTTCGTCATTTGCGTCATTTATTGATACAGTGTCGTAAAACGATGTAGGCTTAATGTTAGGCTTATCTATTTTGTAAATCGAGAACACATTCGTGTTGCCTCCAAAGATAATGTACTTTTTCGTTTGTTGATCAATTGAAAATCTCTGATACTCGCGCGGAAGTACTAACTCCCACTCAATGTTAGTTGTTTTCTGTTCCACATTGTTATCTTTTGTTATAAAAGAAAGGCAAAATAAACGCCGATTTTTGTCTAAAGCTAATAAATATTCGTCATGACATTGAATGTATTGACAAAAGGCAGCTATGCGCGGACTCTTGAATGTTGCTGTGATTTTTCGAGTTGCATAGTCGAAAATGAAAATTTTCTGGTTTAAATCAGCAATTGCGACTTCTGTACAGTTAGGACGCATTGATATTGCTGTTACTGGACTTTCACTCATCTCAGCGGAGCAAATTCTATCGAATTTTACACCGTCAAAATAAGCAAAATGAACAGAACAGCCAGAAGCAAAAGCTATTACATTATTTGTACCCCAATCGAGTGCATCTTTATTTTCTTTGACGTATTGAGGTGCAAAGCTTGGTAAAATCTGATAAATATCCATTTCTTTTCGATTTGATTTATTTTTTTTTATCGTCTTTCTGTAGAGATTTCTATGTTTGACGCAAACTTACTTTGGTACCGTAAGCTCATTGCTGTATCATACTAAAACCATTACTTTTCGGCCAAAATATAAGTTTTTGATATCTTTTATAACAATTTCAATAAGATAGAGGTATATTCCATAAAAATAATAGAAATACACTTTTTGTCTTAGTGATTTTATTATGCAAAACAGAATTTATGTTAAATATCAAAATTTCAATACAAATTCTAAATAATTATTGATTTTCAATAGTCAAATTTATTATTTCTCCTCTATAACATAATCAACTTACAATTGTTTTTGTTTCAATGTCGAAATTTTGTTCACGAATGATGCAATGATGAGTAAAAACAATCGATACCATATGTATTGCCTTGGTGTATTTCAATTTGCAGTTTTGTCAGCTCTTCAGTATAAAATAAGTCGGTTCAGAAATATGGACAATGAAACTGCCCGACCACATCGAAAATTTCAAAAATTAAAAATACAAGTCTATACATGAATTGCTTTATTTTTTATAAAACTTCACCGGGCTTAACATGACATTTTATATCTAAATCCACCTTCGATGATTAAGGGCGCAGCAGCCAAAATCTTAAGCTACTTTCTAAGTAATTACATCGAAGGATTAAACTCATCTCAACTGGAGATGAGTTTATGGAATGGCACTGCAAAATTAGAAGATATTTCAATTAAATCTGACGCCCTGACATCACAACATATTCCAATGACTGTTAAGCGCGGAAAAATGAGTTTAATATTTCTCGAATTACCATGGGGAAGGTTAGATTCACAAAGTTGCCAAATTAAACTTGAAAATATTTACGCCGTTACAGATGTTACAGGAAATGCATTAGTATCAAAAGATTTAGAAGTCACAAATACCAAAGTCGAGACCAATAAAGAAGCAGAACAAGGACAAGGCTCAATGTTTACAGGATTAATCACAAAGATCGTTGATAACTTAAAAGTTTCAATCAAAAACATACATATTCGCATGGAACTAAACAATAAAGGCACTCTTACAGCAATTGGCCTCGTAATTAAATCAATTGATCTTTACTCAGTGGATGAGAAAGGAGAACCAAAAATATATCCAGCGCAATCCAAGATTATACGCAAGAAACTCGTTATCAACGGTCTTGGCCTCTATGTTGATCCAAATGCGAACTACATTGATACAAACGACATTTACGAGAGCATGGCCAGCATGTACCATCAATTCATCATCGATCCATTCTCTACTGAAACAACAGTTGTCTTAAACAAAGGCGCAAACCCCGATCAAAGGATTTCTGTTTATCTTTATTCTCCAACAATCAAAATTGTTATGAACAAACTCCAGTATTTAGGTATCAGTGCTTTAGTTCGACAGTTCAATTATTTCGTAATCAGAAGATCATTCTCACATTGCGGAAGACCAGATATAGCAATAGAAGATGAAATTTCATCAAGATTATGGTGGAATTATGCAACAAAATCTGCTTCTTATATGAAAGAACCTTCTATTTTCTATCCACAAAACGCATTAAAAGTTTTAAGGAATAGAAAAAAATATGTTGAACTTGTTCAATCAAAAGATCCTAAATTGGAAGATTTGGAAGATAAATTAGGACCTTCTTCTGTTGTTTTGTTGAGAAGTTACGCTGATTACGTAATTAAACAAAATTTGGAGCCTGTTTTAACAAAACAAGAGGCTCAAGAGATGCAAACAGAGTTATCTCAGTCATCAGGACCTATCTACATTAAAGCAAAGTTTGATGATATCGATTTGAATTTAATTGATGAAAAGAATTTACATTTGAATTTAAATATTCAATCAACAACTTTAGGAGTTGTGAAGAATTCAACGTATAATGAAATAAGTGTTGTTATGCAGCGTTGTCAGATAGAAAATGTTTATAGATCAATTACTAATTTCAAATGGTCTGAACCTCTTAAATTCACTCTTGAAACAAAACTTACTGAGAAATCTTATAAGATAAATATTCCAAAAATTACTACTTATTTGGATTACAAGAGTTTGGATGAGATTTATCAGTTTTTGGATGCACCAAAATACAATGAAAACAAACTAATGGCTAAAAAGAATAGATCTGAAGCTGTTCATGCTGTAAAACTTCCAAAAAAGATTGATGTAATTGGCGATAAATTTGATTGTACTTTGAATTTATTATCAAGTCCATTAATGTTTACTATTGAAAGTTATAAATTCATTGATTACAGTTTGCAAGCGGAAAACATTGTTTTGAAATCTGATGACGAACAATTACTTTCTTTACCTGAATTCACACTTGATATTGATAACGTGAAATACAGTTTCAAGTTAAATGTTCCATCAGCAAACATTGTTTTATCTTCTAATTTGATTTCTCAAATAATTGATTTCATTGTTAAGAGAGATTATTTGATTGACATTGTTAACAGTAATCCTGAACAAACAAGGAATGTTATCTACGCGGATGTTGACATTAAAACACTCCAAATCGATCTGAAAACATCCAAAGTTATTTCAACAATTATATTAAGAGAAACAATGATAAATGCTGCAGAAGGAATAAAATTCAACTGCCAAAATTTCACAATTCTCGATGAAATTTCCAACCAAATTTTATTCACGAAATTTGATTTTGACATGTTACAAAATCATGGAAAATTAATTATTCCTACTTTGTCAATTGCAATCAACCAAGAATTTATTAATAATGTAGTTGATTTTGCAAACAAAACAACATTGTTGAAATTAGAATTGCCGCAAAAAGATAAGAAAACTGAAGAATATAACAAACCAAGCATGGAATTATCATTAGAAAATGCAAAAGCGACACTCCAAATCAACAATAACTCAGCAGTCACTGTTGATTTCGCTTTGATTTTCGAGGATTCCAAAGAAAAAACATTAGTTCTCCTCAAAAACGTTGATTTGTTCATAACAGATAATAATTTTTTTTCTCACCAATATTAACTGCTGATTTGATCAAATACAATGAAACAGAGAATCTCAGAGAAATTAACATTGGATCATTCGATGTAAACATTACTAGAAGAGAGATTGATGTATTAGGAATGATCAAAGATTTAAAGATTTACCCATTGCAAACAAAATCAGCTCCTCCGAAAGAATTTACAGGGTTATCTAAGAATATTATTTTATCTCATGGACAAATCAAACTCAGTTTCTGTTTCTCTGGTGTTGAAATCAAACCTCCAATTGCAACACTCATTTTCTCTAACTCTGGAACAGAAAATGAAGAACTTTCCGCAACAATTTTGGAAACAATAACAATTTTGACTCCAGGATTAACGAAACAGACAACACCATTGTTAGAACAAACAGAATTATCTGTTTATCTCGATTTCAAGAACCAAAACTACAAAGTTATTGTTCATGATTTGAATGTTTTCATTTCTTACAATTTCTTACTTGGATTGAGAGAAATCATTTTCTCAAAGGACTATTACTGCCAGAAACCGATGCTTTCTATAACAAATTCCATAGGAGTTCCAATACAATACACAGTTAGAGACAAAACATATGAATTAGACGTCGGAGAATCATCAAAACTCGATGCAGATCTCATGGAAAGATAAATTTGAGAATTGGAAATGAAAATTCCGTAATTATTCCTGCAACATTAAGTTTCCCTTATTTGTTGAGTACAAGGACTGCTGCATCATTAACATCATTCAATGGAAGGAAATCTATTAATATAATAAGTCCTTTCTTGTTCAGAAATGAGTCATCTGTAGAATTATCTTTGATGATGCTCTCAGGAACACAATATTCGGAAGTTGCCAGAATTAAACCATTTGGAGAAACATATTTGCCATTTACTACTTCAAGAATGATTTGTTTCTTGGTGACAACCAGATTATTACGCAATAAAACCACCATCATTTTCATTAATGAAATGGAACACATGCACAGAATACTACGTAATGACGAAAACATCAAAAATGAAGTGCATTTTATTCTTTGATTTTGATAAAGGACTAGGATTAATCAGAATTGTTCCTAATTTCACTTTCATCAATGAATTGCCAATTCCTATATCAATAACAATCCAAAAGCCAAGGTATATCATGAATATTCCTCCAGGAAGCAAAGTTTCTTTGGCAAATGATACAGATTTGATTGTTTCGTACGTAATTTCAGCAAAAGGATTCAAAGACTCCGAAGAAGGAACAATACAAACAATCATTGACACACACACGAAATCTATTTTGAGAATGGTTTCGGCTGACGGTTTGAGAAGAATCCATTTGACTGTAAACCCTCATGCTCATGAACAAGGTGTCCTAAGAATGTCAGTTTACGCATCATGTATCTTCGTTTCAGCAATTAATGAACAATTAATGGCTTCAAACACAAAAGGTGGAGAGTTCTCAATTTTCACTGACATGGACGGTTTTAACGGTTTTCTGTTTGGAGGCGGTGATGGTATCATGAACAATTGTTACATTAAAGTCAAGGATTATACAATAGAAAGTCGTCCAATTTCAGTTTTGAACATTGGAGACAGGAAAACAATATTTTTGCCGAGAAGTGATTCGAATTTGTTTTTCCCATTGAGTTATTTAGTTGATGATGCTCCTCCACAATTCAAGCATGCGAATATCTTCATTATTTCTTATGCTTTGTCTATATACAACAAATCAAAGGATGATTTCGTTTTCCAAGTCGAAAATTCCGAAAAAACTTATGAAATTAAATCAGGAAAAACTGTAGAAATCACTTCAACTAATGAGAAATTGTCATTTATTGTTGATTGCAGCAGATTTGTATTAGATAGAGTTGGTAGATATCCTATCATTTATCATGGAAAACTTTATGAATTGACTATTGTTGAAAAACATTATGGATTGCAAGCAATTTTATCAGAATTAAGTCATAATCCTCCTTTAAAGATAAAGAACGCATCAAACAGATTGGTAAGAGTGAGACAGAAAGGCATTGATGAATTTGTTAATATCTTTTCTAAGGAATCGAAGCCATTTGGACTCAAAAATCCTTTCGACGAATCCTTGGTTTTGGAAATTCAAATGGATGAAAAAATCGCTGAATTAGATTTAGATACTTTCGAAAATTACATGTTTTTCGATGATTTGTTCTGCCAAGTAATGAGAGTTAATAACTCTACTGTTGTTACATTTTCTGATACTATTATTTCAGAAAAAACTATTTCTTGTTCTCTTAATATTTCAGGTGTTAATGTTTCATTCATTTCTCCAAGAAATACTGAATTAATGACTGTTAATGTACAAGGAATCTCTATTTTAATGAAAGGAGATAACCCTGCAACATTAAATTTCAATGTTGAATCATTGAAAGTTTGTGATATGTATCCGAAAGCTGTTTCCCATGTAATTGCTGCAAGTGTTACGAATTTCATTCATTTCGAAGCAAAACTACATCTTTGGTCTCCTAAGAACATTATATCTTCTTTTCTTTCTATTGGATGTGTCAATATTTTCATTGATTTGTCATTTGTTGAAGAGTTTTATGATTATTTGTCACCAGTTATTCATCATCCAAGAAAGTTCCCACCAAAGCTTCCTGGTGGCTCCATTGATGCAACATTGAAACATCTGAAAATAGACAAAACGAATTTGATTTTTACTTTGAGAAGTAAAACAAAAAGACCTAAAATGGCTCATCAATTCCCCGAAGAATTGTCGTTAATTCCTGATGTAACAACTTCACCATTATCCATTCCTGAATTCCAATTAAAGAATTTAAGTGGCCGTCCAACATCAATTGCACTTTATATTCTTGATCAGATCAAGAGCGATGTTTATAACTTATTACCAAGTATCATAGCAAGAGCTGATATTTTGTTTAATGCCGTCGGAATTTCCGATGATCCTTCCGTTGCTTCTGTTTTGAGATCTGGAGAAGGATTCGTGAAATCCGTTTCTTCTTATGTAGGAATGATTGGTGGAGATACAAGGAAGAGCGAAGGAATAGCAATGACACCTGAAGAAGCTGTTATTGGTGGCTTGAAATCATTGGCACATGGTTTTAAACATGGAATTAAAGGAATTGTCGAAAAACCGTTGGAAGGTGCAAAAAGAGGAGGTTTTCTCGGCGGATTGAAAGGATTGGCAAATGGTTTAGCAGGTGCTGTTGCCAAACCAGTCAGTGGTGTTTTGGATGCAGGAGCAGGATTGATAGGAAGTGCCGCAAGAGCTTTGGATGATTCTATGATTTACAAGGTAGATATTAATAAAATCAAACTTCCCAAAGTTTTCTTGAGAACAGGTGATGAAATCATTATCAGCAAGATCTATAAGCAACTTTGCATTGATGGAAGAGCAGACACGATAATTGCTGTGTCTCCTTTCAATCAAATCGGCAACGTAAGGATATTAGTCGTTCCAAGAAGAATTGTTTTGTTTACTGTCAGATATGAACAGTTTTATATTGTACAATGTGTGAAAGGAAGAAAAATTGCATTCGTCAGAAACGAAGGAGCAAAAGTTATTGTTAAATACGAAGGTACTGATCCAACAATTGTTAACTTCGAGAATTCCGATGAAGCGGAAGTTTTTGCTTCTTTAATCATGTCTATACAAAGAATGGATGTTTTGTTTAATAATTAATCTTTTTTTTATGTTTGCTTCATAAATATATGTTTCATTTATTATATTTTCCCTCTTTATTTCTTTACAATATAGTAAATTGTAAAATCTAAAATAATTTTCAAAATCATTAAGGATATTCTTAAGCCCATCTGACATTAATTCAAATTTTTGACAACGGTCGTGAAAATTAATCTTAAACACATATTTGAAGACTTTGCTATTGAAGCGTAAGTAAACTCTTAAGGTTGAACTCTTCACTTTATGACGCCTTCTAAAAAAGAGAAATAAAAAACTAAATAGACTATACCTTCAAAAAAGATATTTAAAGTTTACTTCGTAAGATTCTTCGTCAACCTTAATTTTTCTTGTATGCTGAAGTTATTTTGGAACCCATGATCCATCCGGTTGCAAAATAAGTTTGTCGCCACCTTTATAATCTGTCCAGAATTTCATGGGACCAGAAATAGGAAGATATATGGCATTCTTTGAATGAGCCATTCTTTGGCGTCTTACTGCTTCCATTTGAGCAAGATAGTTTTCTCCACCACCAAAGACCAAAGGGCGTTTAGTTGGGCGAAGGAAAGGCTTGAGGTTTAGGCCATTCTTTGATGCTGCCTTTTTTTGACGTTCAATTTCTTCCATGCGTTGTCTTAACATTTCTCTTTGGCGTTTCCAGTATTCACCGCCTCCAATTGGTCTGAAATCTGTAATGCGTGGGAAAATGGGGAAGAGATTATTCTCTTCTTCGTCAGCGTTGTGATAGTGGATATGGAAATGTCCAAATCTGCCATCATAGTCGAAATCAATACCCCAGTTGTCATCATCATAAGCTTCTTCTTCGTCAGCGTTGTGATAGTGGATATGGAAATGTCCAAATTTGCCATCATAGTCGAAATCAATACCCCAGTTGTCATCATCATAAGCTTCTTCTTCGTTGCTGCGATATCCAAAGCGGAACTTACCCCATGGTGAGTCGTATGTGATTCCAAAGCCCCAGTTATCATCATCGTAAGATTCTTCGTCAGCGTTGTGATAGTGGATGTGGATCTTGAATGGTCCTTCGTAATCGAAATCGATACCCCAGTTGTCGTCATCATATGATTCTTCAACTGAGTTTAAACCTCTGTATTGTTTCTTCATGTCAAAGACAGGATACCATTCATGGCGTATCTTGTCGTACATCATGCGATAAGCAAGAAGTCCAAGCATTATAATTAATGATTTAAATTTGTGAAAAAATAAATTCCCCTCAAATCAGATTTTGTGAACTTCAGATATAAAATTTAATATTTGATAACATAGTCATTTTCATCGAAAAAGAAGATGCTTTATGGCAAATCTGACAGGCAGATTTTTGACCTGTTTGCCAGATGAATATGTCAAAAGTCCAAAAAATTATTAAAACATATATAATTAATATGGCTGTTGCTTTTTCATTTATTTTTTAACCACCAATTGAAATCAAATTTCATTCGTGTTTTTCATTCTGAAAAAGATAAAGAATTAGCATGATAGTTTTAGACTCCTCATTAAATTTGTATCCATATTTTATTTTCTATTTTTACTTAGACAGTTTGAGCAATTACCCTCAATTTTTAACTTTTGCAACTCCAAAAACCAGGTGTTTTTCCAGAACTACCATCTAGGATGAGTCCTAGGAGCTATAATTCTAGGGTTAGATGATACCCACTTAGTACTTTTATTTGTATATGTTTTAGTGGAATTTGATGAGGGGTCATGAAATTCGTATCTAATTTGCTATCATCTAAGCTGGTAAAAGTTAGAGAAAGCTATTTACTGGTTGTATATTACAAATATACCTTGTAATAGAAAATATAAGTGTTTGTGATTTAAATTCGCTCAATTAGCTCGAAAATTTGTTTTATATCCATGACAAACTAATACAATCCTATTTATGTGATTGCCAATCTGCTCCCAAAATATATCAGCATGAATATATATATTGATATTATTTGCAATTTCATCATTAAATAGTACTTTTTTTTCTATTTTTAATTTAGAAATAGTATATTTATATGATAGCGACACAAGATTTTAATTAAAAATATATGTTATCGATCATCACACTCAAATTGAATTTCAAAAATTTTAGAATTTTTCAATTTCAATATTGAAAATATATTTCTTATATCATAGCGATTCATGTTATAATAATATGGAGAAAAATATTGTTTTAAATCTAAAATTTAAAATGAATGACTGGGCATTACATTAATCCAATTTATTGTTTATTTGTTAATCTAGTGGAAACAATTAATATTTTGGAGAAACAAAAATTTGAAATTTTGAAAAAAATGCATGAATCGGTAATTAAACATTGATTTATTAATTTATTAGCCATGCTTTTGATGTTGGTCTTATTCTTAAGCCGATTTAAAGAATTAATTTTTCCAAATCGTGTTTGACATTAACACATATAGATATATCAGGAAAAAAGGTATCATTTATCAAGTTATTGGTTTTTATGTATCTCCTAACTTTGCCTCGTTCTGAATACAATTCTAGTTAACGAATTTTAAATAACTATATGAAGAATACATCATTTTGGTTTTATTATTAAAATGATATATATTAGCTATGTATATGCTTGTAAGAATATTATTCCGTGAATTGGAAACAGAAAAAATAAATTTAGACAGAAAATGCATATCTTTAAAAAATAATATGAAATTTAGCTTTGATATTATTATCCGATAAAATATGCATGATAATTACTCCGCAAATAAAATTTAGGAAGCAAGTTGTGACGGTTTGGGCGGTTTTCAATGGCCCACAAGGAAGGAAGTATCGTTTTATCAGGCAACAAGAGGTCTTGAAATGAGTAAAGGACTGATCACCCTTGAAAGGTTCAAACTTGCTTGCGCGCCGCAGTCTTAAAAATGATATGTTTCACTTCTGGTCGAAAATTTCAACCTCTATGACAGTTGTTGGATGAACAATTGTGTAGCGGGATGAAATCTGAGTGCGGCCTGGGGCTGCAGCATCAATCTTCCCGGCATCTTTACCGCAATCATCTCTTAGATTGCACACAAAGTTGCGAACGAGCAGCTTTCTATGCGGTAAAGATGCCGGTAAAAGAGAGCCGTAGTGATTCTCTGCTGCAGCGTCAATCTTCCCGGCATCTTTACCGCAATCATCTCTTAGATTGCACACAAAGTTGCGAACGAGCAGTTTTCTATGCGGTAAAGATGCCGGAAAGAGAGAGTCGATGTGAGGTTCTTTTCGAGGGCTCCTCGAATGAGACACTGTTCCGCATTGATAACTTGAACGCGGAAGTTTGACCGACAAGAGTGTATTGTGCACTCCTGTCGGTCGCAGTGTCTCATTCTGGGAGACATTGCCTCTGCATGTCTCCCAGAATGGAACAATGTTCCGCATTGATAACTTGAACGCGGAAGTTTGACCGACAAGAGTGTATTGTGCACTCCTGTCGGTCGCAGTGTCTCATTCTGGGAGACATTGCCTCTGCATGTCTCCCAGAATGGAACAATGTTCCGCATTGATAACTTGAACGCGGAAGTTTGACCGACAAGAGTGCATTATCCAATCTTTTTTGTCATATACCTCAACCCACAAAGACAAAACCTTACATAAAATAGGTAAACTTTGGTTTTCACTTAATAATGTTTATTTTTAATTTTTTGTTCTTTATATAACTTTTTCTTCTACTAAACTATTTTACAGACTCTACTGAGCTATCCTCACATATATACCTGTGACAATAACACATATATACTCCCTTCATATTCTGATCTCATGACATATTACAGCACAAACTATAATTATACAACATACCTCATAAAGTCTGATTTTACCCCTATCTAAGCGTTCAAAACCTATTTTCCTTAAAATTTCTCTTCAAGTTCATACTGAACAACATCTTTTTTTGAAAATACAATTTTTTCAAAAAATGTATGAATTCAAAAGTGCATACTATATCTAGTCATTACCCAACATTAATTTTGTATTTTAGTTTTTAAGATATTCATTTTATTATACGTCTTATTCAGAAAATTAAATATATTTGTGAGGGAAAACGGAGGAAATAATAAATATGTCAAGATCGAGGAATTGACAATTTTAAGGAAAATATTAAGTTGTGTATTTTGTGTTTATCTCATTGTGTGATGCATATTTTCACGATCTGACAGCAGAAATCGAATCAGCAGAGCCAGAAGAATCAGATTACGCGGGGAAAATAGGTTTTGAACGCTTAGATAGGGGTAAAATCAGACTTTATGAGGTATGTTGTATAATTATAGTTTGTGCTGTAATATGTCATGAGATCAGAATATGAAGGGAGTATATATGTGTTATTGTCACAGGTATATATGTGAGGATAGCTCAGTAGAGTCTGTAAAATAGTTTAGTAGAAGAAAAAGTTATATAAAGAACAAAAAATTAAAAATAAACATTATTAAGTGAAAACCAAAGCTTACCTATTTTATGTAAGGTTTTGTCTTTGTGGGTTGAGGTATATGACAAAAAAGATTGGATAATGCACTCTTGTCGGTCAAACTTCCGCGTTCAAGTTATCAATGCGGAACATTGTTCCATTCTGGGAGACATGCAGAGGCAATGTCTCCCAGAATGAGACACTGCGACCGACAGGAGTGCACAATACACTCTTGTCGGTCAAACTTCCGCGTTCAAGTTATCAATGCGGAACATTGTTCCATTCTGGGAGACATGCAGAGGCAATGTCTCCCAGAATGAGACACTGCGACCGACAGGAGTGCACAATACACTCTTGTCGGTCAAACTTCCGCGTTCAAGTTATCAATGCGGAACATTGTTCCATTCTGGGAGACATGCAGAGGCAATGTCTCCCAGAATGAGACACTGCGACCGACAGGAGTGCACAATACACTCTTGTCGGTCAAACTTCCGCGTTCAAGTTATCAATGCGGAACATTGTTCCATTCTGGGAGACATGCAGAGGCAATGTCTCCCAGAATGAGACACTGCGACCGACAGGAGTGCACAATACACTCTTGTCGGTCAAAGTTTTGCAATCACATTCTGATTGCAGAAGATTGTCTCATTCTGGGAGACATGCAGAGGCAATGTCTCCCGAAATGATACCGTCATACCAACACCAATTTATTCCTTCTTTCCATTGTCATACAATTCAATATTTTTATCAATCTTAATCAACTTTTTTTATTCTTCTTTAATTCAATTTATCTTTCTCCTAGAATATCTATTCCTTTAACAGACATAAAATCACTAATCGAGCTTTTTCAATACTCAAAATTTCATATAAATCTTTGTTATTTTTTCTCTCATCGCTTATTTTATTAAATATACATATTTCCTCTCACATATCCCTCTTCATATATATTGGATCTCAACACTCATCTATTAGAACAATATATTTTCGCTTAATCTCATATTATTCATTAACAATCTTTCATCTTCTTATTTCTAGTTAACCTACCAATATATATATAGAATATATGCCAAATTACATATTCAGATACATTAAATTCAAGAAATTCTTCTAATATTATTCTCCTATTCATAATAAAATCATATTTAGTCTCACATCACAATTCTATCAGTTCTCCAATATCATATCATATTGGTAACATCACATATATCTCTTATAATATCACTTAAATTTGTATTTTTTTATTAATTATATTTAATTAGTTCTACATTCTATTATTATAGAGGTTTGACAAACTCATCAATAGTTAAAATCAAAATCTATTCAGAACTTTGAATCTAATGAAAATTACATTTCGATATCTTTTTGCAAGCTTAATTTTTTGTATTATCTTAAAATACATTTAGTAATGTTATGTACGTATTGAATTCAAATTATAGCGCAGTAACATGCAACTCATCTTGAGATTCACATTTCATTTTCACAATTATTGCATATATACATCAATAACATATTGTACTCATATATCTACACGACTCTAAACTCAATGACATCAAATAATGCTTGTAATATTTAAAATAATTTTTGCATTTTTGATTCTCAGCTTAACTTCTATAAATGTCACCAAAACATTTCATTCCTACCAAGAAATAATATATTAGTAATTAAGCGTTTATTACCATTGTTACTCACATCATATTAATTCATTTTTGTAATTTTTTAAATAAATGACTGGAATCATAAACCCTATGTACCCATATCAACATGTTAAAATTTCAAAGTCTGAAACTTAGTATACATTGAGTTTCATGAAATCAGATAATCTCGTAGATTTCTTAAATATTATATATTGCTGGCCAATAATGATGCAGCATGATTCTCCATCATATCAGCATTCTAAACATATCTTTATTTTGTCAATTGGCATAAATTAAGGGTGCTTTTCAGGCGATAAATGGTATTTTAGATACTTGGGTAGGGTGTCATGAAAAAGTTGCAAAAGTCAAAAATTGAGGGTATTTCATCAATCCATTTTCTTTTGGTATTATCAATAATGTTATCTTCATATGAAACCAAGAGGCCATTGAAGAATTATTGCGCAATAATTAAAAATTGTTTTGAGAATGATGGAGATATTTCAGCTTAATAGGATTACTCACTAAATAATAAACATACACTAGAAGAATTCTTATTGGAATGTTGGGAGCAAGATGGAAACTCTTTTTTAATTATTTTATTTTTTTTTTACTAATTTCAAAATGATTAGAACATTTTGGGTGTAGTCTGTAAAGCATTAATTACAATCAATTTTTGAAGTATTACTCTCAACATTTTTTGAAAATTCTTGATAAAAGTAATTTTTCTTCATATACACTTATTAATTCATTAATGATCTTATCTGATGGAATCAATGGGAACTACAATTTCGATTTTTTTTTTTTGAATGGCCGAAAAAATTTCATGGTAAAAAGCACAGATTAGATGAAAATAAACGATGTATTTGAAACTGGTAATATTACATATTCTATTATAGATGTGCTTCAAAGAGAAGTTCGTGTCGGAACCGGAGTTTTTAATGACACCATTTCAAATGCTGTTAATAACTCATACAATGGATCGATTACTATTCCAAATTTTGTTGTCTATGATAATAAATTATGGAGAGTTACTGAAATTGGGCAATGTTCGTTTGTGCACTGTAATAATATTACAAATTTTGTTATTGGTTATAATATTGCTTATCTTCGCCAATATGCGATCTACAGATGCTACAATGTCAGTAGCATAATATTTGAAGAACATAGCCGTTTGAAAAAATGTGAAACATACAGTTTATATGATTTATATAGTTTGAAAGAGATTTCATTTGGAGGGGATCGTCTTGAATCTCTGGGAAAGTATGCAATGAGTTATACATTCTTCCTTGAATATATTAGATTACCTGCTTCTGTTTCTGTGATTAATGAAAGCGCATTTAAAGGTTTGGATTCCCTCAAAGAAGTTCATTATTGTGGAAAATCTTCAATAACTAATGATATTTTCTTTAGGGTTAAAGTGAATGATCATTTGACTCCAAGTGACATAAAAGTTAAAGTGACATCCAGTTATCCATCAACTACATTTGGAAAAAATGATACTGTAATAGTTGATGATTCTTTTGATTGTGATTTCCCTCAGTCGCTTAGTGATTTCGATCTTTTATGCAAAACTGTTTATAATAATTATAATATCCATTTATCTTATTCTTACTTCTCCATATTCATTCTGATGTATGATTCATAAACCAAGCTTTTATTATGTATTGCCTATTTCCTTCTTAAAGTTCTTTGAAAGCTAACAAACAATAAACTTAAAAGATGTTTTATTTACACTTTAATTATAGTTAAAATATATTGCTTTAATTTTAGCGGTTTGAGTAGATTTTGTTGATTACCTGTAATTAATAGGCCCAATTAATTTTGCTGATTTATCTAATTGGATAAGAGTATCGAGTCTATTCTCTTGGTTATATATATTTTTATGATGTTTTGATATTAATATGTTCATTTAGGATTATTTATCAGTTAAAAAAAATGAACAATACCGGAAAGTTTAACATAATAATCATTGCAAAAAGAATCTGTTTTGGGTCTTCATCAGTTGTTCGATAATTTCACCAGTCAAAATAGTCTGGACTGCACAATCACAGTATTTATTTTGTTTTTCTCTTCTGATGATGAAATTGATTCTGAATGCTCTTTGACTTCAGCGCACCCATCTTTATCGGCTTGCTCCATTGATTCTTTCATCTCTTGAAGTTTTTCTTCTTTTTCTTTGTTTAACTTTTCTTGGTTTGTTTCTGGAATCTTTTCTTCAGTTTTTTGATTATCTTCATTTTCATTTCTCGCTGGTACAGGTTCTTCTTCAACCTTTTCTTGTTTTGGAACTGCCTTCTCTTGTAGATCTGGATAATTTTGATATTTTTCGATGATTCGCTCGGCCATCAATCTTGCATAAAAAGATGCCGCATCAGCACTGCAATATCTACCCCAGGTATAATCAATCATCATTTTATGGGCAAATTCTTTTGGAATTTTAATTGCCTTACCAAAAATTTCGGCAACCAATTTTGCAATGATGCCAGAAACATATTTACCTCTGATTGTTCGACAGAGTTCGACTTCAATTTCTTTTGCAAGGCTCTCAACACGCTTTTTCTTCAACTCCCTCTCTTCTTCACTCAATTGAGCATCTTTCTTCATTTGTTCAAGTTTATCATTTATTAAATCAGCAAGATCAATTGCAGTATCACAGCTGATATACCTTCCTCTGAAGTATTCAATTAATATTTTGTATGCTAATTCTTCAGTTAGACCGAGTTGCTCAGTGAATAATTTGGAAACATGTTTTGCCTTCTCGTAGCCAACGTAACCACCTTGGAGTGTATGAAATTTGAATACTCAATTTACTATTACATTGAGAATATCAGCATAAAATGCTTTTCATATCATTCCTTATGGATAAGATTTAAAAAAAAAGTAATATATATGAAAAAAAAAACATATAATTTTTCAAGAATTTAGCTTCATTAGCAATATTAAATCATTTATAAGCAACTATAGTCAATAGAGACTATGATTTTAATGAGTTTATTTGAACAATAGATAAATATAGGAATATTCAGTTTTGATATTTTTGTTCATCTGCAGGTATTCCTTAATAAAGATAGATATTAATTTTACATCATGAATATATTTCAATTCCAGAATATTATGAGATTACACCTCAAAATCCTCGAGGATTTCTACAATAAAATACTATCACAATTCTAAATTTTGGTATAGATAAACAACAACAGAGCATTTTATTATGAAAATTAAACAAAATATAACCAAGGAGATTCCAAAATCTTTTCTGCTGATGGTCTGTTCTTAGGAATTATGAATAAGAGAGGTTTAAGGAACTCAGTGAGTTCCTCAGCATCTTGTTCTGTGAGTCCATATTTAATAAGTAAATTATATAAGCAAGGAAGTTGTTTCTTGTAAGTTGCAATGAGTCCACCATGTCTGTTATAGAGTTCTGGATAGAATTTACCGTTTTTGGCCCAATCTCTTGGTATTGTTCCCAAAACATATTCCATCATTGAGAGTTGAACAGCATCAAATAGGTCTCTGTTCTTAGATGTCTCTTCTACATCAGGATCTGGAAGAACGGGGTCGAATAAATGATGTCTTGTGGCTAATTCAAAAGTCATACAGCCTAAACTCCAAATATCAGCGGAGCAATCGTAAGGAAGACCAAGAAGTACTTCAGGCGATCTGTATTGACGAGTTTGAATTAAGTCGTTCATGATTTCATCGACAAAACAAGAATTTCCAAAATCTCCGAGTTTGAAATTGATTGTAGACTCATCATCTTCGAGGCAATTAAATACTTCTCTATTATCATCCTCAGAAAACGGTCCGTATGGGAAAATTGGCCTTTCTGCGAAGACATTTTCTGGTTTTAAGTCAGTATGAATTGTACCATGCTTGTGCATAAAGTCCAAGCCTTTGAGAGTGTCCAATACAATCTTTTTAACGAGTTTAAGTGGAATTGGAACGTAATTGTCATCGAAATAGTTAATAAACGTTAAAATATTCTGTGAAACTAATTCAAATACCAAGCAGCAGTGATCCTCGTAATAGAAAACGTCATGAAATAGCGTAATATGCTTTGTTGGATCATCAATTGCGGAAAGATATGAATTAAGTACTAATTCATCCTCGAATTGTGAATCATCTTGATTTGAATCAAATGCTTTCTTTAATATTTTGATTGCAACATTCTCACATCTTAAATAATCATAAGCAAGCCAAACTAAGCAAAATGTTCCACGACCAATCATTGTTTTGATTTGGTATCTATGAGAGAGAACCATATTTTGATGAAGTAATAAGTGGCCTTCGTCGAAATCGCTGCGATATAATTTATCAAGCTGGTCCATTTTATCTCCGGAGTAAGTCTTTCCTGGTTCTGTTCCAAAGAAGTAAGGAGATGACTCATCCTCTTGTTCCTCATGGAAATCTTCTTCCTGGAAGTCTGAACTTGATGCCATTTTTTTCTGTTCACTTTTGGATATCCAATGGACTGAATTTAACGGTATTGTCCGCAAATACCAAACAATTTATTACATATCATTTATTTCCAATAAAATTATCAAATAAAATATGATAATAATCGAATTTCAAAATCAGTTTCAGCGTTTAAAGCTTTTATAGATATGAAGTTGATCTACTAAGTCAATGCATAGCAGAGCTTTCATATATAGATGAACGGATTCTATCCGATTTCAAAAGCAAATTGCTCGCCTCATTTTTGCAAGAGTTATCATGGTATAAGTAGATAAGATTGGATATGGCACGAATCCCTGAGATATTTTACTCTATTAGTGATATTCAAGAATCAAATCACATCTTTCTCGTGGACGAGCTTGCAAATAAAAGTTCTCAGAGAATTAGAAAGAGTGGAAGCATATCTACTCGAAAATTTTTGCTAATTGCTTCTAAAAATTGACAAATTTTGAAATGTCAAGATTTGGAAAAGGACACTTAGACAAGAAAGGTGGCCTTTCCGGACCAGGATCTGGTCGTCCCAGAGCTCCTTTACCGGAGAGAGCCAACCTTGTAAATTATCGTGTTGTTCAACGCGATCTTGTGTATGTAATCGGCATACCAGTTGAAATTGCGCAAGAATCAATTCTGGAAAAATACGAGTATTTTGGACAGTATGGACCTATCAAGAAAATTGTTGTAAATTCTAGCGTTCATCAACAAGGATATCAAAGACCTACAGTAAGCGCTTTTGTTACATTTTGTAAAATAGAAGATGCACTGGAATGTATATATAGCTTAGAATCTTTCACTTATAATAATCATCCAATTAAAGCATCATTAGGTACCTCAAAATACTGCTCTAATTTCCTTTTTGGACAAAAATGCAATAATCAGGACTGCATGTACCTACATCATAACGGAGATCCTAAGGATTCCTTTACAACAGAAGAAATTCAAGCAAATTCACCCAGATTTACAGAAACAACGCGCCCAACAAGGCCACCAGATTACAACAAATATCCTTTACAGAATTCGAAAGAAACAGTTTTCCCACCAAGGAGAATATTGAATATACAGATATCAGATTCAGAAGATTCCCAACCCGAGGAAGAATATATCGAGGAGGAAGATGAAGAAGAAATCCACGAGGAAGAAGAGCCTGATCGCTCTGATTTCTTGAAAGATTTATATAGAAACGGATTTCCAGCTGTTCCTCCTTTACATGTTGATTATTCCGTCAACATGAGTCTTATGCAGCAGCTCAACCTTGACAGAGCTTCGATTAGATCGTATTTGCATCAGAAATGAAAAGAATTTGTTTTTCTTTAAGCATTGTGTGAATATCAGTTGGTAAAAATATTATAAATATTATATCGTTTATTTATTTCAAGTTTTTTCTTACCAAATTTTCTTATTCTGAATTTATCTATTTTCATCTTGATATGTTATCATAAATCATCTAGTTTAGAAATACTGATCTTATTTTAGAACATTAATGAATTGGATTTGAAATTAATTGATAAAAAATCTTCTGTAAACTATTTATCAAAAACATAAATCGTCATAATGACATATAAAATAGTTTTTCTATCATCAGCTTTCATGTGCATAGTTAAAATTTATTGATGAAATGATTTGTATAAGTAACATCAAAGGGAGCTATATCAATTATACAAATTACGTTTTACCAACATAAGAAATTTACATTTGTAATAATATACTCTAGGAAAAAATCAAAATTTGAGTTGTAATTTTTTTTATTAGAAAAAAGAAATAAAACATGAAAATAACTATTATATAACAACATTTATTCTAATCACTACTGCTATCACTGCTATCGTCATCATCGAACATACTTTTCAGTTTGGATGATGTTTTCTTTGTAACTTCCTTCGATTCTGTGTATTTTTCAAGTTCGTCATTAATTTCCGATATTCTAGAAGTGATAATCATGTTTTGTTCGGAATGAAATTCAATAAATTTTTCATGAATTGCAATTTCTTGTTGTGTAAATTGTTGGAATAGTGAAAGGTTCTTGGTGTCATCTGGTAATTCAGTTAATTTCTTTTTGGTTCTTAATAATTCATTTGTTAACTCAAGATAAGTCTGTCCAGCTGCAGAAACATCAATTGTGCTGTTAGTTGCATTAAGAGTGATATCATTTAGAAGCTCATTGCAATACTCTGGTTGGAATATTGATTTTCTTGAGTAAAAAGCAAAGCTTCCTTGCATTTTTCAATTGATGGCTGTATCATCGATTTAGATATTTTAATAATAGATGCTTTGATAACTGGTTTGAAGCTTTCGATAAAATTAGGGTAAGATGCTGAGAGTCTGCTTAGGATATCTGCATTTATGTTAAGTATTGCACTGTGACTTTTATAATCGTCATTTAATGATTCGATAATTTTAAGTAATTCATCAATAATTATTTGAAATTGAGTTAAATGCATAAAAAGATAACGAGAAATCGCAACATTTGGTTTATTATTTTGAACGAAATATTCTATTGCTTGTTTTAACCTGTTATTAATGTTCTGGTGGATTTCTTCTTCACTATAATCCATTTTCTGTCACTTTTTGATATATTTGTCACTTTTATATGATACCAAAATTGCCTTCTGATGATGAAAATCCTCTTAATATTCAAAAGAGAATTGATGACTCTGATGATTATGAAGAGGATGTATCATCAGAATACGAGTTTTCCGAAATTCAATTTCTTGATTCATCAATTGAATTGATAAATCAAGATGAACTTGCTGAAGTCATCAAGTTGGCTAAAAACAAAAACATTCTTCCAGCTTTTACTGAATCAAGTCAACAATATTTATTATTATTATTACAACAGGAAGCATGTTACGGAGAATATGCATATCAGTTACTAAAACTGTATCAAAGAGCCAAAATCATCTCAAGTTTAAACTGTATTGAAGAAATTTGCAAATCCGAAAAATTTAGTAATCCAGAAATCAAATTTATTAATCATTACTGCGGTAACAGAGTCTCTAAACTCATTTGCAACGAAAATTTTATATCAAAACTATTAAATAATTTAGATATATATCCTTCAAAGGATGAATACATATTTGAACTGCTTAATAACATTATACGATTTGCAATCACACAATTCAAACCATTTTTGCCAGTTCTTGAAGAAAAAACTTTAATTTCACCAAAATATTTTAATCAGTTTCTTGATGCAATTGGACATTATGCTATCAAAACTGCAGATGACGTTTTGGCTCTTTTTCAGTCCAATTTTTTGAAGAAATTATGAAAATTTTCCAAACTAATGCATTTCAAGAGAATATTATATATTTCATTACAGATTTAATTGCATCAAAGGCTTTAAATTTCTCTCAACTATTTCCAATACTTGAAAAATATAATCTTTTTGGATTTTTCTTGGAAATAGAGATATCTGATTCAGATCTATTCTTCAATCTACTAGAAATGATTAAAGAAATATCAGTGCTCCCTGATTCCTATGATTTTCTTATTAAATCTGGAATAATTTCAAAATTATTTGAAGCAATGCAAAGTTCAATTTCATTTAATGCAAAAAAGATCATTATAAAGTGCTTTTCTACAATACTTTATTACGCATCAGATGAAGTTATTAATTATTTTATTGAAAATAATGTGATGGAATATTTAAAGATGAGTCTTGATTTAGTCAGATCCAAAAAGAATTTAGTGCATACACTCTGCTCAATTAGTAATATAGTTGATGCTTTAATGAAGGAGAATAGAATTGATGAATTAGAAGAAATATATAATGACTCAGACTTGTATTCAAGAGTAGAAGAAATTAATGATAAATATAAAGATAGATCCAGTGAAAGGACTGAGGAAATTCGAATTGAAAGCTTTTCATTATATTCGAAACTTCGTGAAATGAACTTAGAATAAATTGTTTGTATATTAGTATTAGTGTTGTATCTCTTAAACAAAATTCATTTTTTGAAAATTGCGAAAACTTTTATATGCTAATTGCATTTTAATGGACTTTGATTACTTTCAGACAATTTCTCTTGAGGAATCTAGCCATTATAGTACATTCGAAATCAAAAAAGCTTTTGATTTTAATTTCGATCCATCTGAGTATTGGGTTGCAAACACATATAATGGATATTTTAAAATTTGCTTCCCTTTCCATTATCTTTCAATCGAATCTTTTGAAATCACCACATCAAGCAAAGATTGCCGTCCAGTTAAGATTGCAGCCGAAGCTAGTGCAAATGGTATAGATTACAGAGGACGCCAAGAGTATGAGCCTCGTATGGAAAAAGGCACTACAAAGCAATTTTTATTTAATTACAATACAAGCTTAATTAAATGCTTTAAATTTTATTCTATTCAATCTACATGTCAGGATATGGGAGGTGATATAAATCAATTCGAGTTCTTCGGATACCTTTATGATATTAATGCGACAATGAAACATTTTGGATGCTACAAAGCAATGCATTTATCTTGTAATTTCCATTATAGTTTCAGGTCAATAGGACTATTTCTTATTTTTTCAATTTTGTAAAAAATCTTTTTAATGTTTTTATAAATATTGCTGTTTTCTAAATATAATATCTGGTTAGTGAAAGATAGAGTAGAATTTTAGACTTTATAAACAAATTAAAATAAAATTAATGTAAATATTAAATTATTCCTTGAACAAGTTCATCTTATCAAGTACGAAATTCCATAAGATCATGAATGGAACGAATAAGATTGTTGACCAAAGGACCATTGTTGATGCAACACCAACTTTTATACCTGTACCTTGAGCAATAGGATAAACAGCTGTAGAAGATGTAACAAGACACATTAAGAGGCATTGTCTGATCTGTTGGTTTGTTAACTTAATTGCATAAGAGTAAACACAAGAAAAGAAAGGCATAACAATGAATCTGAAGCCAATAGCAGTGAAGAACTCCAGCCATGTACATGATATGAGAGAAGTCTTGGCTAAAAACCCTCCAGCAGAGAAAAGAGCCAATCCAACACAAGATGCTTGGATAGTATAGAGGAAACGATCAAGATATATAGGAAGTTTCAATGTAGAAAGTGAGTAGATCATGCCAACAATAATGCCTTGAATAATTGGACTCTTAAAGACATTTAATAAAATTTTTCCAAAGTCTTTAATCGTAAATTTCTTTCCTTCTGTAACATCTTCGCCATCTACTTGATTTTCTGCAGCTTTTTTGGCAGCTTCTTCTTTAGATTTGCGTACAGAGAATAATGATGCGCAAGTTTGATAAATAGGAATGATAACGATATCGTTACTCATAATAATAACTGATGTAATTGCATTATTGGCTTCTCCCCATATTGAATTGAATAATGGAACGCCAATAATAACGTAATTTAAGTAGACAACAGGTAAAACTAAACCTATAAACGTTTCGAATTTATTTTGTACTGGAATAACAGCTACATAGATCGCTAACAGTATTTGTGTTGTTAAACTCATGCAAACACAGCCTAATAATGGTTTAAAACTCATAGAATACAAGTCTTTAAGCGCAAATGCTCGACACATTTGCGCTCTGAGGGTTAATTGAATTACATATTTATTTACTGCGGCAATATGCCTTGATCTTGTGACTTTTAGCTTTTTGGCAATGAAACCTGCCGCCATAATAAGTAGGAATGCTACACCTACATTGATGACGGAGGTATAGTTCACCATGTTTTATGAAAAGATTTTAGTGACCATCGTCAAAGAAGCGATTTCATGAACTTTTGTTGCAAAACAAATAATTATTATTACATACTTATTACGTTGAATTTAACCATTCATAACTTTAACACGATTATTTCATAAAGGGAAATCTCTGTAAAGGGTGTCCAACAAAAAAATGAAAATTTTGGGTGACACTATTTAAGCATTTTCTCGATGAATATAATGTTCTGTAAGAACTTTCTACGAGAGATATATGGGGAGTATAATATGCCATTGATTCATATGAAGCATCTGAATGAACGTCTTTGATTATTGAATATATCTTTGATTTACAAAATTTTCAAACTAATCCGAAAAAAATAAATGACAATAATAGTGGATTGTTTTATTAATATTTATAACGAGAAATTTTTGGAACTAATTTTTTAACATTGGTTTTTTGAAACCAATAGTATTACAAGAACATAGTGTAATAGGATAATTGGTTGGTGATAGTAAGAAGTAAATCCTAACTTAGGATTTTGGGATACGAATTTGATTTTGATACTCATAGGATGGAAACAGGTATTCATATATGCATAATGCATTAATGGTTTTGTATGGTTGGTTGAATGGATTAGAATAATAGAATAAAATACAGAAATGATCATTTTGCAAATTATGGGAATGTGATAAGAATAACTCTTTAAATTTTGCAACATATAATAATCGAACATAAACAAGCATATTTATTGAAATAAATTCAAAATTTCGATTCGAACGTCATCAAATTTCAGGTACCTTCGAATTAATTAAATAGTAACAATAAAATCGAATTTGAAAGTTATAATGCTGTCTCAATCGTTATAATTAATTTTGTGTATCTTCTTTCAATTTTCTCTCATCATTTACATTTTTTGCTTTTTTATTTTTTCATTTATATTCTATTACTAATATTTCTTCTATTCTACGATTTAGATTTTACATAAATATTTTTCTAATTCCAAATTTCTAATTTTATAAAAAATTCATAAAATTTTCCGATCTTTTCCTCAGTGATTTTATATTTCATTTTCCTAAGTTACGTTTCCTTAGTTCTCATAACCGATATAATTCCCAATGGCCCCCTTACGCACACACAGAGTTTCAAGCCAAAATCAATGTTAGATTTTTGTTGGACACCCTTTATCTCTGTAAACAGATGATCGCAGTAAGGTTTACAATCCCTGAAAGGAATAAGTGAAATTGATAGTAATGTGATTAATATCAAATCTAATATTTAACAAATAACAAAAAATATAATTAATAAAACCTTCGAATATATTGAAGAGCATTATCAAATACTGGCTTGAATGATTTGAAGTCAACAATAGTTGGCTGATCTCTTAACATTTCATGACATTTATCTTTCAGACATGAATTTTCTTCTTCTTTGCATTTATCATAGTTTTTCATATCCAATCTTCCTTGAAATGAATTCTCCGGTATCTTATTGATCCAAAAAAAATATTTAATTCCCATTCCTTTCGCAACTTGTTCATACCAGTCTCTACAGTCATAATTATATGGGAATATTTCTATTATTGCTGATCTATTCCTTCTCATCCATAGCATATGAGACAAAGCACTGCCATGAATCGAAATTATTAAAGATGCGTTGCAAAACTGAGCGATTTGCTCATCAATTGTTTGATTCGTATATACAACGTAGTCAATATCAACATCCGGGGCCCATTCTTTCATTTTGTTGATCAAATCTTGACTATTTATGATATATCTTTTATTTGTATCGCGATTAATGAAAATAACTCTTGGTTTTGTTGTTTTCCCGCATAAAGAATTATTTACATTATATGTGGATATAGAATGTTCTCTAAATTGGTGAAATGCGATGTCAGCAAATTCATAAGGTAATTGATATCCATTTGGCCATTTACTTGGTGTTACTTCTAATTCTGTTTTAGGAACACCTAATATTATACTAGAAAAACATGTCTTGTTATGGTATTTTTCATCTAATTTTATGTTAATTACATTTTTATGGGTCAGAATATCAATAAACTGATATCCTTTTTCTGTATTCTTGTTCTCATCAATAACCATAACTCTGTCTTCATCATTATGTCCCCAAAACATTTGTTTCGACCACCAAATTGGTAATGTAAAGTCAAACAAAGAATGCCAAATGTGTTGCATGCCATACCATCTGCATGTAATGATGCATCTTTCTGTAAATTTATTTTTATATTCAAAACTATCGAAACTTTTGTTTTGATATAAAAATCGAATTACTCTTCTACAACATGGATAATCACGTGGAATAGGTCGTGAACCTGGATAAAGGATCTGCTGAACTAAACTGATACGTAAATTCGAAAAGAACATGAATTTATTGTTATCATAACAAGAATTATTCACTTGGCAATATCTGTCATTAAAATCTTTGCCGTAACAAAACATTGTGGTATAATTCTTGCTTGTAAGTGAGAGATCGTTGTTCGAATATAAAAATTGACTAACAATAAAATTCATATAATTATTTTACGAACCATGGTCCATTAATTGGTATTATGAATTCTGAAGTAAAAATATTGTTCTTGTAATGATTTAATTTGTAATCTGAAGGTAAAAATGTAATGTTACCAAAATTCGATGAAAAAAGGAATGTTGGCAAGAGTTTTTTAACTGTGTCTATATTCGATGATGTTTCGAAGTAAATAATAAGTCTGTTATGGATTGTTGAATCGTATTTAATTGTTTTAATTGGATATCTGGAAAAAATCGGTCTTGTCCATGCTGTTTTAATGACGCCTGCAGAATTAGTCGTGAATAATATGTAAATAAGAATTATTGTGCAAATGATTGCCCAGTAAATTAAAGATTTTATAATGAAATCTCGATTTGAGTTATCTTTCTTGGAAAGAGCGGCCGGCCTTCTAGTCTTATAAGCACTACCTAGCAACAATGTATTGGTTTGATTCATTCAACTCAGTAATCCATTCGATTTTGTCACTTTTTACCTCAACATTCATTACTCTCCTGAGTTCACAGGCATTTGTGAAGTAAAATGGCATTAGTAACAGACAAAAAAGCAATTGTTTGGGTTATATTTGAGTTTTCATTCTCCAGAATAAAAAGTCAAGTAATATTTTAGTCTTTACAAGTAATATTCTAACTAATTAAATGCAATAAACACAAAATAAGTTATGTATGACGGTTTCTAATCGCATCAAGGACGATTTGGATAGAATCATCAGATAATTCTGGTATAAGAGCTAAAACTGCTGCAAGCATCGCGTCATCCGCAGATCCAGGAGCCATCATAGCTCTAGGTTGCATTTGACGAGGTGGCGGCTGATTTTGATGATGATTATGTATTTCTCTTGGAGGAATCTGCGGATCTTGCCAAGTTTCTTGCCTTTCTTCATTATGCATGCGCGATGAGTTGATTCTGCGGCCAGAATTTGGTGGATTCATCTGTAAATTTCTTTGTTGTTGTGGTGGTTGCTGTTGTTGTTGGAATGCGTTCTGTGGAATATTTAGCATAGGTCCTGGATTGTATGATGCATCTGATGAAGAAATATCAATATCATCGAGTTTTTCTAATCTTGGAAGTGTTTTAGCGACATATTGACGATAATTTGGCAATTCCGAAACCGGATTATCACGAAGCATTAAAGCTCTGAGATTTGGAAGTCTTGCTAAGTAATTGATTTCAGAAAGATCTGAAATTTGGTTTTGTCTAAGATATAAATTCTTTAAACTATAGCAATTTCCGAATGGTTTTAATGTTGTGATCTGGTTTAATGAAAGAGAAATAGTCTCTACGTTGGGCATTTTCTCAACAATTGAAACATCTGTAAGTTCAAATCCCCACATATTGAGAGTTCTGACATCTGCGAGACTAGTAGTATGAGTTTTCTGGAAAATCATGTGCTCTTTCAAAATACCGCGCGTGTTCTTCTCTTCCATAGATTTTCTGTTGATTACGTTTTTAATTTCCAAAAAAATCTACAGACAAATTTTTGAAATTTTCCATCCACTCCGCTACGAGAAGAAAAAGAATTTCATTAATTCGTTGATAAAATTTTTGAAATAATTTTGTCACTTTTCGCGAATATTCTCATTACATTTTCAAAATTTTACTTGTTTCGTTGATATTCTCGAAAGCTGGTAAGAATAACAAGCATTGCATATCTATTTCCTTACTGATTTTTATATGAAAAAGTCTCAGATTCATGTTATCATAATACACGAATAAAAATAAAGAAAAAATCTCCCGAATATTGCATTTATGCTTCTCAGATTGCTTGTTATTAAATTTCATGGCTAATCTTATTAGGTTGCGGCTTTTATAAGCTGAAATTGATCGATATACAAACAAAAAAAATCTCTTTCCTCCACTTGGAATGCAATAAATTATCGATGCTTTGAGAATATAATATATATTCTAAAAATGAATTGATTCTAATATTTTTTCGAATTAGATAAATTGAAAATTCTGAAATGGAATTATATCTCGGCACACAATAAGTCAATTTAAACTATAATACCTTTGGATCTTAATAGAATAAATAATATATTAATTATCAAATGAAAATACTGACTTGAATGGAAGTTTGATATAACAGTTATGAATTGTCATCAATAGATATGAGAAATATCGTGGAAACAAGTCTGCCCAAACTGTAACAGATTTCATGCAAAAAAATGAATCTTTCTGAGCAGTTTATTAAGTCATTACCCAGCAGATTTATTTAGCTACCATGTTCGTTTTATTCACTATATACGGTTACGTTTAGAACAGTAGGTTGCGTGCGTTACATAAATAGACAGCAACTCATATAATAAAAAATTCGATGTATTATACGCCATCGAATAAAGTTAGCTACTGTAAGCTTAACATTACATTGTGCTTATTTAAATCCTCGATTACTAATCTTTTCAAATTATTCAATTTCCCAGTAAGTTCGTGTTTTCAAAATATAAAATTGTACCTGAAAAAAATTATGATAAAAATGATGTGCACATCAAGTAGCGAGAATTATAGTATCAAGGAAGTCCACTTTTTGAAAGCCCACCAAAAAATTTGTCAAAAAATTCAATGGGTAGGAAATGGGATGATGCTGAAGACAATTTATTAAGGAAACTCGTAGCTCAGCATGGTAAGCAATGGAGTTTGATTGCTTCTAAAATTCCCAATAGAACAGCATCTCAGGTTTCTTCCCGTTGGGAAAAATGTATTGATCCTGCTTTAACCAAAGGACCATTCAGCCAGAAGAGGATGCAGCGATCATAGAATATGTTAATAAAAACGGTCCACAAGCGCCTAGATTGGCAGAAATATTGCATCAACGTTCTCCAAAACAGTGCAGAGAGAGATGGTTTAATCATCTTGATCCTAGCCTTTCCAAAGAATCATGGACGAATGATGAAGATATCATAATTTTTGAGCACTATCAAGTTTTGGGACCGAAATGGTCTACAATTGCAAAATATCTACGCCATCGATCTGACAACTCAATCAAGAATCGTTGGAACTCATCCATTTCAAAGCGAATAAAGGTGGATGCAAACGGAAGAAAAATACTTGTTGGAGAGCCATCGAAGAAAAATCATAAAGTAAAGAATCGCCACAAACCAGCTCTCCAGCCCCTCCCCATCCCTCCCGGCCCTACCGCTAACAGATTAAACATCGAAGTTACTCAAAACGGCGCTCGTCAGCAAGATCAATATTTACAGATGCCACCGATGATTAATTATCCTGGATATCCGCCTGGCCTCCAGCCAATGCCAATTCCACAGCAGGCTCAGTCAATGCTTCAAATTCCACAGTTTATCAGTCAGCCTCAAATTCCAAAGCAACTCGGAACACCATTGCAAGCACAGATGCCTCAACCAATACAACAATTACAACAGATACAAATGCAGCAGCAACAGATGAGTAAAACTCTTGGACAACTTACCCCTCAGATTCCAGTACAGAATCAATTGGCTTCACAAATAGGCCAACCAACACCTACAATACCAGCCCAAATTGCTCAAACTCCAGTTGGAGAAGCTACAATCCCATATCCGTTATTCGCCACCACTGGAACACCAATTCCCGATCTTTTCTCTCCAACATCTCCATTCGGTATTGGTGGGCCATTCGCGATGCAGTCCCCTGCTGTTACAAAACCAAGCGAGGCAAATGTTTTCAAATAAATTGTTAATTTTTGTGTTTATTTTACTTCAAATTCTTAAAATATTTTTATAAAACTTGATTTAGAAATGGTTTATTTATTATTATAATTATAAATTTTATTTATATATATTTTGAGTTTGACAATAAAAATATAAAGAAATAGATTTGTATTTAGTTGTTCTTCTTGTTTTTGGCCTGCTGTTGCAGCTGAGCTTGCTCTTTTTGAAGTCTTTCCATTTCTGCTTTCTGTTTTTCAGCGAAAGCTTTCATTTTCTCGCCTAAATTCTTTGGACAAATGAATTTCTTAAGGATGATGAATGCTGGTATGATTAAATACATAAAATTGCTGAAATCTTGGGCTTTGGTGAGTGGATCACTAGCGGAAGCTAACTTTGGATGTCTAATTGGAATTGGGTATTTCTTATAAGTTACTCCGTCAGAACTTGCTTGAACAAGTCCATTTTCATTGACTTCAAATTCGACTTTATGAAAATCGCACCATGGATGTAAAAGTACAGCTAAATGCTTACCTGGTTCTACTAATACATGTGTTTGGTTCTTGTTAAGTGTTGGAATTAATTCTTTTTCGTTGTTGTCTATCATTAAAAAGGCCAATCTCGGATCATAGGTGCATGAAGATGTGTACTTGACTTGAAATGCTACATCAACTTTTGCAGCAAGACTGAAATGTGATAATAAAACATTTAGAATCAGAAAAGTGACAGATCATTCAAGCTAAATTATCGAAAGTTAGGACGAATTTAGCTATTTCTCATGTTTTTCATATAAACAAAACTACAGATTTAATTTTCAGCTTTTAAAATACTTTAAAAATGCAAGAATTTTTTCGAAAATCAAGCTTTATTTAAAATTAATCGTTTTGTATTGAAATTTAAAATGTCCGAATATTTGTTGGGGAAAATCAGAAATATTTCAAGTTCTGAGAGCGTAAAATCAATCTTAATACAGTTCACTAGCCATTATTAAACTTATGCGCCAATAGATATCATGCCGTTCATATTTAATTCCTAATTGATTTATTCAATCCATAAAAACACATTATGTCTTATTGCACAATTTAGAAAACATCATTTTAGACTTTATTTCATAATGAATAAAGCATATATTCTTTGAATACCAGAAATAAAATCTCAATTTTTAATAAACATTGGGTTATTGGGATTATGTATTTAATAATAATATTTGAGCATGTTTTGCTATTTAGTATTTCAAATCTCTAGTTCAAACTCTGGTTTCATTCAATACAAGGATGGAACTAATCAAACAATTATTGGATGTACAAAGGACTATGCAGGAGATGTTATTATTCTTCAAACTGTTACTGAAATATATAGTAAAGGCGAATCTAATTACGCGTTTCAAAACTGCAAAGAAAATATAACGTCACTTAATTTCGAAGAAAATAGTCAAATCGTTAGCATACATAATTTTAGTTTTCATAATACTAATTTATTGTTTGCAAATCTAAGCCAATGCAAATTGCTTTATTTTTTGAATGGATCACTCTTTTTTGGATGTTACAAACTGAAATCAATAATATTGCCCCCAAATATTTCAAGTATAGAAAATCACTGATTTACCAGATTCTGTTGTTCATTTAATATTCCTACCGTTTGCTGAAAGCGGAATAGCATCAATAAATATTTCCCAAATTCTCACTTAGTAGAATTTGAAGAATATTGCTTTTACTCATCTCCACTCACTTCAATTTTCATACCAAAATCAGTTATAAAAGTTTATTCTCTAGCATTTGAGAAATGTCCATTAGAAAGAATATCAGTTGATCCAGGAAATACAATCTTTAAAACAGATTCTAAATCACTCTTTTCAGGGCCAGATAACTCAACACTAGAATATGTCATTGGAACATATTCAAGCGAATACGTTGTTCCTAGCTTTGTTAAAAATATTTCCGATTATTGTTTTAATTCTGGAAATATTTCATCAATTAAACTTCATAACAATATTTCAATAATAAGGGATTCTACGTTCTCTCGTTGTTTATCATTAACAAGCATTGCATTCCCAAAAAGTCTAACATATATTGGCGATTATGCATTTGAAAGATGTTCAAATCTAACAAGCATTTCGTTCCCAAAAAGTCTAACATATATTGGCGATTATGCATTTGAAAGATGTTCAAATCTAACAAGCATTTCGTTCCCAAAAAGTCTAACATATATTGGCGATTATGCATTTGAAAGATGTTCAAATCTAACAAGCATTGCATTCCCAAAAAGTCTAACATATATTGGCGATTATGCATTTGAACAATGATTAGAACAATGATCGCAATGTAATTTTGTATCTTAAAATCTTTATGATAATACTTACAATGCTAGTAAATAAGCAATCATTTCAAATAACGCTTGTAGTAACAAGCATAGAGCTGTGTAATGCCGTTAATTAACGAGTAAAAACTTAAGATTCACTCGAAATATGTTTACTTTTGGACTATTTATTCTTTGCAAGAATAATGTAGTATGACGAATATACATAGAATACTAACGCCAAAATTAATTCAAATTCAGGAGTTTTTCTGCAGAAAACAGTAGTTCATAATTGAGTTATACTTTAAATGACAATATTATCGCTAAATCTTGCGTTGTGATTGAGACTGTAGTTATAATTGAATTGTTTTCAGAATAACCTTATTCCAATTGAATAGAATACGGTTTTCAAAGTGGTGTGTCCAAAAATATTTTTGTAGATCAAGAAGTGACATGGGATGAATACTTTGGTGATGAAACATATATCAGTCTCTTCAGAAAAAATGGATTTGGTCCATTTTCCAAAGGAGTTGCAAATTCGTACTTCATCAGAAGATGCATTTATACAGAACTCTATCCACAAGGAGGTATTAGATTCCTTGATACAACCGATAACATGCGTATTTTCATTAATGACACTACTTTCCGATCATGTTATACGAAATATGAAGGACTTAGTGGTGGCTCATTCTATTGGCGAGCTCGAGGGAGTGTCATCCAATGTCGAAATTGCTATTACAAATCTTGGTGTTCTGGCTCTGGTCAAGCATACGGAACTACCGTTTCCTTTAACGGATTAAATCATTGTAATTTTACTACCTTTCATGATATAGGAATTGATATTAATTTATATAATTTCGGAATTGGCCAAAGTAGAGGAAATGTTTTCATAAATAATAATAACCTAACAAATTGCCAATGCAGAGATAATGCAGGTGTAACTTCAAATGCTTATACTACTTGCTATCAAAAATTTTCTAATTATCGTAATATAATAAATGGTTTTGGATCGTTTCTATTTATAAATTTATATTGCAACAATTGTTCTTTTTATCAAAATATAAATTTTATTAACAACACATCGCCAGATTCAATATATAATAACGGCCAGATATCAGGCAATGTCACTTTTCAAAATTGCGTTTTTAAAGATAATACATGTAAAGTCATTATTAAATGCTCACATTCAGTCAACACTATTATTTCTGACATGTATATTGAAAGTGAATCAAAGATATATGGTAATATTATATATTCAAACACAAAAGTTGCTGAAGAAGACCCAAATATTCTTCTTTCATTAGATGAAAATGTTTGTTTGAGAACTCACTACAATATTAAAGAACTAAGCCCTTATAACATATTTTCTATAAGTATCTACCTAGGATTTGCATGCTGAGTAGTTATAAAAGCAGCAATTAAGGAAAATTTTTGGTCATTCAAAGTCCGAAAATATCCACAACAGAAGCAAATTATATATATATAACCGGTCAAACAATTTTCTCAGAAAAATGTAAGACATTTTTTGGTGAAAATAGCGTTATTGTTTATTTATATGACACAGCTAATATTACAGATCCAATGACAAATGATTTAATTGATTTCATTTCTATTGAAATGAATGTTATTCCATATAAGAATCATAAATCAAGGAAAAACATATCAATTGAATCCTCTACATCTTATTGGTTTATTCCATAATATTCACAAATAAAATATTAATAACTATTCATTTCTCTCATTTTTATAAAATATATTTAAATTGATTGGGATTTGTGAAGATTATATGAATTTATTTTACATTTCAAATCAATGTGTGGTATTTTATGATATTAATCCTACAAAATGGGAATATATACCCAAAGAGTAACAATCAATAATTCTGCAAAATTTGGATGCTTCATTTGAAATATACTTATTTTTGGACTAAGGTCGCCAAAAAAAGTGCGGAAATTAAAAACCGCAGTTTGAGTACTTTCTGAGAGTCTGTTTGTCAGAAAGTATACATTTGTAAACTTTCTGACACTAAAATTTTTTTGTCCTTTCAAAGTTTTTGACAATGTCAAAAAGTATACATCGGGGCTCTCAATTTTCCTCTCAAACGGCGGTTTTTTAAAAACGCTCATTTTTTCATCGACCTTATTAATTCTTTGGGAAAATTTTATGTAGTATAACAAAAAACATTATTAGAGGTTTTAATTCAGAGTTCATGTTGTTAATGTTTCATAAACATCATACCAACTAGGACTCAAGTTAGTTCTCTGTTTTTATGCACTAATAACGCTGGACTAACGTGTGATAACTGTCATGATTCTACTGTTTTCGGAAGCATCGAAAATCAATACCAAATTACTACATAAACAACACCCGAAACAATCATGAAAACGCAAAATACAGTGACTGATGTATACTCACAGAAGAGAACAAGTTTCAATAAAGTAAAAATGAAGAAACGAACAACAGACGGCAAAAATTTATTACAACAGAGTTTTTTTCAGAATATAAATTTTATTAAGGGTGCACTTACGCCCTGATGACATGGCATTCAATTCAAATTAAAGCCAGATGGGCGTAAGTGCAGCCTTAACAACACATCACCAAAAAAAATTAGATCATTTACGAATAAATATATAAAACAATATGCAATCAGTTTGATTCTATCCATCTCCTATCTGAAGATGCCACACTTTCGTAGGTCACCTTGATTATTAGATTATGCGAACGAAGGTTGAAAGTGAAATGTATTATTACCCTAAATGGAATAGATAAAAATATGTTGTCATTTTTAATTTATATAAATTTCAAAAATAACCTTATTGTTATAAAATTGATGTATTCAAAAGTCAGATTATTCCAAAGAAAAAACAAAAGTGATCGAAAATATATTTACTCGTACATCAAGATGTTACATGGAGAGAATTCTTTGGTGATGAATCATATATCAGTCGCTTCAGAGAAAATGGATTTGGTCCTTTTTTTAAAGGAGTTGCAAATTCGTACTTCATCGGAAGATGTATTTATGCCGAACTCTATCCACAAGGAGGTATTAGATTCCTTGATACAACCGATTACATGCGTATATTCATTAATGACACTACTTTCCGATCATGTTACACAAATTTTCCAAATCTAAATGGCGGCTCATTCTATTGGCGAGAACGAGGGAGTGTCATCCAATCCGAAATTGCTATTACAAATCTTTAAGCATACGGATCTACCGTTTCCTTTAACGGATTAAATCATTGTAATTTTACTACCTTTCATGATATAGGATTTGATATTAATTTATATAATTTCGGAATTGGCCAAAGTAGAGGAAATGCTTTCATAAATAATAATAACCAAAGAAATTGCAAATGCAATGAGTATGCAGGTGTGACTTCTAATTTGTAATCAAAAATTTTCTAATTATCGTAATATAATAAATGGTGTAGGATCGAAGCTATTTTCAAATTCACGTTGCAACAATTGTTCTTTTTATCAAAATATAAACTTTATTAACAACAAATCACCAGATTCAATATATAATAACGAACAGACATCGGGCAATGTCACTTTTCAGAATTGCGTTTTTAAAGATAATTCATGCAGTTATATTATTAGATGCTCATATTCAGTCAAGATTATTATTTCTGACATGTATATTGAAAGTGAATCAAAGATATATGGTAATATTATATATTCAAACACAAAAGTTGCTGAAAAAGACCCAAATATTCTTCTTTCATTAGATGAAAATGTTTGTTTGAGAACTCATTACCATATTAAAGAACTTAGCCCATATCACATTTTTTCAATAAGTCTCTATTTAGGAATTCTATGCTGAGTTATAAAATATTATATCATACAAATAGTGAGTTAGTATAATTTATTTATGTTAAAAAAAATAGTGTTAGTTTAAGAATTTGAGGAAATTGAATAATTTTTTTTAAATAGCTCTTCATAATAAGAATTATTATTAAAGTCTTCGTTCAATCTATTTAATACGTCGTGCATTTCATTTGTTGATATTGAATATTTGCTTAATAATTTATCCTTATGTAATAAACAGAAATTCATCAAAAGTGACAGCTCTCAATTTTTTGACATTTGTAAATTCTAAATTGAATGAGAAAAATGAAATAATACTAAGCATAATACAAGATTCTAGATTTAATTATAATTAAGAAAAAGTTAGTTTTGAGAGTACTTTTCATAGGCATATAGAATGAAATCTTCTGAAAAATAATATCACATAAACTCATATTATTTTCTAATATATAACTATTTTATATAAAAATCAAATTCAATGATCTTAAAAGCGAAGGATAAACCTCAAAATTTACGAATATAATGAGTGGGAATATAATGCTTATCTATCATAAAACCATATGAAATATTAATTTTTGCTTTACGCCTAATTTTTGACGACAATTAGCAAAAAATGTTAAATGTTAACACTCAGTCCATTTGAATATGAAAAATAAAATTGACTTTGATTAAATGTTTTTATTTATCATGCAATTCTTCTTGCGACCAAAGATTTGAATAAAAGTTCAAAAAATAAGATAGCTTAAAAAATAATATACGGTAGTGTTTACTAATAGATGAATAGTATATAAATTCTATTAAAATGGATTTGATCCAAAAAATATAAAACCAAAAATAATTGTTATAATTTAAATGAAGAAGTAATTTAAAACGATTTTATTTATGATCAAATTTTATATATTTTTTTGGATCAAATCCATTTTAATAGAATTTATATACTATTCATCTATTAGTAAACACTACCGTATATTATTTTTTAAGCTATCTTATTTTTTGAAATTTTATTCAAATCTTTAGTCGCAAGAAGAATTGCATGATAAATAAAAACATTTAATCAAAGTCAATTTTATTTTTCATATTCAAATGGACTGAGTGTTAACATTTAACATTTTTTGCTAATTGTCGTCAAAAATTAGGCGTAAAGCAAAAATTAATATTTCATATGGTTTTATGATAGATAAGCATTATATTCCCACTCATTATATTCGTAAATTTTGAGGTTTATCCTTCGCTTTTAAGATCATTGAATTTGATTTTTATATAAAATAGTTATATATTAGAAAATAATATGAGTTTATGTGATATTATTTTTCAGAAGATTTTGTGTTCTTCTTCAAAATTTTTTATTAAAAAGAATCTTTACAAAATATACATTTACTTTAATTAATATTTAAAAACGTGCTCTATCAAAAGTTCCAAAAATTCAATATTTTAGCTTTTCTGAGGTGTCACTTTTGATGAATTTCTGTTTACAACACTTATAAACTCTATCATCAATGAGCCTCTTAATTGATGTTGCAAATCGCTTCTTTTCATCATTCATAATTTTTTTTTACATTGGCACTTTTTCCAAAATCATTAGTGTAAATTTTCCTGGGTAAATCAGAGCTATGGATATGAAAGTGTAAGATGAAATTGGAGATTATGAAGAACTGATCTAGAGTCAGAACTTCAAAGCCCCCAAATCTTAAATAGTGCAAAAAATTCAGTAAATGATATTTTTGAATTTTCTCGTGAGAACTTGAGAATGAGATAAATGTGCTATGCTTATATAACCCGCCATCTAATTTCCCCTCTAAAAGCTGAAAAAAGAAATGATTCAATTTTGAACAGATCATAGGAAGTTTCTCATATTTAGAGGAGGAAATGTTAGCTGTGGTGTACTTATTTAATGTTAATATATCACATCTCACAATTCCTTATAGAAAGATCAAAATATTGAATGATAGAAAATTTATTAAATCTTTTGCTGATTAGCAGCAAGTTCCAA